ATAATGCATGTGCGCTGGGAGCGGCGTACAAGGCGGTGTGGGCCATGGAGAGAACGGCTGGGCAGACCTTCGAGGATCTCATTGGGCAGCGGTGGAAGGAGGAGGATTTCATCGAGAAGATTGCGGACGGATATCAGCCGGGCGTGTATGAGCGATACGGCCAGGCTGTGGAGGGATTCGAGAAGATGGAATTGGAGGTTTTGCGGCAAGAAGGGAAGCACTGAAATAATCCAATGGTGTCATAGTGAAGTGGAGTATGAGATATAATTTGCCAAAGCTATAGAATAGAGATGCAGTTACAGCTCAGAGCATGCATCAGCATGGATACCTTATCGTAGACTTATTGAGTTGTTAGCTTGTTAGCTTGTCAGCTTGTCAGCTTGTCAGCTGCGATCAGCTGCGAAAACGATGTCATTTGCTGCCTGGGGAATCAGGCCGAAGCCGCACGCCGCCCCTTGCCATTTTTGGGCAACGGACCAGCATTCCTTGGGCCACACAAACTCAGGTTCAATTTTTTGACTCTCTGCAGGTGCCTTTCATGTGCAATGTGCTCGAGCAAGTGACTGGCCGATAAGCGTTTCTTTGAGCATACAACTTTCGTGACCTTGAACTCTTGACTCTCGCCAAAGACTTCAGCTTCTTCATTGTTTCTGCGTTGTCACTTTTCTCCCCTCGTGACTCTGCCCCGTTAGAGCAGGTTTATTACCCGAGTGACTGGGTCCAAATACCCTTTGACTACTGACTACCTAGTTGTACTTGTACTGGGCCCAACCCAACACCCCCCCCCAGTCTGCTAAACTAAACACGCACTAGTCGGTCATGGTTTGATAGTGTCTCCGGGCTATGACTACTCGCCGCCGCATCATTCTGTCCTAAACCACCACCTTCATTGAATCTCTGTGAACTCCATCACCCCCTCCCCCTCCTTTCTCTCCCCTCCCCTCCCCCCCTCTCCCCTCCATTGCTTTCGAGTCGTCGACTCCGAAGGCAGCCAGGCTGGTCGAAGATGGAAGAACAGGTAAGCGATATTCTCTTCGATCATCGTTATTTGTTTTCCCACGTTGCGTTTCACTTGGTCTTTTTTTGCATCTTACCCGTTTTTCTTTTTTCTCGAATCCCCACCCCACCATTCCTTCCTTCCCCTCCCCCCTCCATGCTTACCCGTCCAGTCAGATTACTCTTCCAGATTCTCGGAATTGATTTCAGGACCCTTGTTCATTGTCATGTTGACTTTCTATTAGGTAGCGAATGCCATTGAAATCGCCTGGAATCCGTCCTCCGACCAAGCCCTCAAAAACCAAGCCTACGACTACCTGAACCAGCTTCGCGCCGACCCCTCCGGATGGCAGGTCTGCCTTGCTCTCTTCACCAAAACCCCACAATACTCCGAGATTATACGCCATGTGTCGTTGGAAGTGGTCAACAGTGCGGCTCAGGCCGGTCTCCTTGACCTCCAGGCCCTAGGATATGTTCGGGATGGCTTGATGGCCTACCTTCGACAGGTCTACGGTCAGGAAACCGCCTCTCCGGATCCGCCCAACATTCAGAATAAGATCGCTCAGACCATTACCTTCCTCTTCTCCGCTCTCTACGCGAACGGTTGGGAATCCTGCTTTGACGACCTCCTCAGTCTCACCTTCAAGAGCCCCGCGAGCACGAGTCGCGACAACCCGCTCGGTATCATCTTCTACCTCCGTGTCGTCAATTCGATTCATGAGGAGATCGGAGATGTTCTGGTGTCCCGGTCCCGTACAGAGCAGGACAAGGCCAACCTCCTCAAGGACTTGATCCGGGAACGCGATATGCAGAAGATCGCCAGCTCCTGGCAAGAGATTTTGTCCGAATGGCGGGACGGCAACGATGTGATTGTGGAGATGTCGCTCAAGGCGGTTGGCAGCTGGGTGAGCTGGATTGATATCGGCCTTGTGGTGAACCAGACCATGATGGACCTGCTGTTCCAGCAGCTCAGCCGTGCGCAGAAGGCGGAACTCAGATCCGGTGAAGAGAAGGTGCGCGATGCGGCGGTTGATGTCTTCACGGAAATCATCGGCAAGAAGATGAAGCCCGAGGACAAGATTGACATGATTATTTTCCTGAATCTCGACACTATTGTTACCCAACTCTCCAATAGCCCCCCTCTCAGCGAGAATAGGTTCACCTTCAAGTACGATACTGATCTGGCGGAAACGGTGGCCAAGTTAGTCAATATTACAGTCATTGATATTGTACGGGCTCTGGAGCAGGATACCATCATGGCTGACTGCAAAGAGAAAGCCACTGGTTTGCTGCAGGCCTTCCTTCCGCATATCCTGAGATACTTCTCCGACGAATATGATGAGGTCTGCTCGACTGTGATTCCCTGCGTCAGCGACCTCCTCGCCTATCTGAGGAAGATGGCTAAGGTCAACCCAGCCCTGGCTGCGCAGCACTCCTCCGTCCTGCTCCCAATTTTGAAAGCCATCATTGCCAAGATGCGCTACGACGAGACATCGTCTTGGGGAGACGAGGACGATCAGACGGATGAGGCGGAGTTCCAGGAGCTTCGCAAGCGGTTAGGTGTTCTACAGCAGATTATCGCCAACGTGAACGAACCACTATACATCGACGCGGTTTCGGAAGTAGTAGGGACGACCTTCGAGAATCTGCGGCAGTCGGGTGCTCAACTTGATTGGCGCGACTTGGATCTGGCTCTCCACGAGATGTTCCTGTTTGGAGATATCGCCGTCAAAGCAGGGAGCCTCTACACCAAGGGGTCCCCCAACAACCCTGCTGCAGAGCGACTTATTGAGATGATGCTGAAGATGGTGGAGTCTGATATTCGCTCTTTCACACACCCTGCTACGCAGCTACAGTATATGGAGATATGCGTCCGCTACAGCTCGTTCTTCCAGCACCATACTCATCTAATTCCGAGCGTCTTGGAAAGCTTCCTCCAATTAATCCACCATCCGATCAAGAAGGTGAAGACACGCTCATGGTACCTGTTCCAGCGCATCGTCAAGCAGTTGCGAACCAATGTTGGCAACGTCGCTCAGACCGTGGTTGGGGCCTTGACTGACCTCCTGGTCATCCATGCAGAGGTGCCTTCAGAAGGATCGGACGGGGACGAAATGTCTTCGGAAGACCACGAGGGATCGGCAGACGCTGTGTTCAACAGTCAGCTGTATCTTTTCGAGGCTGTCGGCATCATCTGCTCTACCCCCACAGTACCCGCTGACAAGCAAGTTCTTTACGCGCAGTCCGTGTTGAACCCCATCTTCATGGACATGGAGAAGAACTTGGCGCCCGCCAAAGCCAACGACGAGAGAGCCGTTTTGCAGATTCACCATGATATCATGGCTCTGGGCACGTTGGCCCGCGGCTTCTCCGACTGGATGCCTGGAACCAGCTCTCCTGCTGCGCTCCCTGCGCCGGAAGTTTCCGAGGCATTCATGCAGGTGTCGGAAGCCACTCTCGTGGCTTTGGAGTCGCTCAAGGCTTCGTTCAATGTGCGCACGGCGGCACGATTCGCCTTCTCCCGACTTATCGGCGTTCTGGGGGCGCGCATTCTCCCCCAGCTTCCCCGCTGGATCGATGGCCTTCTCACGCAGACATCATCGCGCGACGAGATGGCTCTGTTCCTTCGGTTGTTAGACCAGGTCATCTTCGGCTTCAAGACCGAGATCACCGGTATCCTAGACACTCTTCTGACACCTTTCTTGCAAAGGGTCTTCTCCGGTATCGCGGACCCGACTACTGGCACCGATGATGAGATCCAGTTGGCGGAATTGAAACGCGAATATCTTAACTTCCTCTTGGCTGTTCTGAACAACGATCTCGGGGCTGTCATTATCAGTGAAAGTAAGTCGTATCTTGTGACTGTCAGCATGATCTAGACTAACGATCTAGGGAACCAACCTATGTTTGATACTGTGATTACGACAATCGAGCATTTCGCCAAGGACATTGAGGATTTCACCACCGCCAAGATGGCCTTCTCAGTGCTGTCAAAGATGGGCAGCTCGTGGGGTGGTCCGGACATTGCGCCGGAGGGTCTGAACGGCGCGGCAGGACAGCAGGTGGCTCTGCCCGGCTTCGGCCAGTTCATGATCAGTCGGCTGTCGCCGCTGTGCTGGGCACTGCCCGCGACACCATCATTCAACTCGAAGGATGCACAGGCTAAGCAGGTCCTTGCGGAAGCCGGTGCGCTTCAGCGGACAATCTACGCCAAGACTGGCATGGAATATCTGGAGTATCTCCGGAATCAGGAATTGCCAGGCATGGGCATGGGGGCAGACCTCGTGGAAGAGTTCGTGGGGGCATTGAGCCGGCTGGACTTGAAGGGATTCCGGCAGTTCTTCCCGGTTCGTATTTATTTTTCCACTCCTGGCTTGAGGCAACGGCTAACATCCCCTGCAGTCTTTTATCCAGCGATTGAGCGCATGATGTGTGGTCTTTCTATATTAAAATATCCCGTCTTCTCATTTTCCTGTTTCTCGGCCCTTTTGACCTCACCCAATCATTCTGTTTCAGTCCTAGATTCCCCCATGGTTTGGTTTGATGACTGATGTGTCTCATGTGATCATTTACACCGAAGCTCTCTTCCCCTCCCATTCCACCTCCTATTATCATATCATATACACACGGTACGCCGTGAATCATGCATTCAAAAATTTCCCATTCGCCGCAATGAATCGGCAGGCCCAAGAGCAGGCAAGCAAGCAAGCATACACAGCACGAGCACAAGCTGAGGAATGTGCCGTGAGAATAAACAAGCCAGACCAAAGAAGAAAAAAAAAGTATATAGTTCAGTTTTCGACTCGGCATAAGCATGAGTGGGCGTTCGAATCATTATCCTATTCCTACTCTGAACCTATTACGCGCGAAACAGGTGGTGGACTGCATGCAATATGCGATAGGCTAGAATAGCATCACGATGATTTCAGAATGGAGGGTAATTCTGCTAATGCTAGTGCTTGGGGCAGGTGCATTGTTCTTTAGCTTGTTGGTTGGGTAGATAGGCAGGCATTCATTATAGATACCATCAGAATTGTTTCTGATTCTGTGTACTGCGACTTGGTTTGGTGCCGTATGTTCTGATATGAGATCTGTCTCTGCTGGGCGACTGCCTCTCCCCAATCTTCTCAATCGTACCGCAGAGAAAGACCCCTGGCCTATTCGGTGGTCTACAATCTTCCCTGGACGACCAACCTACGGCACAGTACAGTACAGTACAGCCCCATATGTCCAGACTACATCCTTACTACGCACCCCCCTTCAAAACCAACCCCATCATCTGCACCAACCGATCCTGCATCTCACAGAAGATACTCACGGCCTTTATCAGTCAAAAGAAATGCAGTCAGTAAGCGCTCCCCCTTGCTCAATAGAACACGCCACAAAAAGAACATACCTGCGCAAGCTTCCCCTCACTCTCCCCCCGCCCCTCCCGACCAAACGCAAGCCGATACCCCGCCTCATCGTCCCGGAACGATCCCGGTGCGTCGTAGCTGATGGGCGGGGTAGTCTCGAAGAGATTCGGGACCGTAGCAGCCGCCGAAGCCGGCAGCGCGGCCAGTTGCTGCAACAGCCCCGGCGCGATGGTGATGTGGTGCACGCCGGCGAGCGCGAGGATCTCGTCTGTGGAGGTCAGGCTGGCGGGGAGGACTTGCGTGCGGCTGTTGATGGCGTGGTAGTAGGTTTGGATCTGGGGGGCGAGGGGGAGGAGGGGGGCGGGGTTTTTTTTTTTTTTTTTTTTTTTTTTTTTTTTTTTTTTTTTTTTACCCCCGGTTCAAAGTGCACCTTTAGTTGATTCACGTAGGGCGCGACATAGGTGCATCCGACCTCGGCGGCGAGCGCGGCTTGGGTTAGTGTGAAGAGGGTGGTGGCGAGGGTGCGCACGCCGGAGGCTTCGAGGAGTGAGCAGGCGAGTAGGCCCTCCCAGGTGCTGGGGATTTTGATGCAGATGCGCGATTGCGGGAGGGTTGGGGCGAGGTGCTGGGTGAGGTGGATGATTCCTTTGCTTGTGGTTAGTTTTGGGGGGGTGAGGGGGGTTGGGTGGGGTTTTTGGGGGTGGGGGGAAGGTGGATGGGATGGGGTGTAGATACGCACTCCACGCATTTGTGAAGGTCTTTGTGGTCGAGTAGGAGTAGTACGGGTTTGTCTGGATGTGGATGTAGCCTGTGATGTGAGGGGCGATCTTGAGGGCGAGTTTGATTGTCTGTCCAGGAAGGATTGATGGCCGTGGCCGGGTTAGCTACGCCCATCCTAAGCAGTGTGCTTGCTGGAGGTGTTTTGAAAGGGCTGATTCGTTACGTACTGCAATCTCGACGGCCAATTCCTCGACGCTGGGCCCGGGGAATTTGGGAGATAGCTCAATTGCTTCTTTGACGGATGCGGTGATCAGGTCTTTGTGCTCGGGTTTGGAGAGCTCTCCAAATGCGATTGCCTGGGGTAGTATGGTTTGGTGAGTAATTGATACTTGGGGATTGTCTCGGCTGCAGCGGACGACTATAGTACCTGGTTGGAAGTGCAATCCTGGAAGGGGCCCAAGGATTTGGCAACTGATCATGATAGACGACAGTTTGGTTAGCCCCGCATTCGAAGCGATGGGTCTGATAATAAAAGCTGCACAGACTTTGCTCATCCATTGTATCGCAGTCGACAATGGTCCTTTGGCGGAGAGCATCCAGTGCTGTCTGCGGGGTAGCCATTGTGATGATGGTATGAGAAGGAGTACCAGGTGAGTTGATAGTGGCAGCAAGTTAGGGAATGATGGAGTAGAAATCGGAGAAGAGGAGGGGAATGTGCTTATAAGAGGGATGCAGCAGGGGGGCCTGATCGGCGCATTGTCAAACAAAGAAAGCTCGTTGTTCTGATAAGCACTGCCAACTCTGTACTAGCTTGAACAAAGGTACTGTACCTACCTTCGTGTTTGTAATCGACACAAGGATATCAGGACACAAGGTCGTAGGATATCACTTCGCCGAATTAAGGAATTCAATATATGGAACAGAAACAGCTTGTAAATTGCGGAGATAATAAATCCGACAACTTAACCGTTCCCCGCTGAGCGATTGTCAGCCACTTCGCGTGATTCCATGTTTCCGTGGAACCTCTCAAGGTATGTACAGTACAAAGGATGGCATCTGCCTATTTATTCTACTTGCCTGTTGGCTGCCTGTTGGCTTCAAGGCTCTTTGTCAACACGTTGCTTCCAAGTTGCAAGCACGAGAAGCAGACTCTACATACATCCTCACAATAACTTCAAGATCCATTCTAGCCGGCAACCATCGATTACGTACTGGAAAAAAAGTCCCATATTATGGAAGAGGTTCACCGAAAGGACTTTGTCGCCATCGCCAGGGCTCTTGCTCCGCCAGCGTCGTCACCCCCCGATCCGTACCGCCGTGTGCGAACTGAGCTTCTTGCTGCTGTGAAAGACGGACCACATTCACCACAATGCCCATTCGTGTCATTCGCACCGGCGGCGCCAAATGACCTTCTCAACATGATTGGGACAATCGCTGGCCCGAAGGGCACACCTTATGAGGGGGGCTTGTTCCAGATTTCTCTCTCTATCCCCTTGTCGTATTCGAGCCAGCCCCCCGATTGTCGATTTGTGACCAAGATCTGGCATCCGAATGTCGGCCACGATGGCAGGATCTGCTTGAACATCTTGGATGAGGATTGGAGCAAGGCCCTTTGTATCAGAGTGGTTCTGATCTCGGTTGCTGCATTGAACGGAAGCCCTGGACAATTTATGGAAGAGGGCGGGACATCAATGCCATTGCGGCCAGAGGCGGCACAGATGTGGTTGGAGAACTCGGCAGAGTTTGAGAAGACTGCCCAGGAGTGGACTCGCCGATATGCCATGTCTTTCCAGACCGAGGGTTAGTTGGTATCACTGAGAGACAGAAAGCCTGCAAGAGAGATTCGAATTCGAACTACAACCACACAGTAACCAGACTCATGCAAAGTAGTATTTCTTGTTTGGTAGACAGAGAAAGATTACCTAGGTACAGAGCTAAAAATGATGGTATATATTATTATAGATTCATTCTTGTTATTCTAAGATATAGTCAAAATTGGAGTATTGGAAAGTGAAGTTATAGATCACACGATTATAGCTTTGTAACTAGTAAGTACTGTATATAATAACACCCAATATCCTTCTCACAATAAAGACAATCCTTGCTTCCTATGTGTAAAGCGGCCCTTGTAATTGATAGTAGACCTGCCAGTAGGACAATTTCTACATTCTGTGCCTCTCTGGGGAAAAGGAAATAGTCTTGTCAGGTATGGTTATCAATCTCCAGAGGGCAAAGTTTCAGCACTTTAGCTCACAAGACTGGTAAATCACTAGCTTTCAATAAATAAAGCGTCACAATACAGCCTCCCACATTATCCCAATCAGATCCGCAGGGATCACTTGTCAACTCGGTACGAGAAGCTCGCACTTGCCCTGTCTTGTTTCGCATTGCTGTCGGCGTAGATTGACAGTTACCAGCCGCTCGCCATGCTAAGAAGTCGCAGAAGCATCATCGTTGACGCCGCTGTCAGAACGGTTGGGCTCATCCTCCTTCCTTAGAGAGCGCCGTGGCCAAGCTTGAAAACATCGTGGCTATACTCGATTGTCGTGCCTCGCTCGCGGACGTACTGATTCAGAGCGCTCTTGGGAAGATCCGGCTCGATGTCCTGCGGAATTTCGGAGTATATATCTCGACCAAATTTGCGATCGAACAAGAGATATCGAATAGGGAAAGGGACACATGCTGCACGATTTTTCTGGTATTCGGTCAGAATAATATCGATGTTGGTGCGATTGAGGTTTTTGGACGTCATTGTGTGTGTGCGTGGGTGGATGCCCTTTGAAGGGAGTCGAGGAAGTATCTGACTTGTAACTGGCTCAGAGTTTAGATACCGGGTGCAGATGATGAGCAGCGTTTTTGGAGCTGAGAAAGTGCTGCCTTATCTACTGTTTTGGTGGTTTGATAGTTGGGGTATCTTAAGGCAGTTGTGTTTAAGCAACGTTGACAGACCGTAATTTGCACCATTTTAGCGACCAGTAGGAAAGTGCCTCTGACTATAGCACATTGGGTCAGTTCCTAGATAACAATGATATGAACCTGCAGGTGTTCCGTAAATCAGTAGAAACACCATATTGACAGTGTTTCTCTGCCTTCTGATACTGATCCAGCTGCTCACCGGACTATTGTACTGCAGTAAGAAATCTACTAGCCGCTATCAAAAAAGAGCTGTTTAAGAGAGTATCAAATTTCTTGTACCCCGGACCAAGCGATAACGACGTCCGAAAGGCTGAACTACCTGGTAAAAATTATGGGACAGTTTTCAAAGCATCCAGAGTAGTCGGGCGCATCTTCAGGACTAACAGCAGAACAGGCCACTTATACATCTGACTAGATATAGTGTACCTACCCTCCCCCTCAGACAGTAAGCAGTGGTCATTTAGCCTAAATCGGAGCGGGGTGAAAACCATTGCTTGTCGATAATCCGACACGATTGTTCTTCCATTCGGCCCAACAGTTCTCTCGCCCTCGAAAGGATCATCGGCAAGAGAATCAATCACTGGCGAATTGGGGTTGGATATGCTGAATCAAATCTGCGGTGGGGTTGTATTCCCTTATCAATCAGATGCCGCTGTCTCAGCCCTAACAATGCCGACATCTGAGGGTAGTGTCCGGGTTAAGGGTTGCTCGTGCAAACATCGGCAATTGATTGACAGTTGGGATACTGCTCATTTGACTGACTGTTCCCTTTAATGATTGGCCTGTTCCAGGGGCCAGTTGTTGTGGTTCTTGAGCCGCTAGTCGCGTACATCCATGATCATGTTAACAGTAGGTAGACCACCGGCGGGCATCACTCCCGCAAGCCGCAGGAAGATGACCACTGTTCCCAGTGACCTAAACCCTGAATCAAAACTCCAAAATCAGAGCTGCAGGACTTCTATCAGGAGACGATCTCAGCTGCCAATATTGAAAGCCGTTTGACAAGCATCCAATTGTATGCACAGAGACTACAATGGCAACCAAGTACCTTTCAACTACAGACTACATCATGTAACCCTGATATGAAACCCTTTCATCTCATTGACGAGAGACAAATGGGCGATTAACGACGGGACAAGTCCTTCTCAGGTATCTCATTGACCTCTGCGGAAACGACAGAATGCCGAACCAGTGAGGCCCTGCATACCACGTCAACATCATCCCAGATGGTAGACAACGTGTGCGGAGACCCTTGGGAGAAGGAAAGAAAAGGAAAGAGAAAGGAAGAGAAAACACGCACACAAATGTAGAAAAGAGCTCGGCACAAGCGCGGGCGGTGAGGGAATGGAAGATGAATCTTCCGAATGGTAATGCAGCATTGCTCATTGGCCCAGAATTCCCCTCCGGGACTGGTCCCGTGACCTGGAGTCGAACCCGAGGTTGTCCGTCCCGTGATTCCGAACCGCTACGAGAGTCGGGAGTTCGAGGCTACTTTCTTTCCTGGTCGACCACGAACCTCGAACGACGACGACATTCCTTTTTCTGTCCACTGTTCAATTTCCAGTCCCTGCACCGCCTGTCAGGTCCTTTCACACGCGTCACAATGCTTTCTCAGAAGGTTGCCCAGCAGTCGCTGCGACGGCGTACGTTCTTACTTCTCGACCCTGCAGCCATGGGCTCCGCTAACCGATTCGTTTGCAGTCGCCGTCCAGCAGCCCTACGCCCTGCGCTGGTCCTTGATGAACTCCGTCTCGCCTGCCGCCGTTACTCTCGGAAGAAATGTTCAGATGAGGTGAGTCGCTGCGCCGAAGGATGGATGAATTGTTGCGACGGGCTTCTCCATTGGGTGGATGTCGCGATCTCGAATTCGACCGCAACCGCGTGAGGCGAAGGCCATGATAGATTAGACACATGTGGGGTCATAGCACACAGGATCGCTAATTTGTCTCGTCGGATTAGACAAGCTACCACCAGCACGACCACCTCCGACCCCAACAAGCTCCTTGCTGAGCAGCGTCTGCGCCGCCCCGTCGCTCCCCACCTTTCCATCTACAAGCCCCAGATCACCTGGATCGGCAGTAGTTTGCACCGTATCACTGGTATCGCCCTGTCCGGCAGTCTCTACCTCTATGCGACTGCCTACCTCGCTTCTCCCATGCTCGGCTGGGACCTCGGCTCTGCCTCCGCCGTTGCCGCTTTCGGTGCCCTCCCTGTCCTCGCCAAGGTCCTCCTCAAGGCTACCATGGCCATGCCTTTCACCTACCACTGCATGAACGGTGTTCGTCACTTGATCTGGGATACCGGTCGCGGTCTCACCAACCCCCAGGTCATCAAGACCGGCTGGACTGTGGTTGGCCTGAGTACGATTAGCGCTCTGATTCTTGCTTTGCTGTGATTTCGCCTGTGCCATACCTTTTGATTTCTGCTCTGTCTAAAATGTTCTTCTTGCAATATATATTCAATAGCCAGTCAATGGATGACTGATTGCTTTTTTTTTCTGGAAAACCCCGGTCTCCTACTTCTTTGTCATGAAGACATGACTTACACGGCCTGCAGAAGGAAGCGGCCGTGTACCATTTCGTAGGGCAATCCTCGGACATTGAGCCCCTATCGTGGATATTGGTATAGGGGGAACTGATTCATACAGCATACGAAGACAGCACGCGAAAACGGCACCACATACTGCGCATATCACTAACATTGTAGCCGGACTAATTCATTCTCTAGAACATTTGCAACAATAACTCCAGAACCCCCATCTTCGGTCCAGTCTATAACGGTTTTCCCCATTTCGATTTCACAATCCCTGCTAAACAAATTCTTCACGCCGATGATTTTCTTTTGCCGCCTTTGGTGCTTGAACAGCCGCAATCCCAGCCGCAGTATTGCCATGTGCCACTTCTTCGTCTGTTACATAGTTAGAACCGATACTTCTATGTCTTTGGCTCTCAAGGTGCGCATCTGCATGTCTTTCGCAGAATATGCACGCTCGAGCGGGAAAGAATGTCCTCACCTATACAGAAATTCGTTATTGATCCAACGACTATCGATCATCATGGTCTGTGATTTCATGCCGGACTTGGTGGAGGGTTGGGAGGGAAAGGCTGAGGTGAAGGCGGATCATGGACCGAACAATTACTCAGAGGATTCCCCTCCCTGTTGATCTCAACTGGAAGAAGGTCCATGCCCGACCAAACTTCGGAACGGAAGTTGTACATTGTCCAGAGTGACATGTTGCGCTGTAAAGAATCGAACCGGATAGGCAGACTGCGGATAGCTCGGGGTATTTTCGTAGCCCGGAGAGGAGGATGTCTTGGGCTTGCTTGATACCACTGACAAACAGAGGGGAGAACAATTGACTGGAGCTGCTTTTGAGGTATAGGACGAAGGCGATGCGAGGTACACACATGCACACAAGGGGTCTGATGAGGAGTCACTGCAGAGCGAGCTACAACCTTCCCTTTATATACTGCCAATTCTGAAGTCCAGAGGCCGGGTCGAAATGGGCTCTGGGCCGGGTCGTACACCGCTATACTGTTCGACTTCCGTCTCCACGGCAAGAGGCCGCGTGGGGGATATGACATTTCCAATGGCCTTAACGCTGATCACTCCGCCAGCGTTGATAGATCTCGATGAGTCTCCCGCCTTGTCTGCAAGGGACCGACGGGTATGAGTCTCGTCTAAAGATGTCGGACAGTGTGCTTGCAGCCGCGTGTCTTGGTCCATGGCTACAAGACAATACCTCAGACACACTGGAGAAAGAGAACAGAAGAACTATGATGAGCCAAAACATACTAGCAGACTGTCCGATCACCGGCACGCTGTGTGAACTAACAAGCATCGAAACTCCCTCACGTCTTTTGACTATCTCAAGTCATATTACCTCAGATCTTAGAACCTGGGCCAGATATTGAGGCTGGTATTTTCTGCCTGCTCTCCATACCTAGGGCCGAGGGTCGATGCGCACACCTTGCGAACAGACCCTGGAACGTAGACGCCAGATGGACGTTTTACGATCTTCCACCCTCTAAGGCGATTCCGGCAGCTTGGCTCGAATTGTGGCTTCAGGATTCCCGGGGAATTGGGGGTGAGGGTGCGTTTGCCTTTGCATAGACGGGGCCCCAGAAAGTTTGCTTCGATACAGGGATTCTGGAGAGCTTCCATCTTTGCAAACAGCCGGCCTCTGCAATACTGCGCCCATCGACCATCAAGCTTACAGTAAAAGTCAACCTTGAAGCATCTGGCAAGCCCGTTACTGGTGACTCGCTCTATTACGTGTACACTGTTCCCCATTTGCCTACTCGTCTTCCTCCAGATTGCCCATTTTCGCATCATCGAGGCAGGTCTTCGTCGGATCTTTCCAGTCAGCCTGGATTTCTAGAAGTGGTCTGCAAACGGCATAATAGCAGTTTCGGGTATATGGATATTCCTGTACGACGAAGGCCTCTTGGATGCCATGTCTATCGCGCGGAAGCACGTGGACAGATTTCTGAGCTCGAATCCAAAGCACCCAGAATCGAAACGATCCTGACCCCAAGTCTCAGCAAATTGCCTGACCAAGCTCTTCCTTCTAAACGGCTAATGCATGAGACCGTCTCCAGTGATGTCTCAAGTCTTCCTCCCGACGGCTTCTGACGGGGTACCTGCTCAGAGTCGGGTAGAAGGCGTTCAACGGCCGCTGGGGATCGTACTCCTTCCAAATCAGAGTATCTTGTGGTAACTGGCTTGCTCTTGACTTCCTACTACTCACTTTACGGGGAACTACAATCGGATTCTATGTTCCCCGCAGAGCGGTGTCGTCCGGAGAACGGGGTCCAATACAAAGGCTAACGCCTTGAGCGGTTCTCGTTGCTGGCTCAAGAGTTTCGGGGGCTTTGAGAAGGACTCGTCCCCTCTTCGCCTTGCTTTGGATCTATATCACCTGCCAGTGCGACACTGGCCCGTTGGAACGAGAACCTCCCGGCCGTTACGTCCCCTGTCAATAGCAGCTTTGAAATATGCAGAGGCCGTTTCACTGAGCTCTTCCGACTCATCCACTGGATGGATAAATTCTAACAGTTCCATTGCACGTTGGATATGCACAAGGAAAAACGGACCGACAGAGGTGACACGGAAACTGCCCCGAGGTTTCCGTCATCCGAAATTTCGGCTCCTGGTTGTTACACATTACAGACAGGGTGGGAAGTGATATGCCGCCCTTCCCCCTCCCCCTGTCAGGCCATATTGCGGTGTAGAAAGAGTCTCCAGGCGGACAGGCAGGCTCGGGGCTGGGCGGTTTACTTTCTGATGTTCCCCCCGTCCATCCTGTCAACTGTAGCCTACGAATAGCTCTTCCGTAGTTGACTCGTGTTCCGACAGGCTATAATCATTATTACATTTACATTGACGAAGGTCCTAGCGATTTGGTGCTTTTCTCTCGCATCTATCGTCTCGGACTCCGAAGTGATCTAGCAAGTCACTGGAGCTTACGGGTTCTTGCGCCTAGATCTACCCTAAGATCTCGCCCCATCGTCGAAGAGGGAGAGAAGGTGATTCATGGGGAAGTACGTAACCTTCCGTCGGTTCATAGTACGGCATTCATTGGCATGCAGTGGGCCTTGATTATGAGGAGAGAGAGGATAGATACTCATACGTCAACTTTGAGGTCAATGGCAAGATATATAGTACCAATGCCGGGTTCCGATAACGCGGAGATGTCCCCGGAGCCATTGTTGGAGATGGGTCGCTACGTTGGTCCACAGACGCAGCCCGTTAGAGCTCGAAAACCCTGTATCATTTAGGCCAGCATAGCAAATTCGTTTACTATTGCTGTGGCGAGAGGAGTAACTTACTCATGTATAACCTACAAGATGTGTTAAGGTACTATACAGTACAGTGCTGTAGTCGCTCATGCCCCGGCCCGCAAGAACGGGACTGAAGGGGAGCGCCGGAGGAGGTACTAACCCAATCTGGAATAGCGCATCTCCGAATTCTTCCTGGAAGTCCATCATCAATTATAGTTGTTGTTGCCATCGACCGTGCCCCCCAAAAAAAAAAGAGACAGCCCCGGACTGGCGAACCCCTCACTCTCACACCCCTTCTCCACCACTCCGAGTTCCGGTTTCTCACAGATTCAATGGCTTCGACGCTGTCCACTCGCGCGGTCAGGACACTCTCCGGCCCCGCGTGCCGCACCCTCGCTCGTCCCAGCGCGATCGAATCCGCTCTCCTTCCGCGGCGAGCCTTGTCGACATCCACGGAGGCCGCGCCTGCCAGCCAGCAAGATCGGCCGCGGTGGTCCTACACGCCCGAGCGTGCGAAGGCCCCCTTCAGTCTGCGCATTGATTCCAAACGCCCGGCCTGGAACTCCAACTCCGACCCCAAAGTCCTCGATCGGTTCTACATCGGCCTGCTCGGCCCTGATGGCGACAAGGTACTATCGGACGAGGTCAAATGGCTGGCGGTGACGCACAAGAGTTTTGATCAGGGACGGAGAGGTTACAACGATCGTTTGGCTTTCTTGGGTACGTACGGGGGAAAAAGGGAGGAAGAGGGGGGACGAAGGGCTTCCTTCCCACTTTTACCGATGACATGACGACGGCGGCGGCGGCTAACCTTCGATTTTTCCCCCTGTCGATAGGCAAACGCATCGTCAAACTACAGGCTTCGCTGGCTCTGGTGCAGGGTCCAGCTGCCAGCGCCCCGACTCCGGACGCCTATGGCCGCATGCCCTTTACCCATCCCGATCTGGAGGGCTTGAGCAACCTCTCTTACAACGTCAAGAACTTCATGACACACAAGGCCAAGATGGCGCAATTGGCAAACAAATACGCACTCCAGAAGGTTTTGAGATGGTCTCCTCGGCAGGTGAGTGACTTGCGTTGGGTTGGAATGAAAACCAATGCTCTTTTTCCCCTAAGGCCCCCCCCCCTGGGTTTCTATCATGCTACAATGGAGAGCGCACGTGAGATGGGGAAAACAGGCTGTGGCTAACGTGTGGTCTCTCAATCTCTTTAGCCTCTCAACCTCCAGGCTTCCGGATTGGAACTCGTTCTCGCTCACACGATGTACGCTATTATCGGCGCCATCTCGCTGGAGAAGGGCGGCGACGTCGCCAACAAGGTGGCACGTGAGCGGATACTCAAACCCCTGGGCCTTGGGCTCGAGGCATGAAGACGTCGGGGAGGCAGGACCGAATTTGAATTCTTCGGGGCAATTCTTCGCAGGGAGCATATCTAGGCGTTTATTTTCCTTTTTTGCCTTTTCTCCTTTTTTTTTTTCCGTCCTGGGGGATCTTGGTTCCCACTTGTGTACTGGGGGATCATCACTTTTCGTTCGACCGTATATTATGTATTTTTAACCACCACCACCACTACTATGACCTGTGCTATATGGAACTGCAAATACCAACCCGCAAGATTTCTTTACTCGCTCCTGGATATTCGAGTACATAGCATGTAGCAGGTTAAGGTGGACAATACATAGATTAAGAGAAAAAGATGGGAATGTACGGTTCCTCTGACACCGCCCGAGTAACAGTAAGCAAAATACTCGGCCAGCTCTTATGGAACCCTCGAAAAATTCGATGCATCGTCTTCGCACCTTGGTATCGCAAGATCAGCCATGGAAAACCGAGAACAACCAACAGAATGTCGAGTTGAACTTGGAAATCGCTTGGATGCAATTTACACTGGCTTGCACTGTCTAGAAAGGGCGTATGGTACAAAGAAAGAAAAGAAAAAAAAAAGCCGGAGGAAATTTCGCAGCAGAAATGCGAATTTATAGTGTGCTTGGTGTCTTCTGCGCTAGACTTCTTTGAGAGTAGCTCAGCTCCCTGAGAAGGCTTAGCGGCACGTGTCCTGATGCCTGAGGCGTGGTTACTTACCGAGACGTTAAAACTGGTAATCAATGGCCAGAATGCGAGGGGGTCTGGTGTAAGGTTTGTATCAGGCCAGACGGACAGCCGCAATCCAGCCCATTGACAACTTTAGGTATGAGTTCACTAACTGCCTTAACTTTAAGGTCAGATACACCAACCATCTTGTACTGTACGTGTATCTTGTTGCAGCGTTGTTGATGCTTCTCCTCCATTGACCTCAACTGACATTGTTCACCTTCAGCTCAAACCCCTCCCCTTTCCTAGATCCAACAAGCATGTCGAGTAACTAGTGGTCTGGCTGGCCTCTCCCGTTCACACTCGCCAGCGTCTCTCTCCCGCACCGACTCCCCTTCCCATCTCCATCTCCTTCCTGGCCAATTCTCACTCTTGACCACTTCCTTACTCCCTCGACGTCGGATTTCTTCCCATCCTTGTCGCCATGGCGTCGGCTATTTTCTTCCTGGATCTGAAGGGCAAGGTAAAACTACCCAGCAGTGCCTCCGTGTCCATTCTCCCCCCCTGGTACCTGACCGTCTTAGTAGACCCTTCTAGCCCGGAACTATCGCGGAGACATCCCTATGTCCGCGGTCGAGAAATTCCCTATCCTCCTCAGCGACGCCGAAGAAGAGAGCTCCGCCGTCGCCCCCTGCTTCTCCCACGAAGGAATCAATGTACGTATCGACCTGTCCCCGCCGCAACGCCGCCGCCGCCGCCGCAGGTGCGGCGCACACACATGCACCTCCCTATTTACCCCCGCTGTTCCCCGCAGCCCGCGCCCAGTTGCTGCTGGCTTCGTACCAGCATCACTCATCACCCCCCTCCCATACCACCTCAATGCGTACTTGCTTGGAAACGTGGTGCCTACCGCAGCTATATTTGGGATTGGTTCGTTTTTATTAATTATGGCATTCGGCATAGTACCTCTACATCCGTCACAGCAACCTCTACATCCTGGCCCTGACCAAGAAGAACACCAATGCCACCGAGATCCTCCTCTTCCTACATAAGATCGTCGAGGTGTTTACGGAATACTTCAAGGTGTTGGAGGAGGAAAGTATCCGGGACAATTTCGTTATTATCTATGAATTACTCGATGAGATGATGGACTTCGGGTACCCGCAGACCACGGAGAGCAAGATCTTGCAAGAGTAAGTTTCTTGGATCGGTCTGCTGCTTGCCCAACTAAAAAAAGCACATGGCGGATTTTTCCTCAAACAAAAACAGCGGGGTGCTGACTCGGGGTGCGCAATAATTCCAGATACATCACACAAGAATCACACAAGCTCGAAGTCCAAGCCCGACCACCTATCGCGGTCACCAATGCCGTCTCCTGGCGAAGCGAGGGGATCCGCTACCGCAAGAACGAAGTCTTCCTCGATGTTGTCGAGTCCCTGAACCTCCTCGTCTCCGCGTCTGGTAACGTGCTGCGATCGGAGATTCTGGGCGCCATCAAGATGAAGTGCTACCTGAGTGGGATGCCGGAGCTGCGGCTGGGCCTGAACGACAAGGTCATGTTCGAGACCACGGGCCGCGCCACGCGCGGCAAGGCCGTCGAGATGGAGGATGTCAAGTTCCACCAGTGCGTGCGACTCTCGCGCTTCGAGAACGACCGCACCATCAGCTTCATCCCGCCGGATGGCGAGTTCGAGCTCATGAGCTACCGGTTGAACACGCAGGTGAAGCCGTTGATCTGGGTGGAGTGTCTGGTCGAGTCACACTCTGGTTCGCGGATGGAGTACATGCTGAAGGTGCGTTGAATTTCCCGAGAGGGGGGCAGATGGATGGAGATGTTGGGGCTTGGTTGACTAACGGCACACATCCGCTACAAACGACAGGCCAAAGCGCAATTCAAGCGCCGCAGCACAGCCAACAATGTCGAGATCCTCGTCCCCGTGCCGGAAGATGCCGATTCGCCGCGGTTCCGCACCAACATCGGCACCGTCCACTACGCCCCCGAGAAGTCCGCCATCATCTGGAAGATCAAGCAGTTCGGCGGCGGCAAGGAGTTCCTGATGCGCGCGGAGCTGGGACTGCCCTCCGTCAAGGGCGACGACGAGCACGGCGGCGGCATGACGGGCGGCTTCGGCGGCAGCATGGGCGGCACCGGCCAAGGCAAGGCCAAGCGGCCGATCAACGTCAAGTTCGAGATCCCCTATTTCACTACCAGTGGGATCCAAGTACGGTACTTGAAGATCACCGAACCAAAGGTATGTTGTCACGTCTTACTACATCCATTATAGACTTCTTGAATAGTTCAGTTCCCGCTAACCCGACGGCTTCGATAGCTACAATACCCTTCCCTCCCCTGGGTACGATATATAACCCAGTCGGGCGATATCGCCGTCCGCATGCCAGATGTACAATGATGTATAGCGTTTTCCAACCCTCCCACCCCCACTTCGCATGTACCGTCTTTTTTCTGTCTCTTCTTCTAGTCCAAATCAGATCTATTATAAATACTTTCTCCCCCTCCTTGCCCATGGATCAGCCCAGTACCTGGCATTCCTATACATAGACAGTCATGAATATAGTTTGGCTGTCGTGCTTTCCCCTTGCTTCTTCTTTGAGTGTTGTTTGGGTAGGAAAGAGCCTGACGCCGGAGCAGCCCTACTCGCGACCTCTTTTCATTTCTCTCGGAAGTATGGTTGTAAATCCCTCCTTCTATGTCCAGGCGGAAGTATTCCCTACTTAGGGTTTGGTAGTGCTGGCTTTGTAGTGTACATCCACATCGTTGTCTCTGCTCTGCTGCCTCTCAGGTCTCAGGTCTCAGGTCTCAGGCTTCGAGCTCAGATGGAGAAGAATCAGCGGAAACGCTAACGGTGTTTGGTTGGAGTGGAAGACATCATGAATCGTAGGCGGGAATCAGAATCGAATTCGGCCGAGAGAGAGAGCCGCCGGATAGACCATCCGTAGGCTTAGTTACTAGGTACTCACTTACTAATGACACCACCTACTAATTTAGTGACCGGACACCCAATTGTAATTCCCGAACCGGATGTAAAAGAGGATGACCTGGGAAGAAAAGGAAGGCGGGCAGGGAATGAGAGGGTTGAGAGAATATATAGAGATCTGTATGTAGGCTATCGAGTTCTTGGGAGAATCAGGTATAGGAATGAATAGTTGGTGACGATTATGCCAAAGCATACTTTGCGTGGACATGGGAGAAGGTAAGTAGTGGGATGTGGTCGAAGAAGCGGGGAGCTTTTTATTTATAAAGGATTTTTGGGCTGACAAGGCTTGAATACATACACAGATACATACAGGACAAAGGCTGAGGAGATTGACGATGCGGCGCATGCTAATCAGGTTTGGAGATTGAAGGGTATCTTTGAAGGATAGGAGTGTGGGGGGGAAAGGGAGTTGCATTGTGTGGTTCAATGCAGGCACTGAGATTTCTCCGGTCGGGGCTAAAGGAATTGGAAGCGTGGGAGTTGGCTAGTGGGTGTGGTGTCTAGTTTGCTTGGTGGTGCAGTAAGGTTGTTTGGGATGGGGTGGGATAGAGGATATAAGGGGGGGGGAAGTTAGAACCTCCCTTTTTGGCCCCTTAAGACAGGGGGATATGCTCCTTGTTATGGTGGATGTGAAGGCGGAGAGCCGCGCATACGCTTCTTCGACATCGGACGGACCGCGTGTCATTGCTGATGAACTCTTGATGGGGAGGTCAATTTGACCTCTTGGTCCATTGATTTAATGGTAAATCAATCATGCGCCCCATTGGTCCCGTCGGGCGATTCGACGGTAGGGAGCGGGAATCCATCGCCGTGGCCGGTGGTCGCCGCTTTGGAGAAGCCCTCGCGGGCGAGCATGGTGTTGAGGACGGCGCAGTTGTAGGCCGCTTCGCCGGGGGGCACCACCAAGAAGATGTAGGTGTTGTCCGTGAACCGGCCGAGGAAGACGTTGAACTGCGGAGTCTTGGTGTGCATGACGACGAACCCCGCAGACGCGGGCGTGGTGTGGGTGTTGCGGGCGGCGCAGTGCTTGAAGGCCTTCATGATGTTGGAGAGGCGCTCGTGGCGGTCGTAGATCGGGTTCATGTCGCCGATCTCGGATGACACGGACGTGACGGTGAGGAAGGTGGAGCGCTCGAAGAGGATGACCTCCTCGGCATCCACGCGTTTGGCGAATGCGTGGAGGAACCGCTCGATGACCGTCAGATTGGGGATGAGCTTGTGGACGATGCCGGCCCAGGCCTTGTAGAGGGACTGATCCCAGATGCTGCTGCCGAAGGTGTCGATGGAGAAGTGCTCCGACCGGCTGCGGATCATGGCGGAGCGTTCGTCGTAGATCCGTTGCCGGTGCTCGGCCTGAATGAGGTCGAGCTTGTGGACAAGGCAGAAGACGTGGGCGTTGGGGCTGTACTCCTTCAAGGCATTGATGATGGCGTTGTAGGTGTCGAGGTCGCGCTCGACCTCGCGGGACTCAATGTCGAAGACGTAGATGAGGACGGCAACGTCGGAGAAGATGTTGCCTCGTTGGGAAGCGAGGTAGGTCTCCATAAAGGCATCTTGTCTAGAATGAGGATCTTCGGTCAATGGATGGATTATTCAATGCAAGGCCCGAGGTGTTGATTGACCTACCCTCCGCAATCCCAAAGGTTAAGCGTGAGGTTCCCCATGAACTTGACATGACTATGCTCGACATCAATGGTGGCACCCAGGCGTCGGACATCCTTGGCCACGTAGTTGCTGAAGATAATTGATCGCATAGAAGATTTCCCCGAGCCACTCTTCCCCATCAGAAGAACCTTTCTCTTCTTCTTGCGGAGATCCATATTTGGGGAGGGGGGGATTACTATCCCGTTGACCGTACCCCGCACTTAAAAGAAGGATAGGATCTCAACAGGAGAGATCAGGAATGAGGAGGAGAGAGTGCTAATCAATGGGAGAAAAAAGGTAGTTTTTATCCATCTGAAAGTGGATCTTGCAAGGGGAGATTGGTAAGTGGAGGTAACTTGAAGAAGCTACAGAACGAAGGCTCGCTCAATCAAGCAAAGGGCCGGAGGAGTTGGAGGACCAGCCCAGCCTCTCCCTCCCGCCCTCCCCGTCCTTCTCAAGCGTCATCGCTGTTTGGGTGAACAATGTTCCGGAGGCTGCTACCTTCCAGTCACGTGTAGTTACACGCATCGGGTCATTTCCATCTTAAGCCTGGAGACTCACACGTGGGCTTCCCCTCAAAAGGTACGTAGTCAAGATATATCGGGCATAAAGGCTGTACTGTATGTACATACACATACAGTTGTACAGTTGTGCAGTTCTTGATACAAGTACTCGAGAGTCTCTTTGCGACTTCTTTCAATTCATTCCCCTGTAATGATTGATGTAGAATGTACAGACCAATATCCATGTGTACATGAAAAAGTAAAATATCAGAATCCCCCCTGGTAGAAACAAATGTACAGCAGACGCCAATTAGGTATAACATTCAAGGCGTTCCAGTCCAGAATCGACCCGAATGGTGTTCTTCACACGCAGAGAGGGAGAACAGTAAATATGTAACAAGGCGAAGGAATATCCGGTCATCAAAGTCATAAGCACTTCCACCAGCCGTAAGGTAATCAGCAAACGCGAGCTGGCGGAGTCAGGTATCCAGGAAATCAACGAGGTATGCGATCATTAGAAAACAGTGCCGTCCGAGCGTATCATGATGGGAGGCTCCTTCGTATTGGGCCTGGATACTTCGGCAATCTCGCGACCACCCTAGGGTTGCTTGTTAGCATGTTTTCACCTCAGTGGGTATCAGACATAGATTTCCAGCTTACCTTCCATGAGCCTGCCTCTAGCATCTGTGCAAGTGTCAACTGGTCTTCTCCTACCAGCCCCAGCTGCCCGTTGACTTCTGACAACAGCTCGTCTAGGAAGCCAACAGTGACGGCGCGCCACTCCACCACCACATCATCATCCGTCGAGAAAAGGGGCACAACCTCGACATTTGGCTGTCCTTTGATCTGAGCATTCTCTCTGTATGCCGTGAGCCCGCGCTCCAGGTCTTTCTCCTTCAGACTCAACAGTCCCATATCAATCAGTAGGCCGCCGTTGCGATATTCGGGAAGACCCGTCAACAGCTCACTGCCCGCAAAGTGGATCTTCATCAATTTCGACATGGGAACCATGATGGAGTAGCAGAGCCATTGCGTCAATTTGTGGAACGGGACGATGTTCTCCCAGGGCTGTGCGGGTGGCGATTTAGGTAGATCAGAGCAGGGCCATGCGTCTCCGATAGACAGGCCGTCGATCTGCGTTCTCGAGGGAGGCCAGATCGGGGTGAGTCCGTCCATGAGCACACTCCAGAGGGTGGTGATAGGAACGATCGGAACGGACGAGGCGAGTGTAGACGGGTGGGAAAGAAGGTAATCTGCATATCGTAGGTTAGCCGGTGTTAGGCAGAAGACAGACCGGTCGGTCTTCGCTTACCTAGCAAGTTTCCGGGTCGCGCATCGACGCCGAAGAAGTCTTGGTTGTTCAAAGCTTCAGAAAGTCGGATCAACAGTCCAGCGCGACCTTGAATGCCTGCAAGCGGGTTCTGCTCCGAGTGTTGCATTCCCTTAGCAAGCACCTCCACGGTAATCTTCTTCAGCCCAGCGCCGTCCACCTGACAGGGTTCTGTGGGGTCGCTGCTGAACAAGCCACTCTTGAACATCTCCAACGTAGCTACTGCCAAGCCTTCGCTGCGAGAGTAGATCTTGCCCGACTCCTTGGATTTGTAGGACCATCCGTTCCCTGCGCCCGCATCAAGAAGAACGGAGACAACAAACAGATCGATCAGCCGACGGGTCCGTTCTTGCGCGTCAATAGTACTAGGCCAGGACTGAAGCAGTTGGTTGACGCGGGGTCGGCCACCCACGTCAAAGTGCTGCCAGCGTCCATGAGGAGGAATCGCGTCGTAGTCGGGAGCATAGTCTCTCTAGAAGGAACCAGCTTGGTTAGCACCGAATCCCGAGACAAATACGACGGGGGGTCCCCAAAGTGGGTGCAGTTTCCTCTTACCTTGATGATAGATACAATGTACGAGGCAGTGGCAATGAATTTGCTCATATCAACATCGAAGTGGTTGAGTCTGTTTCTCTTCGCCTTGTTGAGAACGTATGAGCATCGTTCGCGGACGGCGTGGATGCTCCGCAAATAAGCTGCGGGATCCAGGGCTGGATCGGGCGGTTTGGCAATCGGCATCTCTGGTATGGAGGCAGGCAACCCACTTCCCTTATACCCGGGGGATCTCAACGATGCACTCGAGGTACGGGCACTGTTGGCGGAGGCAAAGGATTCCTGCTCATCCTTCTCACTCTGGATCGAGTTCTTAGAGTCTTTGCGCTTGAAAAGACCCATGGTGGGCGGAGGGTGTGTTGGTAGGTTAGAGTGGGTGAGCGGGTGGGCGAGATGGATGGATGAAACACAGCGCTCAGAGAAAAGGAAAAATAGTTTGTTTTCCGTGAAGAAGTCGAGGATGGTAAGAACCAAGGAGAAAGAACGATAAAGTTCCAAGGCTAGACTGAACGTCTGGTGTCAGCAGCAGAAGTGCCGAACGCAAAATTGGGCACCCAGAAGAGAAAAAAGGTCGTAAACAGAACGAGGAGATCTGCAGTGGTTGCTCCTGGCGGGAGAGAGTGAGAGTGAGGGGGAAAGAGAAAGAGAGAGACTGGAGTGACGGAAAGGAAAAAAGGACAGGGCCCTTAGTTTTTACATATGAGTTTACTTTTGGGATCTGGCTAGCTGTCTAGATTTTGCTTTTCTTCTTTTATTCTGAATGTGAATTTTATTTTTGGGGAGGAGGGGGGGAAAGAGGGTGAATTATTTTTACATGAAATTACCATGTTTTCTTGTCATTTCTGTGCCTAGAAGGATTTTTCCTACGTATTTTTCTTATGTATGTTTATTTTGATTTTAATTTTTTTTTTCTTGCTCATTTAGATCAAGGTTAGCAAATGGAGGGGGGAAAAGAGTCAAACTACTAATAATAAGGAGGGGAAGTAATAATAACAATAATAACGACAACAGCAACGACAGTGTAATACAGAGCGGGGGCAGTCGAGGGGAAAGTCGAGCTTAGAGAACATTAGGAAAGGTTAGGAAAGGTTAGGAAAGGTTAGGAACCTTAGGAACCTTAGCAGGGCTACTAAGACCTCCCTCATTGGCACGAAAAGGACCCGGGTAATTGAGCCACGGCCCTCTCTACGGCGCAGAACCAGTAACCTAGTCGAGTTTCGGAGTCGGAGGTGGAGAGCTTGGGAGGGGGAAGTTGTTTAAACCGGCTGCATGGCGGATTTTAGTCTCTGATAGAGACAGATGGGTTTTGGTTTCTCTAGTCAGTCTAGTCAGGGGGGGCCATACAGTGAGTGCATACTCCATACTGCATACTGCATACTGCATACACACCAACTGTTAACCAAGTAAACATAACATAACAGGAGGCAACCACCGACAGTCCATGGAGCCGATTACTGATAGGATAGGTGCCCGGTCCTGTCAATTGTTCAGTCAGACCTAATACTTCTGGCCCCGCAAACCAACTGGTGCTTCTAAAGACCTGAGAAGCTGAGGGGTCAATGAGTTCATTGAGTTTATACTCCATGGATGACCATCGAGGCAACACATCCGAAGCTAGTGATGAGGTCAGAGCCGTCGCAATCTCACCCCGTTCTTTATCTAAAGTCCTAGACTTGTACTTAGTACTTGTAGATTGTAGATTGTGCAGTATGTACTACTGTACTGTGTGCCCTAAACCTCCTGCGATGCATGGCAGCTGCATCCATCTCAGTACCGCATACAGCTGCAATACCGGACTTTGCTGTATTATACAGTACCATTCTCATCTGGTACCATACCGTACCTAATCAATACCTTCTCGTCACTACAGGACCACCCAGTACTCGTACTAACTTACTCAGTTGTCTCCAGCTTACTTTTTCAGGAGCACCATGCGCCCCTCAAGGCAGCTATCAAGTCGGCCACTGTGTTAATTCGTTGAGTGCCAATTTCCCAGGTATGGGGCATCTGCTACGGAAATGGATCCAAGAGGGGACCGCAGGACGCAGGTCGAAAAGGCCACCTTCAACCCCCTCCCCTCCCCTCCCCTCCCCTCCCCCCCGTGCTACGGCCGACAGACAGGCAAGTCGGCTGTCCTGGACCCAGATCGATGGAACCAATGAAAAGTAAGTTTAACTAGTGAGGATCAGAGTAAAAACTGGTAGTCTAAGAGGAGCAGGGTGAGCACGGACAGACTCGCGCTCAAGGCTGTTCCGGGTCTTGGAGTCTTGTCTCTTGCGCCGCCGCCGTCTTTTCCCCCTCGCCCCAGTCATGCGGATCTAGCGGTTTGCCGGCAGCCATTTTCTTTCCACTCACTGCACATCAAGGACCTCGCTTATTTTCTGCCACCGTCTATCTTAACTCGATTAGGAATTACTACAATTGCATCTCATCTGAAAGAAATGGAAAGGAAAAAAACCTTCAAAGACGCCAAAGTCTGCGGGCGGGGCAGAAAGCGTAAATGGATATGAAGGGTTCTGTTGTCGTTGGTGGTGGTGGTGGTGATTATTGTTGTTGTTGACTTTGGGGCTTTGTTGACTGCTGTAAGCGATTTCGGCGGATCTTCAGCACATACCCAATGAAAATTCAAAGATACAAGCCTACTCAAGTGCCAGCTTCGAATTACCTTGCTGATTGACCGAACCTAATTCGACTTGCAAAAGCTCCCTGGTATCCGCGCGGATAACAGCCGAGCCCACCTCATTTGGGTTTCTACCCTATCGGTTGTTTTCCCCTTCCCTCGGGGACGAACACAGAACACAGAACAATTGCTAGCGATGACAAAGGCGACAACCCGGGGGGCGTGCGCCGAGAGGTTAGCCAAGAACACAGGGGTTTTCGCACTGTGTGGGTGTTGGACGCGGAATGCGATACACTGACTGTTTCGCACTATTGACCCAGTAAGTAGAATCAATGCCCTTTCATTGCCAAATATGCGCATTTTCATCTCATAAGAGATTGACACACTACTCCAGCTTTGCCAGCGCTAGATGCCCCTAGCGATAATGACCAAGCTTTAGATCCACTGCCAGTGGCAAATCGGTCCCAGTCGACCCCGACACGGTGGCTGGAGACGGCATCAAGCGTCTGGGTACCAAGAAAGGCCTCTTGACTCTGACACATACCCCTCCACGGAGTCCGTCTTAGATTACGGATATCCAACCTTTGCCACATTTAGCACCCGGAATTATTGTATCACCCATCTAAGCCTCAATCCCAGACCCGAATAAGCTACTCGAGTAGGTCGGAGCCTCGGAGGTAACTTATCGGCCCCAACCGATGATCTACAGGTGAGTCCGTTAGCAGAAACATGGAAATCCGATGCTCAGGGTTTTCACCTCTATGCAGGATTCTTCTCCCACTTGGTTGTCGGTCGCTGTAGTAGGCAAATGCGAGTCAGTGACCGGAGCCATTATAGGGGAGAGTCGCAAATAGTTTGCTCCTGCGGGGCGCCGTTCCACACCAACTCGAGGATGATCATGGGGAAGAACCATATGACCCTCGAGTATTATTGAGCATTGACTACTTACTAGCCGAGGATCTAAGGCCCCTGCTTTCGACTATGGGCCATTTATGAGCATCACTTGGCCTTTGCACCAACTACTAAGGTCATTACATCATCCGAGCCGTCTCTCGCGTCCTTCACGGGTGAGTGCGAGTCGTCATGCTATCACTAATTCACTATTCACTATTGTAGTGGCACCTCGAGACCTGAGTCTAGTTCGATACTAGCCTTTGTACTAGATCGACAACTCTATTTGCATACGGAGTAGTCATCCACGAATGCGCGCTCCGAACGGGGACGATGCGCCGATGCGCGCGGCTACGGCTTGGAGTGAACCTTAATGACTCACGCTTCGGCCGGGACTTCCTCCACACCGGCGTCGATCTCAAACTGCAGCTTGTGTGTGCGAGGTGTGACTTTGTGACAACCACAAGTCTACAACTCATGTTCGCATCAATATGCAATTCGGCTGACATGTTTTGCTGGTGTGCGAATTGCCCGTGGGCTTTGCGCGACAGTACGTGGGTCGTCGCGTATCTGAACCATGGATCGCAACATGTCCAAGCGCCGCCAAAAGTTTGGAACGGGGATCTGCCTGGGGCAACACTGGGAACAGCTCTTGACCGTGCTCGTGTGTGTGGGACACATATCCACTGACAGTGGATACTGGATGTCAATGCCCGTGTGAGGCTGTCCCGCTGCAGATGAGCCGATAAGTCTCCTGCAGAGCGGGACTCAACATCAGCTCTGGTGCCCAAACCTGTCAATGATCCAAGAGGCTGACTAGAGACGCTGGGCGAGAGTACTACTCGTAGCGCACTTCGGTCGCTGCTTGGCTCGACTGCGTTCAATCAGATATCGACGTTTCAACGCTATAAGCTGTTGATGTGGAGAGATGAGGTCTGCTAGCCTGTTGATGAGACTGCCATTCGTGACAAGATGTACGGCACCATAGTAGGTATGTCGTACACTTGCTTCATATCTTCCCCACAGATTCGAGTGCATTGTGATAGGCTCACCGACTGATAACTGCCGCTTGATCGGACGATCATCGGTACATCCATGCTTGGTTATGTGGTCACCTTTGTCACTTCGAAACGCCCAAGCCACCGACGTGAGCTCGAGCTAGAACATGTCCGTTGCGATAAACATCCCCGCATTGGGGTCTTTGTTGGCGAAATCATTAGGTGGTCTGATGTTCTATACATCCGTAGGACTTCACTGTCTTCTGGCACTTCGATTTTGTGGGCAACAATTTGGAAGGCCTGCAGGCACTTGAAAGCAGCGCCTTGTTTAATAATGCTCGGCTATTACTCGCCATACACTATGCGGTATGCCTTGCGCATGTTCTGATATCATGAGGACCGTGAATCCAGCCCGGTGCGCAGGAATACTCGTGCTCGGACATTACCAAGTACCTGCTTCTCGTCTGGAACGGGTATCATACCGCCCGCTTCTGACCCTGTTTTCAGCACCGTAGGTACAATACTATGCCATAACTGACCCATGAGGGAGAACCGCCAACGGCTGAGGGTAAACTCAGTATGGTAAATCCATTAGCCGATAGAATAAATTTCCGAAGTGCATTCTCGCGCGTTTCCTCTAGTCGTAACACTGATATTGTCTCTCAACTCCTGTTGTCTTGTGTGGCCATAAGTACCATCCTCGCTTGTCGTTTTGATTCCCTGATCGGGGAACGTAATCAATCCTACTTAGCGGCCCCACCTCAGGGTACCTCAGGCTCCCAGCTCAAGTGGGAAAAACAACATGTGGCTGACAGGCTATACTAATTGCGCTCTGGTACCCAACCTCTCTACCTCGGCCAAGGACATGCATCGTACGACACTGTGGACAGTTTTCTAAGACTTGACGCATAACTCAGCTAGCTCAAGGGCTTCCGATCAGAGACACATGCTTGACCTCTTATAGCAAGACACTACTGCATAAGCATGTACTGTGTAACTATGTACTAGGCTAAACAGTAGACCCTCCTGGCTTTCACCATGAGCCGGCGTGCCGCTAACGCAGAGGGACACGGTCCTGGCCGTCCTGCTGGGTCTGCCGGATTACATGCTTTAGGTTCATCAGGTAGGCGTGTCAGAATACGGGTACGTACAATGCGTTCGGTCCCGTATTTACCCAACTGTACGTATGCTTGGTCTCCAGGGAAGGAATGCACCAGCCACGCTGCCAATTTATATGCTAAATATCGTCAACTGCGTGGGTACAGTACGTTGGTTCCGTGACCTGCGCCATTAGACCCTTGAGGTCTCTCAAATCGAGAACCTCGAACAACCACCATCGTAGGACTCCGGCTCTCATACATTCTTCCCTGGTGTGTTTCGCAATAAAGCGCCTGGGTCACTCAACAAAAAGGAAAAAAGAAATCGACAGCGCTGGGATTCGAACCCAGGCACCCGAGGGTATGAGATTACTAGATCTGATGCGAAGAGCACACAGATGTTCAAGTCTCACGCGTTAACCACTCCGCCACACTGCCATAACTTGGAAAAAGTGGAACCTGAAAAGACACCATACCGGATCTGCGTCGCCGGTGCATCACGTGATACGCAAATAGCTATACAATTGTCCGTAGCCCAGTAAACCTTACTGACAAAAAGCATGTCGTAGTTACTTGCTCCTGACTGTGTATTCTCAAGAGGAAGCCCGTAGTTGTGCAGCTGAGCAGCTTCTTGTTTACCCTTGTAAGAAATGGTCAAGACCCCCCCCCCGCAAACTCTATTCGTCGCAGTGCTTATCCACTCCGGGTATGATCACCGCCGTCAACTATTGGCAATGCGCGTCCCTCATCTAAATGGCTCCTGTCAAATTTCGATGGACGGTAATTCTGGAACATAGAGTATCTTGCTGGTACTTTGTATACCAACTGTTGCGCTGTCATGTGAAGGCTTGAGTTCCAGCCATGCTACTTGTCAGTTGCCAAATCGTTCGAAGCAACTCTTCCATGATGACAACCAAACACATTAGTTCTATGCCATAGATCTGGAGGCAAACCAGCCTTATAATTCAGACCTCCAGTTTCACCGCGAGAACCTTCCCGCACAATCCTGCGAGTCTCGTGCATGCAGCACTCAACTCGAAGCGCGGAGATGAGCTTCATCGACTCTCCGTCGACACTAGACCCGAGAACGAACAGCGCACCAACGGAGCAGCCTGGAAAAGCTCTGGTCAATCTATCTTGTCATTACGAGACCTCTCGCCTAGAACTTCCCTTCACTGAGGGTTGATGATGCTGATGGAGTCACCGAGAGCCACCGGGACCCATCCATCCAGACCAGCTCTGCCCAATTCTGGCTAGGGGGGGTATAGAAGTATGGACGGCATCGGAAAAGTTAGGGTTAGGATGCTAAATCTGGGCTGGAGTTTCCGCTTTCTCCAGAACGAATTGCCGCGCTGTTTGGTCGGCGTCAGACCTACGGACCGTGTCATTCTCCCATTCGGGGCGTCAGGATGTCTGTTCTCCACCGGCTGGAAGGAATCCACTGCTGATCTGCCTCCTTGTGCCGTGACAGACGGGCTTTCCCTGCCGCTCCCAAGGGTCAGAGCCGGAATCCCTAGTCAAGTCTTCTCCGGGAGTGTCTGTGACTCTGTAGCCGTGATCAAAGCGGTAGAAGCCCTCGTATATCCTTTACATATATCATTAATCTGCCGCATGGCACACTAATTCGGACACTCTGCCTATGTACAGTAGCATGAGTATGAGTCCAAATGGAAGCTCAGATCCTCGTCCAATGCGTTGGACACGATCTTACTTGTAAAAGACCTGATGTCTCTTCTACTCTCGTTTCCACCAGATGAGAACTTTTCCAATCTAGCAGAAATTTCCGAGACAGTCAATAATCCCTGCAAAGCCCGATCTAGCCAAAAGGGTCTCTAAGACTAGATTCGAAACCCGATGTCGTCGATGGGTTAGTAAGCGGCTACAAAGGCCGAACTCATAGTCACGTGGTAATGAGCACACAGCCACATCGTCTCAGCCACGTCAGCCACGTCAGCCGCGGTGACGATCGCGGCCCTCCAACAGCCAGGGGAAGCTGGCGACAGCCGCGGATAAGGCCATCGGACTACTCTACCTACCATTTCTGACTCTGAATCCGGATGCAGAGCCTGACACTCTTTCATTGAACCCGCTGTGACCTTAGATTGCGGCTCAGATTCCCAAGCTTGCCTCATTGCCGACTCACTCTACTCGAACCGCCCCCGCATGGTATACTACGTTCATGGTGGGTTCACCCTCACCTGCGAATTACTTCTCCGATCCTAATTCCAAGCGTCTAGGCCCAAGCCCATTGATTCCTCACACCCGATCACAATGGATGACTTAAGCGGTCTGAACTGGGCGTCTACCTCGTCCAACAATGACGCCCGCAAGCCTCCCCCCATGAGCTCGGGTTCTTTATTTCAGAATGTCCGTCGCAGTGAACTATCTGGCCGATCCACGCCGTTATCTGCATCCTCCGGTCCCTCCAATCCGCCGTCAAAGTCCGCAACACCGGATAAAGACAGCTTTGCAAACCTGGTCTCCTTCAATGCAGCTAGCGCGAACAAGAATCTCTCGCTCCTCGAACAACAAAAGCAGCTAGAAGCGGACAGGGCCAGAAAGGAGGCGGAGAAGAGATCCCGGTTCGAAAATCAATATGGGGGACAGAACAACCAGTTCTGGGACAGTCTTGAGCGAGGGGGAACCCCGGCAGCCTCGGTGCCTGCCACTGCCACGGGACAGCAAAGCGCAGCCTCTGCCGATGAAGATGATATACTTGCCGCCTTCAATGCATCCGCACCCGTAGATGCCTCGACGCACTTTCCTGTACCTAGTGCAAGCCCTGCGCCGCCGGTCGGAGCGGGCTCCTCTCAGGCTAGCCATAACGGAGCAGGCGCACCGCTGCACGGAGGCAGCAGTATGGCTTTCCCCGACGACGACGATGATCCATTTGGCCTCAACCAGTTGAAATCTAAGCCCGCGCAACCATCGCAGCAGTCCCAAGCTGCTAACGATGATGACGATTTCCTCGGTTTGTTGGGTAAGCCAGTCTCTGAGCTTCCTCGGCCAGAGCCTCCCGCCAAACCACCTACACCCCTGGAGGCCGAGCATCATGCTCCATCTCCGAGACCTACAAGTGGGATCGATCACGCCATCGCGGAGCTTGTTGATATGGGATTCCCTGCGGATAAAGCCAGCCAGGCCCTGCGCATGACGTCATCTGGTACGGATGTTCAGGCGGCTGTTGGCTTGCTTCTCACTCAGGCGCATGAAGAATCCCGTCAGAAGTCCAGGAGTAGGCCATCCGGGGGTGATCGCGCCCCCGCTCATCCCGAGAGAAGCAGAGAACGGAATGAAAGACCTAGCCGCGATGTGCCCTCGTGGATGCAACAAGAGCGGTCCCGGAGCAACAACCGCTCGCCAATGTCCGCGGAAAAGGACCCGTCTCAAATCGCAGCCGCATTTGGAAATAATCTGCTGAAGACAGCGAACTCTCTATGGAAGACTGGCAACAAAAAGCTGCAGCAGGTGGTCCAAGATTTCAATGTGGATCATGATCCCAGCCAGCCGCGATGGATGAGGGAGACACCCGCTCATGCTCATGGTGAACCTTCGGGTGATCGTCCTCGCGAAGATCGTTCGCGAACTTCTACGCAACCCAAGGCACGGCCTGAAAACATGACCGATGAAGCATTATTGCTCGAGTCAGGCGGCCCAGTTCGTTCATCACGAAACCTTGCACGGTCGAACGATGGGCCTGCGCCTCGCACTGCCAGCACCAACGTCAGGCGACAGCCGTCTCCGCCAAGGGATCGGCCGGTACAACAGCCTGCGTTCATGCGGCAGACACCGAGGAGTGAAATGAGGGATCCGAGATCCCGTTTGACAAAGTCTGCTGTGGAGGAGCAATCGGCGCAAGCTTACGTTAGCCCGGCAAGAAGAAAGCGCCCTGTCGCTCAGTCCCCTGCTCCGGAGCCGCAAGTCGACCTGTTTGATTCCGCAGCTCCAGTCCCAGCTGCAGCTTCAGCTTCAGCGCCGAAGCCGAAACCCTCACCTTCGCCCGCTCAACCCTCGCGTACCTCCACACCATCTAAACCTCTACCCACCCGACCCAAGGCTCCGGCACGATCAATCCCTCCCGTGTCGCCACAAGCACTTTCTTCGACCCATCATCAACGCGAAATCGCCGCGGATGCCTACAAGCGGGGCGACTATGGTGCCGCACACGAAGCCTTCTCCGCAGCTCTGACACCTTTGCCAGATACACATCCCATTACCATCCTTATCCGCAGCAATCGCGCCATGACGGCCCTGAAGGTTGGTGAGCCCAAGGTGGCAATCGGAGACGCGGATACCATGCTGGAGTTGATTGGCCCAATGAAGGGCGAAGGCGAGAGCATCGACCTCTGTAATGGCGAGGCCGCCAAGCCGATGAAGGACTTCTTCGGCAAGGCGTTAATGCGCAAGGCCGAGGCGTTGGAACAGCTAGAGAGATGGACCGAGGCCGCACAGACCTGGAAGCTCGCGGTGGAAAGTGGACACGGAGGCAGCACGAGTATCCAAGGTCGCAATCGCTGCGAAAAGGCCGCCGGAATCAGCAAGCCCGCCGCCAAGCCCGCCGCGCCTGCCCGACGCCCACCTGCTCCTGCGCCGAAGAAAGCAGCATCTGCTCTAGCCGATCTGCAAAGCTCTTCTGGCGCCTCATCAGAAGCCGTCACTCGCTTGCGAGCCGCCAACCAGGCGGCCGAGCGCGCCGACGAGGAGAAATTCGCCCTGTCGGAGAGCGTCGACGCCAAATTGGCGGCGTGGAAGGGCGGGAAGCAAGACAACCTCCGGGCCTTGCTGGGCAGTCTGGATAGCGTGCTCTGGCCCGAGGCCGGCTGGAAGAAGGTCAACATGTCCGAGCTCATCATGCCCAACAAGGTCAAGATCCAGTACATGAAGGGCATTGCCAAAGTGCATCCCGATAAGGTGGGTAACAACCTGATATGTTCATGCCTCATGATCGTCTTTCAGCAACTGACCTCTTCATCTAGATCCCCACAGATGCCACGACCGAGCAGCGGATGATCGCCGGTGCAGTCTTCGGCGCCCTAAACGATGCTTGGGACAAGTTCAAGAAGGAAAACAACCTGTAAAATAAAATACAAAACCTCGGTTTTCGCCCATCAGTTTCCCTCCGATTCCCCATGATTAACTTTTCTCCTTGTCAGCCCGGCCTCAGACCCTTTCCCAGATCCCTTGCTTGGGGGGCTAAGTGATCTCAATCCATGATGTTTTTCAACATACACAAATTTCATATTCTCCCTTTTTTCTCTCGTCGTACTCTGACGGCTGCTGACGACGAAGCTCCATGAAATATTTCCCCCATTTTAGCATTTTATTTCTCTTGTACATAGATAGAAACTAGAAACGAGGGCCGGGGGTGGGCCCTATCGGGCAGGGCATCCATCCCCTCGTGTGTGAATTTTTTCTGATGGCATGAAGATGGGATGCACACTGTAGAATTTCTTGAACCGATCGATCTCGACGCAGAAACCCGAGCACATACTTTCCACCTCTCTCGTTCTTGCGACATGGCTGGCCAGGCTTGGTATACCCATCCTATTGGTATGGAGTATCCGGGTACATCAACCACTACATAAACATCCCTGATGGGCTTGGAGGACAGGACAGTATTATATCGCGTCTGGGAAGATAGGCCCTAAGCTTTTTTGTTGATAAGAAAAAACTAACTAAGCTTCTTCAGAGGCATCGGCCGGCTTTTCCCCTCCTGCTACTACCTCCTGCTGCTGCTGCTTCTGCTGTTGCTGCTGCTGTTCCTCGGCCTCCTCCCGCTGCAGTTGCTCGCGCTTGAGCTGCTTCCTTCCCTTGGGCTTGTCGGTTTGCATGGGCTGATCGACGCGGTGCGGGGGCCACTTGTCGCGGCATTTCTGCTCGTCTTCCTCGGTCCACTCGCGCGGCAGGACGGCGAAGACCAGGTAGGAGGTGTGGGTCTTCAGGTTGTCTTCGGTGCGATGGACGAGACGGCCTTGTTTGTACAGCGGGATGTTGCTAGAGGAGGAGGAGGAGGAGGAGGAGGAGGGGGGCGCAGCCTGTTCCTCCTTTGCGGGGACAGCCGGTCCCGAGGACGCGGGCAGAGGGGTATTGGCGGCGGTGGTGCTATTCAGAAGGTCCTCCTCCTCCTCGTCCTGCTGCTGCTGCAACTCGCGATACTTGCGGGAGTGTTCCTCGACGTGGCGCATCTTGGCGACGGCCTCGTCGACGGACTTGGGGAAGACGACGGCGCCGCGCACCTTCTCGTACTCGAGCCCGACCTTCTCCCGCTTCACGTCGATCCGGTGGTTGTTGACCTCCACCATGGAGATGTCCAGCCACGACAGCTGCCGCAGCACGCTCACCGTCCGTTGCACCTGCTCCAGGCAGGGGGAGAATGTGCACAGGTAGACCGGCGACGTCGGGTCCAGCGGCGACTCCGCGCCCGAGGCCGGGTGGCGCACGAGGTGCTTCAGCGCGAGCCAGGGCGCGGGCAGATCCAGGAACACCGCGTTGGCCTTGGGCGAGGTCCCCGTCTCCGCGTCCCCGACGAGGAACCCGTCCTGGTAGACGTCCCGGTGCGTGACGTGCACCAACCCGTCCAGGCCGTGTTCCTTGAGCTCTTGCCGGACCTTGCCGACGCGCTGTTCGTGGAATTCGAAGCTGGAGACTTGGCCGAGTCGTTTCTTGTTGGGTGGTGAGGAGGTGGAGGAGCAGGATGAGGGGGGTGGTGTCGTGTCGTCTGTTGTCGTGGTTGTGGGGTATCCGTTGAAGACTGCTCGGACGGCCGCGTGCGTGAACGAGCCGCTGCCCGCGCCGGCCTCGATGATCGAGCTGCCCGGCCGTGCGCGCAGCCGGTGCAGGATGTAGCTGTAGTCCGGGGTGTAGACGACCTGGGTGCGGTGCGGCAGGGACATGGTCCACAGCTCCGGGGTCGGGTAGACGAGGTGCAGGAATCCACTGGCCGCGGCGACGGCGGCCTGCGGCGAACCGGATGGGCTGTCGTTGGCCCCCTCCGCCGAGTCATTGGTGGTGAGCTCGTCCGCTTTGCGCTTCAGCTGCCGGTTCTTCTTCTGCGGACCGCGGCCGCGGCGCGAGCCCGTGTCGACCTTCGAGGCGATGATCTGCGAGCCCCATGGTTGGCCGGTGAGGGTGGTGTGCGGGAAGGAGCCGAAGCGCGTGGTCGTCACTTTCCCTTCCTTGTAGCCGGCGTTGTCCTCGTCGTGGAGCTGGAGGACGGTCGGGATGGCTTGGTCGCGGCGGAGGTGGAGGAGGGCAAGCTGGTTGAGCTGCGAGTGGGAGCCCGGGGTGAGAAATGGTGAGGCCATTTTTTTGGGCTGGGCTGAATATGTGGGTGACCGCCGCGTAGAAGCGAGGATTGACCTTGGGATGCGATGGAAGTGTCCCCGTCGCCGAATTGAGGGCTTCAAGACTTCGTTCGAGCTTCTTCAACTTCTTCAACTTTCTTTTGCGACGGCGGCGTCACTTGCTGAAGATCCTCCGTTCTATACTCGATTGGGAGACCAGCGTAGGGCTTAGGGCTGTGGGTGTAGAAGGCGGTGAAGGGGGCAGAGGAGACGGCGCTGATTGGTTCCCTTTGTCTGTCGGCTGTTTCTACTCCATCCTCAACAAGTTTCGCTAGGTATCAACTTAAGAACATTCCTATAGTTCAGAGGCTCTGGATAATGGGCTGCATATTTGTTCATATCTTGAAGTCTATGGACTCGGTACTACCTCTTGATTTCTGAACCTCGAGAGATTGCTCCGAAGGGGAGGGGCTGTGATCTCGGAGATTCACATCCATCATCTGATGAACTCGTCCATCACATGCTGCAAACCCCCCGAAAGGGTCGATAACATGATGAATGGATACTGGGGTCAGGAACTAGAAACAACATACCAAGAACGTCCGGGGTCAAGAAGGTTGGCTTAGCTTGCAGTGTTTGTGCTAATAAATTCGAAATTGGTCATGCATCCATGCTCACTGGCCTTTGTCTAGGCATGTCGCCTCTTTCTATTACTGATCATTAACCTCGGGGCGCTGAACCTCGGCAACTTTGCTCTTCCCCACAAGGGGTCTCCAACGTCTTAACGCGGCTTTCCCCAGACTATCCCCAGCTATCCAAGACCGTTAAACTTCGGACCTCCTTAGAAAATAGAGACTTTTGGCTACAGTTCTTCCTCGGTGTTTTCTCGCTTCATCTGAAACCATCGCAGCATTTTCCCAGAACACTTTAGCCGGTGGAATCGGTCGGCCGTCAACATGCCTTTCAACACCCTTCTTACGAGGAAACTAGGCATCAAAGGTACGTCCAGAATCAACAGACTGTCTGGCTCACCTGCTGATTATTTCAAGTCCCTGTTGTCCAGGGAGGTATGCAATGGGTCGGATACGCTGAGCTCGCGGCGGCGGTCAGCAACGCAGGCGGTTTGGGAATTGTACGTATCCGCGATCGCCTCAAAATCAGAACACGAAATCAAGAAAAGACTAATCCATGGAGAACCTACTCAGCTCACTGCCCTCACACAACCCACCCCGGAAGACCTCCGCAAGGAGATCCGCAAATGTCGAGCCATGACCAAGAACCCCTTCGGAGTCAACCTGACCCTGCTCCCCGCCCTCGTTCCTCCCGACTACGCGGCCTACGCCCAGGTGATCATCGATGAGGGAATCAAGATCGTCGAGACAGCCGGAAACAACCCGGGCCCTGTGATCCAGCAACTCAAGAAAGCCAACATCATCGTCCTGCACAAGTGCACGACGATCCGCCACGCCAAGTCCGCCATCAAGCTGGGCGTCGACTTCTTGTCGATCGACGGATTCGAGTGTGCGGGCCACGTCGGCGAGAATGACATCACCAACTTCATCCTCCTCAGCCGAGCGCGCCAGGAGCTCAAGGTGCCGTTCATCGCCTCCGGGGGGTTCGCCGACGGACAGGGACTGGCGGCGGCGATGGCCCTCGGAGCGGAGGGCATCAACATGGGAACCCGCTTCATGTGCACGGTCGAGGCGCCCATTCATAAGAACGTGAAAGAGGCGATTGTCAAGGCGGATGAGACGGACACGGCGTTGGTGATGCGCCGCTGGACGAACACGACCCGTCTGTTCGGGAATAAGGTCTCCAAGGAGGCTCTGAAGGTGGAACGGGAAAGCAAGACGGGCGAATTCAGCGAGATTGCCCCCTTCGTGAGTGGCAAACGGGGTCGTGAGGTGTTCCTGACCGGTGATGTCGATTTTGGTGTATGTTGTTCCTCTGCCACCCTCTCTCCTTGCGGTCTTCGGAATCTCCTGGCCTCCGGCTAACTTTATCTTAGGTATGGACTGCCGGTCAAGTCATCGGCATGATCCATGACATCCCGACATGTGCTGAGCTTCTCGAGCGAATCGAGAAGGAGGCCGTCCAGGCGTTGGATCGGGTGAGGTCGTTGCACACAACAACGGCACAGAGCAAGCTGTAGAAGACCCAACCTGATTGCTGACTGGTCGGATTGAGAGGGTACTACAGTACACGCGGGATATGTATTACGTTTAGGTCTTTATGCAAGGAATTAGACATCACCTCCGTTTTTTTTTTTCTGCGGTATAGTCTGTTTTTCCCGTCACGTATACACAGGCGCGCTCACCCTTGCAGAGCGATGCGCTCTGTCAAGGGATGTTGGGGGAAGGGGTGATGTTGAACGAAACAAAGTGTCTCGCCCTCGCCCATCACCCTGCGACCAGTCAGAAATAGCACGATGGTGCCAAAACGTTCTCCTTGATCAACACATGATGCATACCCCGCGGTGTTGCAGCTGGGCCCTCTCCTTACATGCCCCTCCCAATACGCCGGAGAATTGCGATCGCCAGTCTACTGTACTCCGCATCAGCATCATTGTATGGTCTTGGAAAACGCCGACCTAGCACAGAAGAACTGCAGAGCTGCTGGCGGGTATACCGGGTAACGAGGTTACAAAGCAGCTGCCCTGGATCACCACTCCGGATACTGGACGGCTATCATGATCTTATTCTGGGCTTACCCTCCTTGCAGCTATTCAGTCAAGGTCTAGACTAGACGTTGTGAGACTTTGTTCTATGTCCGGTTCGCTGACTAGAAGCTCCTAGGGATTGATCGTCTACTCGCAATGAAGCCTCTTCGGTATCTGAGACCCGGCGAACTAGCCTTCACGTATAGTGGCATCACGATGCTATCACCACCTTACCAACATTTGCAGCAGGGGCACACTCTACTCGACAAGACCTGTGTCTCGCCTATCGCAATCACACCCTCATATAGGGGTCAATGCAAGAGTTATCTTGACCTTCACAACCCCCAGCGTCCAGTAATCTAACCCAACTCAATAAATCCTCCTATGACCTCAAGACAAAAGATCGAGATTGGAACTTTATCCCCTCCCCTCCCCTCCCTGTCCCGGAAGTATCAATCTCCCCGACAACGACCACAAAAGAAAGAAAGGATAAACCCAAAATCAGCGTTGAGACAACCAGTCCCAGCGGGGTCGGTAGAAAGTGACCAGAGCCCGACGAAAATCACGGAGGAATACTTCAACAGCAACAATCCCCCACCTCAGAATAATCATGACAAGATCAAGCGTGAACTCCGACCTCATGCGTCGACCCCGAAACATGGGGGTTCTCTCCACGCTCCTCCTGCCCTGCATCCAGGTGCGCAAGCTGCGACGCTCGCGCCGCCAACGTGATCACCATACCTCGTGGTCCTGCGCGGGAATCCCCGAGTTTGAGGAGCAGCACCAGCACCAGCAGCAACAACAGGGAACCACCGAGAAAGAACTTCATAACCAAGACACCGAAGGGTACACGGAGCTGTCGAGCTTCCCCGAGAAACCACAACAAGCCGCGACAACAGCAGCAACAACAACAACGCTGACGCACACGAAGTCCATTCGGCTGGTCAGCTGTGCGGACTCGGAATGCTCGACGCTGGGGCCGGACGATGGTCCGATTCTGGAGAAGGATGACGAGGCAGGGGACCAGGAGAGGGAGGATTTCCTGGCGGGCAAGGAGAGCGCGTCCGAGAATGGCAATGCGACTATGTTGTCGTTGCTGTCGGATGAGGAGACGGATGTGGAACAGTCGAGTGGTGGTGGTAGTCCGCCGCTGGTGCAGAGGGTCATTGCCATGGAGGTGGTCCCGTCTTCACGGCCGCCATCGCGCGCTGGCGCTGGTACTCCAAAAAGTAAAGATGATCTGGATCTGGAGCTGGCGAGCCGTCGGGTCCCCCCAATTCCAGCGGCTGATCGACGGCCCCGGCCGGCGAGTATGGAGGTTCACTCTTCGACCGGGGGCGCGCTGAAGCTTCCCGAGATCAAGAGTCGGATGATCGACGATATTCCGGAGGATTTCGAGGGGGAGATCGCCGGCGTCAAGGTCCGGCCGTTGAGACAGGCTGCGAGGAAGAGTGCGGTTCTGAAACCGACGGTTCAGGAAGAAGAGGGGGATGAAGAGGACAAGAAACGCTCCTCAACCTGGCGACTCAGTCAACGCAAGTCAATGATCGAGCTTTTCAGTCTTCTTCAATCCACCGCAGCAGCCGTCGCCGCGGCCCCGAAGTTCTCGAACCTCAAACTACCTCTCACTCAGAGGTCGCCCTTCCGCTTCTCCACCAACGCCGTCGTCGATGAATCGCCCTCCTCGGTATACTCCACCACAGCCACCACAACCTCACCATCTCGATCAGCAGCACCACCACCACCCACAACGCCAACCAAGAAAACCAAGCTCCCCTCCCCACCACCACCCACGCCTCCCCCGAAATCCCCCAAACAACTCCTCCAACAACGGCCCCTCCCGCAGACCCCGCAACGCAAGCCCCGACACAGCAGCTTCCAAGAGCAAATCTCACCCCCAACGGTAACCTACCGCACCACCTCAAGCTCAAGTCCCACCAAGAAACAACGCCGAATGGGCACCGTCCTCTTTCCTCTAACCTCCTCCTTCCGTCCCAGCGGTGGTAACAACAACAACAACAACAACAACAACAACAACAACAACAACAACAACAACAACAACAACAACAACAACAACAGCAACAGCAACAGCAACAGCTCAGACGTGACGACGATTCCGACAACCAACCCTCCCTCCCCTTCCCGTCGTCAGTCTCATCTCCAAAAAAATGCACAGACTCTTTTTTGCTAGCCACGGAGTTCGGGGTACCGGTGCAGGGGTTCGGGTTCTCTTTTGTTGGTGTCTATGGTCTATCTCGGGGGGGTTGGTCGCTTCTTTATTGAGGGCTTTGTTCGGCTTCTGAGGACTTTTCTGTTACTTGTAACCCAAGAAATCACCCTTGTATCACCTTTGGGTTTTCTCTTCTCTTCCATGGTGTATTTACTTTCTTTGAGATGATTGTATCATCTGTTTCTATGGGGGTGTCTACTTTCTTTCTGTGTGTGTGTGTGTTGATTAGTTACGGGCCTGGTTGTTAGTTATCTGTTGATCGGGTCTGGGGTGTACCTTCTAGGGTTCTATTTCTGTGACAGTTACTGGGTGCGATGACTACCGTATCAATTCCTACACCTCGGTTTCTCTAGGTCTGATGATGGAATGGACTGAATTGAGTTGGGAGAGAGAGAACAGCACGGAGATGGCAGGAGCTTGGAAGTCTAATCATCATCATCATCATCATCATCATCATCTATTTGTTCCTTGTATCCCACCACAAGCACCTTCATCGATATCCACGCAGGTAGCTCGGCGGGATCATCAAGTCCCTGAACCAAGACACCTTCTTCCAAAGTGTACTTACTGTTCTTGAGCTGTAGTCCTGCACAAGTACAATATAACACGACTACCTCGCAACTCGCAATTCACTGCCTACTTTCTAGTCAATGATCGACCCCGATAGGAGTTTCCGTAGGATAGGGCCGACCTACGGGCTCGACTGTGCCTTTTGCTACTGCTAACTTATGATACCAGCCAGCCTTTGATATGCTCCGAGAGCCTCGGTGATCCGATAACCAGAGCTAAGCCTATGCAGGCAGCGTGCGTGCAGGGTTTGTGGGAAAGGGTTAAGTGAGAGGGACCCTGAAAAGAAGGCAGTGGAGTGGACAAAGTTTCTTTTTCTGGGGATATCCATACGGAATAAGAGCGTGGGTTGTTGTTGTTGTTGGTGTGGTTCTGTGTAGAGCAGCGGGTGACGTACTACTGCTACTGATGTTAGGATGCTCTGTGATTGGGCTTGGTGGTACATGGGGGGGCGGACCGGGGCGTGCCTTGTGGGTAGGGCTCTGCTGTGAATGGTGGCTTGAAGGTAGGGAGATTTAGTTCGGTGGTTGAGGATGGTTCGTCGGGGGAGAAGCTTACCATTCTGTCTAGTAGAGTGCCCGCTCAGTTTATCTGGTTAAATAAGTCAATGGGTGGGTGAGAGGGAGTTTCAGTAAGGTTAGGTGAGAATAAGACCAGGCGGGGGAATTATGAGGAGTAGAGATGGGAAGTTAGTGAATGGAACTGCAGGAAAAAATGTCCAATGGACCCAAATGGCGTGGACAACTACGAGCTACAGGATACAAGTGGAAAAAATCGGGTAAAGCAAGTCTAATGCATTAAAGCTATATGCCACGACACCGGCGCTGGAGCACCGGGAAATGCACAACTAATGATCAGATCATAGTTCCAAAAAGCAAAAAAACACGAATCTTCTTTCTCCGAGAGTGCCACAGGCGCACAATTAATGGTACATCATCTGCTCAAACAGGAATAACCCGCAATCCTCCAAGACCGGAAAATCACAGGGCGACCTGTTTTCCTAGCCCCGATCCATGGCCCCGAAGGGCTTGACGAATAGTGGCCATAAGCAAAGACTGAACCCGCTTACAAGATAGAGCCGAGGGCAATGCAGGGCAGGGCAACGCCAATGAGGGAGTCGCTCTGTCGGCGAGGTTAGCAGCTGATATGGGCTGAAGGAGCGGCGGAAGACACTTACGGCGTCCGAGGGGGAGCCCTGGCAACAGGCGATGTTCTGCTTGCACTGCTGGTTGACAAGATCCTGGAGAGGGATGCCAATGATGGGGACTGTGGGTTGTTAGTGAGGCTCTGATGCAGCTATCCAAGGGAAACGTACTCTGGAGATCGAGCTTGGAGCACTGGTCGAAGAGACCGAGACCCTCAGAGCCGGAACCAGTACCAAGGAGGTTACCGAGGGTACCAGCGAGGATACCGTCGTCAATAGTGGTGGTGTCACCGGCGTAGGTGGCCTTGTTGCAGCAAGACAGCTGAGCCTGGTCACCACACTTGGCGGAAGCCTGCTTGACGGTCACGTCGTCAGGGACGGGGAAGCGGACATCGCTGTTTCCCTGGTTGCCGTTGCCGTTGCCGACACCAAGGTTGCCGTTGGCTTCGGGCTTGCTAGGCATGGCAGCGACGGTGGCAGCGAGGGCCAGAACAGCGGCGGAGATGGTGAACTTCATTGTGACTGTGGGGTTGGATTTGAACGAGAGAGTGAACTCGGATGAATTGTATGTATAAAGAACGGTAGGTCTGTAAGAGACTGGAGGGAGAGAATGCTCAAGAGAGTGATTGTGTGATGATGAAAAGAATCGACTGGAGGGCAACTTTCACCACCCTTATATAGACTTTCGTGGAGGCCCTCGAGCTCGAGGTCCATACACTGTCGAGCCTAACAAACCGGTGTCCTGCACAGCACAGCAGCAGCTGCTGCTGTTGCATCCTCCTCAGCATGCCCCTTGTGGAATGCAGAATGCAAGGACATGTTCGCCGTCCTCGTTCCTGAGGATCCATACTTGGCTTGGTCCCCACTCCCTGGGCCAAGAGCTCCCTCTGCTCCAGCAGACGGTATGGATCTGCCCTAGCTATCGCCTCTGGTTGCTTGCTTGCAGCCAGCCGGTACTGCCGCGATGCTTTCCAGCTCAGACTCGGCGCCTTTGCAGGATAACTGGGGTACATTGCAGCGAGGCCAATGTCTCATTCCTCCTACCCATTCAAGTCGATCGTCATACAATCTCTTGCCAGCACACGTTTGAAGGTGCATGCTTATGCATTTCCCTTCGTCAAGATTCTTACCCTTCCTCGTTAGCTCACAAACAACCACTCCGACCCTGGACTCTCAACAATACCTCGAGAACCCGATGGCAGCCACTTTCCGCCACCGTATCTTGTCGTATACCCTTTGCCACAAGCCCTACGGCCCCAGTCGTCCCTTCTCGTCGCCCTCACGCCTGACTCCGAAGACGCTCGTGCGGTATGCGGGTGGCGTGGCAAGCATTGTTGGGCTGGGGTCGACCCTCGAGTAAGGTTGCAGGGCATATGCAATAGCATGCTTCGAGCTGCAAGGGGTGGGGAGGTGTGGATCAAAGATCGAGGGTCTGTCAATCAATCCCTTTCCTCCTTGTTGTTCCCAAACACATACCCGGAGCTTGATGTCCATGTGGGCGGAGAGAGAGGGGGCTCTGTAGCGGTGGGAAAGCGCAAGGGGCACAAGATGACTAGTTGCTACCTAATTTCCGCGTGCAAGGACAAAGTAAACCCTGTTCGCGGAATTTCTTGCCCGTGCCCGTGAATAATCATGTTTTGATTTGTTTCAGAAAGAATAGTGACTGTGCAATCCTTTCCTTGGAATTTGGCTTTTTCGGAACAAAGAGACCTGGACCTGGTTGTCATGGGCAGCGGAACTCGGTTTCATTACTGGATTTGAGACACATGACGAGGCCGGATGGTAGATCCTTGTTTGCGGTGTCCATCCGTTGGTTGGCTGCTGGCTGCTCAGACCGCAGGATGGCTCATACTTGGGCTGAGTTGGTGAACGTACGGGTTGCAAGTTGGCGTTCAGCGGTGTATTCGATCTTGATTGTGGTGCAGTGCAGATGCTGGTTTGTTGTTCGATGCGGTTGGCGAACATGTGATCCTCTTCTTTTTTCCTCGGAGCCTGGGAGCCTGGGTGCCTTTCGGCCTCGACTTAATTGTGAGGCATCAATCAGTCCAGGTCAGTCTACAGTACAGTGGAATAGCATGCACATATACAACAGAGAGATTTTGCAAGCAAAACCTGTTAGCTCTGTAGTTAAGACTGATTACTTTGGTTGGGGCATATTCGAAAAGATTTAAATCATAGCTGCCGGTATATCATGAAGTCAGAATATCTGATGCTTGTGCACAGATAGATGTACATACATATATATCCTTCTACTCTGTGCTAATACCTCCTCTGACCACCCACTGCTCTGGTATACATTATTAATTTTCACAATTCTAAAATCGAGCCTACACTTCAACCCAGCTTTATCCTTCACAGAGCGAATGGCTGTCGAGGCAATTATGTTAGCCCACTGTAGCTGGTATCTCATTCCCATCACAAGTTTCGATATTGAAAAGCCACTCGGCTAGCAGTGCTGAAAGGTCATGTGACATATGTTCTAGATGTACTAACTTACGCAGATATCTTTCTTGTACTCACATTTCGGCAAAAGAGACCACATCTATGAAACCACCAGTAGATAAGAAGTAGCCTCGTTACCCTCTATACCTTACAAAAGCTTCCAACCGACCCAAAGCCAAGTGTGTCGCATGTTCAACGCTCATCAAAAACCCCTCATATGGATGGCCTGAGGATGCGAAAATGCAGACTCGGCCAAGTAGGGGCATGGACTGGTTCGGTCTTTGCCGATGATTAAGCCTGGTCGTCGAAGCAAGGGTGAATCTGAGCAGAACGGATGCTTTGAATTGAGCATGGGCACAAAACCCTTATACATTGCTGACCTGGTTGTGTCTCTTTAGATGTCGGAATGCCAAGGTAGTTTTTACTTCGGACGGACGGTATGGGAATTGTCGTCTCGTAGGTCGCAGCAGAACTGCAGATATAATTGGAGCTCTTGCTGAGAATTGATACAAAAGTGAATAATCTGTCGGAGCAGCTTAGTCAATAGTGAAAGATCCAGACTATGGAGTCGATTTTGTAATCCGAGAGGAACTTATGAACCTTTGACCGAGCATCAGTATATATCTCAGGCTGACCGTCATATTAGCTTTACTGGAGACTGAGCTCAAGAAATAAGTGCTACTTGCAACCCAGACTCCCTATATGACTGATACTAGTATCTCATATTCGATCACGATCTAAACCATAATTCACTTGAAAGACTCCAACAAGAGGATAAGGTCCGAGGTCATCACCTATACTAGGTAAGGTAGGCGTATCCCCAACTGCTTCCACCTCCACCAATCAGAAACCCCCGAGATCGAGACACTGTCCCGGGACATCCACTAATCCCAAACAAGCTAGCGTCTAAGCTACCCTTCTCGGGTCCGCTCCGACTCTCCCAGATGAGTAAGCGGTCTAACGGGGCAGCTTTCGCTATCAGTTTCCCCAATTCCTTCCACCATCTCTTCCTCTGCGCCGCCAATTCAGCTCCGGTTATCAGAGAGAGAAGACAAGAATTCGCTAAGAATCATATGCATCCAAAGGGTTGCTGACGCTCTCTGACTCGAGCTTCTTACGACAGAACACGGTCGCTTCGTGCATTACGCGCGCCCAAAGCAAAGCCAAAAGAAAGAGAAAGAGAGCTAATCCCAGCATGTCCGCGACGTCGCCGCAAGACGTCACGGGTGGTGGTGGTGGCGTCGCGTCCCCCACCCCGGAGTCTTCCCCGCGCAATGCAGCGCAGGAGCAGGTCACTCCTCCGGATGTAAGCACGGAAGAGACAGCGTCAAGGAAAGAGGAAGAGCAGGCGGGACAAACACAGCGGCAAGAGGAGGATGTATCCGGTCAAGAGGCGGAAGAAGGGGAGGTAGAGGGGGAGTTGCGCCACGAGCAGGACAGCTCGGAGAAAGAAGAAGGGGAGGAAAAAGAAGAAGCAGCAGCAGAAGACCAACAAGACACATCAGCTTCGGCGCCACCGTTACCAGACGAAGTGCCCCCACCGCTCCCCAACGAAGTGCCACCGGGCGACGACGATGGATGGGAACCCGTCTGGGATGCCAACGCCCAAGCCTACTACTTCTATAACCGCCTCACCGGGGTATCGCAGTGGGAGAATCCACGGGTACCAGATGCCGCCGCCGGCGCCGTTCCCCATGACGACAATGGCGACGACGGCGACGACGGCGACGAAGACGGCAGTATCCAGGAAAAGCGCGCACGCGTCCTGGGTGGCTACAACCCCGCCATCCACGGCGACTACGACCCGACGGCGCCGTACGCGCAGCAGTACGAGCGACAGGAGGAGGCGGCCGTCGCCGGCATGGACCCGAACCAGGCGTACGAGGCGGTGGGCGCCTTCAACCGGTTCACGGGCCGGTGGCAGGCGGCCTCGCAGAACCCGGAGTATCACAATGACGAGAACAAGTCCAAACGGCAGATGTATGCGTTCTTCGACGTGGACGCGGCGGCCAACAGCCATGATGGCCGCAGTCTGCGGGCGGAACGCAGCGCCAAGAAGCTTACCAAGGCGGAACTCAAGATGTTCAAGGAGAAGAGACGGGAGAAGAAGGAGGAAAAGCGCCGCGCATGGTTGAGGGATTGAGGACCCTTTTCAAAAGCCGGCTTCGAGTCGCGGTTCTTTCTTTGTTGTTATTGTGTTGTGTGCTGAGATACCTTTTCCCCGTTCTTTGACCTTTTCTTGTTGCTCGTTTCGTTTTTGTGTATCTTTTATGGTGGCTAGCTTACACTGGCGTTCTATGTACTTCACAAGATGCATAATAGAGCCACAATGGTATATATGAATAAGTTGATTAGTGCCTTGTAGAGAGGTTAACTTGTCTTGATGAATGTGTGGGGGGTTCATGCCGTATGTATGAGCATACCGGATGAGGAGGCGGCGATACAAGATAAGATCCACCGGGAATCGGGATGCCAGTCACCTGACCGGGCCTCAAAGTTCTCCCCATCAGAAGGACAATTGGGATAGCTTCACATTATCCGGAAGAGTTGGAGCCTCTCACATACTGAATCTAAAGGTAAGCCTTGCGTTGCTTTGCTGCCTTACACCTGCTATACACTCCCCAATTCAAACCATCAATTTGTGTGCAAATCCCACCCCAAAGTGAGGGGGAGGGGGGAGGGGTGTATACCGATGACAAGCAAAAAGAAAAAAAAAAATCCGAAAAGGGAAATATCAGGCCGCAGCCTGGAGGCCAGCATCGCCACTTTCCAGATGTATCAGACCAAGAAAGCAGGAAGCATGGCACTTTGAGCGTCCAGCTATCCAAACCATCCACCCAAACCCTTTTTTTTTTCTAGTCAAAACAACAACATCGCACCTTCCCGCATCCCATCCGGAAATCCTATACATAAACGCGGATCAAGACTCAACCCGCTAACCAACCTCGCAGATACCCCATTCCATCCATCATCCTCTCAACCAGAGTGAAAGCTTTTTTTATCTCCATCAGTGAAGAAAAGAACCCAAGCCAACCAGCCTTTTTGCCCGTATTAGCACAAAAGGCAAGGCCGACCCCAGAAAAATGGCGTCAACGATCACCCTCCCCGCCGACACGATCGACGATCTCATCTACGACGCCCGCTCCGGCGATCTGGCCGCCCTCAAGGAGGACCTGACGGCCTGCAGCGCCCAGTTCCCGGACGTCTCGCTGGGCGCCGTCGTGGCCGCCGCCATCGACGCCGCCCCGGAGGCCGAGGGAGGCAGCGGATCCAGCCTGTTGCATTTCCCGGCTGCGAATGGGAATATCGGTGCGTAGTCTTTCCCTTGCCCTCCTTCCCCCTTTCTGGTCCCCTTCTTGGAGTGGGTGACCTGTCTTGGAGACCCGTGTCTTCGAGTGGTGCTGGGGCTAAAACTAACCGACTGCACCAGAGATCCTCACCTACCTGCTCACCCTCCTCGCGACGGAGGAGGAGTCGACGCGCCGCCGCATCGTCAACCACCGCAACCACTCCGGCAACACGCCGCTGCACTGGGCGGCGCTGAACACGCACCTGGACTGCGTCAAGGCGCTCGTCGAGGCCGGCGCCGACAGCTCCGTCAAGAACGACGCCGGCCTCGATCCCGTCTTCCTGGCTGAGCGCGCGGACTGGTCGACGCAGGAGGAGGGAGGTGCTGCTGCTGCTGCTGGCGCTGAGGCGGAGGCGGACGCAAATGCGGCGGCTGATCCCGGGAAGATGTCCAAGGGACGGCAGGTCGTGGAGTGGATGTTGAGCGCCGAGGTGGCTGCTGCTGGTGGGGATTCGGAGACGGTGGTGGCCTCGGCTGGGGTGCCGGTTACTGGGAATGGGGATGAGTAAAAGATTTGAGAATCAGAGATTATTCCCCTTCTTCTCTCTTGTGAACTGCTTACATGGTGTTTGTATTTGATTCTTCTTTTGTATGGTTAATCCCTAGGGTCTTCTTTGTTTTGTCATGTTGTATAGAATTCTTCGTTGGTGTATGTTTTATACAGTGGGAAAAAATGTTCATTTTGGGGACGCTGTCTATCTTATGGTTCGAAATGGGGTTCGTCTAATGTCTTGCTGACCGTAGCTTGTCATGTCATCAATGCAGGTGGGATGTGGATAAGAGGCAGGTAGGTAGTAAATAGTCGCGCAAATCATACCAGTCAGGTTCGTTGGCTCATGGGTTCCCACTAATCTCGTCGTGTCTTGTTTCGATCCTGCGACGCACCCGACGGGCTGGATCGTAACGACGAGAGACCCGGTATCGTGCTCGTCGTGGCGTCGCTATCAACAATCTCGCGCACCCGCATGTCGAGGCCGACCCGGAATCGGCGGTCCCGCCAGGTCACGGTGACCCCTCCATAGAAAGCCCAGACCCAGATCGGCAAAGCCAGCACCTCGCGCCCCAGCCAAGCGGCCAGCCAATGCAGGAACGGACGACGGGTGACGGTGCCCTGGGGGGGCGGTCGCGCGAAGGACGGGGTATCCTCGTCGAGCTCGACGGTGCGGCCCGAGTGCAGCATGATGTAGACGAGCCAGTCCGTGAGGATCCACCCGAGCATGCTCAGCGCGAAGCACGCCCAGAAAGCGGGCCAGGTGGACAGCGCCGCCTCGGCCGCGGCGTACCCCTTCCTTCCCAGGAACTGCGCCAGCGCCGTCGTGAACCCCCACGCGCCGTAGCACGAGCACAGGATCGACTCCGTCCCGGGCTCGACCAGCGTCGCCAGCAGCACGGTGAACTTGCGCACCCGGAGCCACCGCACCCGGCGGGCCACGTACGACTGCACGCTCATGTGTGCCACGGGCTGGAAGGCCAGGTCCCCGAACACCATTGCGTGCTTGCCCCACCGCTGGCCCAGCTCCTTTTCCTCGCGCACCGGACTCTTCCACAGCAGGTCCCCGATCAGGTGATCCTCGCAGATGTTGTCGGAGAAATAGTCGATGCCCGGGTTGCGGCGGCGCCGAACCGCGGCCGCGGCCGTCGTCGACGGGGCCGACGGTGCCGCCGCGGTCAGGTAGTCCAGATGCGAGCGGCGGAACATGTTGGACTTGCCCACGATGCAGGGGGCGATGAGCACGGTGTTGATGGCGGTGTACATCTTCGCATGCGACGACGACAGGAACAGCTCCTCCAGCCGGCCACCCCCGGTCGTCAGGGGCCCGGCAGCGGCGGCGGCAGCAGCAGCAGCAGCAGCAGCATCATCATCATCACCACCATCCCCGCCGTTGGTGTAGGACTCAAGCAACGCCTCTTGCTCCCCCCTCCTCGTCTTTCGACCTTCCTCCCCCGTCACATCCACCGCGACAGGTAAGTGATGAACGAACTTGTACCGTTTGCCGCCTGCTGTCCCGCACAATTTATCCACCATCCGCCCACACACCCCCTTCCCCACCCAGACATTGCAATCGATAATCCAAACGATATCGCCCTTGGCTTTCCGGTACGCCCGACTCATATTCCGGATCTTCGGGTTCGGACCCAGCTCGTAAGCGGGGGGAGCAGCAGCGGCAGCAGCAGCAGCAGCATGACCACCACCGTCCTCGGAACGAAGGAGCGGATCGTCGTCCTCAACGAAGATCCGCGCGTCGGCGTGCGGGAAATCCGACACCAGTTTCTGGAGGGTCGGGTAGGCGGGGTCGGTCTTCGTGGAGATGCAGAAGTAGACGGTCAGCTTGTCGCGGGGGTAGTCCTGGCGGAAGGTCGAGGCTAGACATTCGTAGAGGTGAGGCTCGAGGCCCTTGACGGGACGGATTGCGGTGATGTGAGGGGTGTTATTGGGGCGGGCGGAGGAGGACGTGGTGGATTTCTGGGGTCTTTGGAGACAGTGTTTCCATCTAGTTTGCGGTGATGATCAGCTTTTGGTGTTGATGAATTCAAAGGGTTGCAATATTCGGTGGAAGGTCCTTTTGTTTTTGTGTTGTAACGTACATCTGATAAGTGCCCAGCGAGCAGACCAGCGTCACGGTCGTATACCAGACCAAACCGACCCAGCCCGCGACGACTGGCCATTGGATGTCGTCGCCATGGCCAGTGGCCAGTCCAAGCTCGGAGGCAAGCGAACGCAGGTGAAGCGTCAACATAGGCAGAAGCAGAAGTGGGTAGCAATGACAGAGTCATCCGACGAGGAAATCATTCTATGGAAGAGGGAAAACTGGCGAAGCGAGTGACAGCAGGCAGATGGACAGAGCACCAAACACACGTCGCGTCATGCGGCCTCGACCAGACTGCAAGAAGGTCAGTCAGATGGAAATTCAAGAGAAGTGCAGTCAGTCCAATCAGACCAAGCTGTAACCTAGCAAGCAGCTAGCTCCAGAGTACGGATACCACAGTTGGTCAATGGCTGGCTGAGTGAGGCTGAGACTCGATGCAGTTGCCGGTTTCCATTCGGGTCTCACGGATTCCGGGTTCGGCGCGCGCGCGCGATGGGGAGAGTGGATTTTCCCGATCGTCGGGCGCATCTCGTCGTTTGGCGCTTGATTGCTTGTAGTCTGCGTACTGTACCCAGTGATGTCCGCTGCCCCTGTCTAATTTCAAGTTTCATAGCTGCGTATTTCCATGTTTCAGGTAAGAGAAATGCGGTGAAGTGGTTTTTATTAAGTAGTAGTATGCTAATTGGCCTGTTGCCCGTTCCGTGGCTCTGATATTCAAATCCTAGGTTCGTTCGAACTCGGCCTCCAGTAGTTCCCTCCAAATCCTGCTAAAGACAAATAGATAATGAAAAGAAAGTGATGAAATCCCAGTATGCAGTCCCTAGAAAGGTAAAAGCGAAACGCGAAGATAGAGAAAGAAAAAGAAAAGAAAGAACAACCCAGGCTGACTATCCCAATGTCCCCAATCCTACTGTACAGTGCACAATGCCCATGCTTTATCGACCATTCTCGCTGCTCATAGTACTGTGCAAAACCATACGCCGAGCAAGCAAGTCACTCCGAGGTCACGTCTTCTTTTTCTTGCGGATCAAATTAGCTTGCAGAAAATTGACCCCGGAAGTTGACTCGGGTGTAGGAGTGGACACTGCTGCATCTGCCGGCGGTGCATTGGCGTCTGTCGCGGGCTCCTCGGCGGTCTTCTCAATGCCTTCAGTTTTGGCGGGTTCATCTCCAACCTTCTTGCGTTTTCGGACCAGTGTGCTGCTGATGAGAGTGTTGACCTCCGTAGTCTGCTGGGAAGGATTGTCGGTGCTGCCTCGGCCCAGGACCTGTTGCCCGACCCAGAGTTGGTCAGCAAGTGAGGCAATCTTCTGCCCCCAGGCTCTAGTACTGGCGATGGAGACCTCCTGGTTGAAGAAGTCCTGCTCAATCAAGAAGTCAATCGCCGCCTTGTAGTCGGCTTCGCTGAGCACAGCGTGGCCACGCCCTGCCTCCGGCCAGAAGAAGGCACTAGCGTCTGTGGTGCGTTGTGCCGTGGACTCGGATACGGACAGGGACTCAGCAGTGGGTTGGGGGGCTGCGGCATCGATCGGCTGTGCGACACTCGGGCCTTCTGAGGCTTCAGGTTGCTCCAACGAGTCAGACTTAGAATCATTGGATTGTAGCTCAGGTACTGTAATCGGCGCACGGGCTCCGGCATGTCTAGCATCACACGAGAGGGTCTTACGGTCACCGAGGACAGACCGGGAGCTGGTCATCTGGACCGAATTGACCAGCCCCGGCGGGTTGATGACAAGCCACAGGAACCCGACCAACCGTCCCGAAGAGCACTCCTGGCGGAAAGACATCATCTCCCAGAACTGATCCAGGGACTTGACGCTCCGCCACTGACCGGGCGCCAGCGAGGACTTCCCGTTGTCCCCGGACTGCGGGGGAAGCTCATCGTCGAGGTCAATCAGAAATCGCGTCTTCGGGTCATCGGGGAAGCGGGGGACCAGACAGCGCGGCGGCGCCTTGGGGTCGTCACAGAGCTGATGCAGAGGATAGCTGTTGCGCCATCTGGGGCGTTCCTGGCTGTCCAGCCGGGCGGCACTGGGGAAGAAGCCCCGGGTTTCGAACTTGTCACACCCGGGGACTATCAGGAAGGCCGTGGCCGAGCTCTGCGCCGACTCCGTCTGTCGGTCCAGGGCGTTCTTCTCGTGCGAGCCGGACTCCGGCTCGTACTCGCGGAGAATCGGGTCGAACACGCGGCACCACCATTTGATCAACCCCCGATCGTCGAGGACATGCTTGCCCGCGTTCTCGATGCTGCCGGGGAATAGATACTGGTTCTGCGCGCGCGCGAACAGGGACACCACGAGGCGGACCCCCGGTCGCTGATGCGTGCGGACCAGAAAAGAGAGAAAGGTCTGCGAAATGCGCCGGAGCAGGGAGACCTTCGGGGCGTTCTGGAGTAGATGTAAGAACCCGGTCGAGTCGGCCTTGGAGACGAAAATCGTCGTCAGGTGCGCGGTGCTGTAGATCAACACCTCCACCCCCAACACAATAATCTCGGCGCCATCTTTCCCCTCCGCATCCACCGATGCAGTCAGAAAATGATTCTCGCAGAAGGTCGGCTCGGAGGTTTCGCCCGGGGGTGCGGCGAAGAGCGCAGGGCAGGGAGTGGGAGTCGAGGAGACATGGCGAATGGTAATCTTGACACCGGCGGGCAACACCTCGGCCAAGAGATCGCCTAATTCCACGTCGACCTGAGACATGGCTGGCCTGGAAAAGACCATCGAGATGGCCAATTCAACATAAGATGTCCCAGGTATGAATTTGGAGAGAATTGCCCCGTCGGGTCTTTCTCCTGCGATATCCTTTCTCCTGGTCTTTTTTCGACCCCCTCAGACGCGTTCCATTTCACGGGCGCATCACGTGCCCGGAATCTGACTCTTTTCGTCTGCTGCTGTCAGCACTTTATCCCTCGCTTATCTCCAGAAGGAATTCGATGGAATTTATCAGGTTTAAGCAACGTCTTTTATTGAGAGAAAAGGTGTGAAGTGAGTTGCATGAGTACTTATTTTGCCTTGCACAGCGGGAGGCAACTCCCACGAACAGAAAAGATCTCGCCAAATGCATAGACGGACGGAACTGGATAAATCCAAGTAATATTGAGACTCCCAAATTTCAAGAAAGACGCCCAAAAAGCTATCCATCCTTGCCTAGCTATACATACCAAGAAGACTTAGAAGTAGCCCGCCACCGCCTCTAGATCGTCGGCGTTCAGCAACGCAACACCCTCCTCGAGCAAAGTCCTCCAGATATTGTTGCGAGTACGGATCGGATAGTAAGGGGTACCCCAGTATCGCGCTCCAATTCCTCTCTTCTTCGCGGCTGCGATTTGCGCGCGGATGGCCTGGGTTTGAGTCTCATCCAACTCACCATGCGAAAGAGGACCCACGGCCGCCACGAAATTAGTGGACGCAATTGGGGAAATTAGACCGGTTACATCGGCGAATTGACCCTCGCCGAGCTGGTCAAGGGGTGCATCGAAGAAATAGTCTCTGTTTGCCACCGGTCCGACCAGATCCAGCGGCGTGTTACCGGTGCCTATCACCGTGACCGGTCCTTCGGTGATAGTCGTATTGTCTTTTAGAGTGGTCAAGTAGCCACGAGCACGGAGTGGCTCCAGGGCCTTGATAACTGCATCCAAGGTTTCAGGTCCGGAGGTCTTCAGGTCAATGAAGAAGTAAAGCGTTTGTGAGGTGTCAGTGTCGAAGACACCGCTGGCAGGAGTCAGCGCAGGCCACCACTGATGAACCATTGATCACAGAGCGATCAAGCGATAAACAGGGGATCTTACTTTTTCGTGGGCGACGTCACAAATCGAGACGTGGGATTCTGGCGTTGAAGCACGTCCAAAATAGGGTTGATGTAGAGCGACTCTAGTGTTCGCTTTTCAGTCAGGGAAGACTCATCGTGGCCGACCTATCCATGTCAGCATCGGCCCGACAATGAAAACGCCCTAGGGGACAGACATAGAGGGTGCCATTATACAGCCACACATCGGCTTCAGTCGATATGCATCCTTGCGATAGGCCTACGGATATAAGTCACTAAGGTGCCATAGACCGGATCATTGAAGACCATCCATACATACCCGAATAGAAAGGGATATCTCTCCAGTAGTCACTGGCACGAGGTCAGACATCGTACCTGCTTGGAGAATCGTCGATGCTGGCTTACTTGTGTGAATGGACTGGGATCTGTAGCCCCGTTAGAGTTGCTTTTCATGACACCTTTCGCAGTGCAAACCCAAGCATAGCATTGTGAATAAAACTCATAGGAACTTACAGGCATGACCCCTCTGGTGAAATCGGTGGGATACCCATACTCGTTGCTCATGTGGGTGTTCTTCAGCACGCTCTGTAGTTCCGTCACCGCGCCTGCGGCCTCCGTCGGAGAGCCAAGGAGGAATGCGGAGGCCGCAGCAAGCAGCAGCGATCGGGAAAGCACCATTGTATAAATCGAGAGCTGTCTTCCAAAATAAAAGTACCTGTGGCAGTATCCAAACAAATGGAGGAGCAAGACAGTCTATCTAGAATAGAAAACTATTGAACAGACAAGGAACGGAGGCTGGCGTTCGGTCCCGTCGGAATTGTTGTTGATCACAGAAGCTGGGGACAACTCGGAGAAGCGCAAACGGCCAATTGCAGCCTCACGTGGTGGTCCAGCCCTCATTATATCAGCCATCAGACAGCGCATAACATCATCCCAAAGCTCGGAAAATAGGCGCTTATAAGCTTTACTATCTATTATGTCAAGAACTAATCGGTAAAGAAAATGATCAACAGGTTTAAAAATGCTTCGAAGGCCAACACGCGTGTAAAGAATTAAGCCAATCGTGCAAACGCTAATCAGGTATCATCTAAACCATAGAGTTCATCAATATAACGAAAAGGAAGCTAATGCATCTAAGCGAATCAAGGGATCCTCCCATTACGACCAATTGACTGTGAATATCCAGCGGAGCTTTGTACTCGTCCCTCAGACCTCGCGAATCGAAGGTGGCCGAGAGTTGCTTTGAGAATCTTGCGTACTACTGCGTCGGAGACTCAGATTGCCAATGCGCTGCACCAGATTGCTACCCACTGCATCGACAGCACCCTTTGGCGCCAGCAGAGTAGGTCCTTGCGCGGCCGCCTCTTGTACCTTGAATAGCTTCACTCCGGTGCCATTCCACACTCCAACAGTGCCAGGTGTAGCACCTGACGCGGACCCAACAACCATTTCGCTCGAGAAGATGAATCCCCAGAGCAAAGATTCATACCAACCCATGGAAAGGGCCGACCATTCGAACGAATGGACACGAACGGGCGAGGGCTCCGAGACGATAACCTGAATCATTGGCTCCTCCACAAAAGTAGGGAGATTAGTGATCAGCGTGCGTGCTTCTGGGCTGGAGGCAGACTGAAAAGCTGAGTCAGGCACGCGGGGCATGATGGCTGAAATGATGGTGAGAATCGTGTGTAGCGGCAGCTCAGGCAACCATGATTCAAGCTATGAGTTTCCAGTCAGCAAATAACACGCTCCATGAAAGTGGGATCGGGCTTACCCAGGTAGTAGTCGGTGTGAATCCACTCGAGGATGCCAGGAAGGCTGCCGACATACTGCTCTGGCTAGTCATGCTGTTCTGTCTGGAGAAGGTGGGCTGTCCGGCTGGCATTTTGCCGCGTGCCTTTTCAGACATCCCTCGAAGTTGAAGGGGCACGCTTTCGTCAACGACAGAAGATATTGATTGCCGTCGAGAAGTCGGCACCGATGAAACCGAGGAAACGTCATGGGACGGCGATTTCTGCGCCTCACCTTCATCGTCGGAGTCATCTCCGCCAATTGCGAAGGGACTATTCTCTTCCGGAATGCGACCCAGCGATGCGCGTGCACCAGAGGGAGCTTGCGTGTCTTCTTCAGTCGGTGAGAGGACAGGGCTTGCGGCGAAATCATTTCCTCCTGACTTTCGCCGCTCATTTTGGCGTTCTATCTCTTGCTGTCCGCTCTCAAGCGTGAATTCGCGCACAGCCTCGAAGCGTCTCCGATTCTTGAGAATAGAATAAACAAGATATGGGTTGTCTAGATCGAGTTAGCAAGTCAATCGAGACGAAACATATGCAAGCGTATCATACTTGTGAATTGGTGCTCGAGAATAGAATTGATCGACTCAAGCACGGATGCTAGAAGGACGTGGTTCGTTTCGTTAGCGAGAAGGAAGCTGGGCGCCGACATCGAAGAGAACAACTGCAGCAATTTTGAGCAGGACGCGGGAGACAGATGTTCAACATGTGCAGCAATGTTGTTGATAATTGCCAGTAGCGCGGGATAGACAGCCGTCAATTGTCCTTTGCTGGCGGTAATCAAAGTATGAATAGACTATACCGCTGTTAGTCTCGAATGTGCGAGTACGTACGAACAAGGACATACTATGATCAGGTAATCTGCATATGAGCCCTTGAAGCCTGGGATCCGGATATTTTGCGGAAGGGTTTCTTGAGCTTCGAACTTGAGGTTCAAACTCTTGCCAAAATTGGGCTCCACACTCATTGTCTGCAGAATGAAGATGCACATCCTAACCACGCCCTGCTTGGAGGGGTCGGATTTGTACACGATGGCATAGAACAGACACAGGATAATGAAATCGTGCGAGCGGTTCGAATCGATGATAAACGATCTGAAGCGTTTGTTGCACTGCAAGGCCTCCCAAAACAGAATAAGCATCTCGGGTGCCCATTTCACAGACTTTTGACTCCCGGGAAGATAGGAGTTGGTGACTTGCATCTGCACATTGAGCTGTCAGCAACATACGTACTGCAAGACGAATGTAGAGCTTACTGGCTGATTCAGGATTCGGGTCATGCCATCCACGAGAAATTGAAAGTCTTGCGGCCTATGCAGCCTGCCGAAATAATGGCGGTAGTAATTCTTCGGAGGGGCCCCGCGACCGTCCTCGGGCACTGGATATAGAAGGAGCACCAGAAGAAGCTGCAGGCAGTAGATGACCAGGATTTGTTTCGGGTCTTTCCACACGACATGGTCATACGGCACTCTCCAAGATGCAGGGTTGTATTTGATCGCCTACACGCCAATCCAAGTCAGACACAGGCCTGTTTCGTAGCAAATACTCAATGACTTACCGTGTTTAGCAACGAGCACAGCAGAGTCAAGACTGCCTGCTTGTCGGGACAAGTAGTGATGTACGTGATCGCTCTCACACCTTGCACAGGGAGTAGATCTCAAGAGCAAGTCAGCATGAGATTAGCGTCAGATGTAACCGCCGTGACTCACTTGAAGGCATGTACATCGCTTTCCCGGTCAGAGTCAGCAGTAGCCGTAGGACCTCGCAGCGGTTACTTTCCAGCTCCTTGGTCGACCCCATTGAAGTATTGCATCCCACTCCACTTTGCCAGATTGACCAGGACACTTTAGTCTTTGCAGATGATAGCTTCGGGATCGTAAAGTTGGTATAGAAGAGCAGGTCGAGGAGGGTGTCGATCAGCTCCTCAGCGAGGGGCTTCGCATCCTCCAATTCAGCAGCCCGCGGCGAGGCCTGATCCCGCTCTTCGGCCTGTGCTTCATCGAACAATACTTCTGGTGCCACTTGCGCCTCGCGTGTCTTCTTCTTGCGACGGGCCCAGAAGAACTTCTCCTCCCATTCCTCCAGATGCTCCGCCTCGTAGATGTATGGGAGCAGGCGGGTGAGGATGCGGATACAGTTGAGCGCATCGCGGTCGGGCGCGAGCTCCGGGTCTGGGAAGGAAGGATGGTTTTTCAAAACAGTGAGGCGCGAAGTGACGGAGAGAAGGAGGGTCTCGAAGTTCGATAAGGCATGGTCGCGCGTGCGCCGAATGTCGGCCGGGGTGAACAGGCTGAAGACATCCTCCGTCGACTCTGGGAGCTCCCAGAACTAATACCAGATGTGTGAGTTTAGACATCATCATGCCTTCAGAAAGCCTCATAGAGCAGAGATACATACCCTGGTCCAGTAGGGATCGTCCGCAGCAATGTCCTTCTCCTCAGACAAACGGAAGATGCCCTGCTTGAAGACTAACTTTGACTCGGAAGCTCCCATCGTGAAGCCACCATGAAGGTTACGAGCCTATCAACCTCATGCAGTTGAGTGATATGGTCAGGGAGGGTAATGCTAGGTGCGAAAATGGTTCTTTCAAGAGAATTGCTTTGGGACGTAAGCCCAGTAATCCGATGCCGCGTGTGAATGGACTTGGTGGCATGTTGGCGTTCGGTCTTGGGTCATTGCCTTGGAAGCGGGTACGACTAGGCCCGCGGAGACCCGACGATCAATCAATCAATCAATCAACCATCAATAACCCGGGGTGTCCTTCTACCTATCTCTGTCTACTTCTACTGGCTGTAGTCTGGAAAATTTGCGATCGCTCTTCTAAACGAAATAGGACTTGAATCTAAAATACAAAATGTAGCATCCCTATGCTGATAACGGAGTCTAAAGATCCGGATGCACCCCGCTAGTAATAGCGAACAAAGAGATAAGGAAAATTCATGAGTTTACATCACCTCCCCTGGCTGCTTCACCTCCACCCACTGCCGCATCCGCCACCAACATCGGCCTTAATAACTGCTATTGCTTGCCGACAGTCGCCGACTTCTTTCGTACAACCACTTGTTGCTCAAACCTAAATTCGCACGCTTACCCCCTACAGGGGATGGACTCGCGGGTCCAAGGCTCGACATGGTTGACAACGACATAGATGACATGGTTGAAATTGTCGATTCTTTGAAGGACGCAGTGGAGTCTCTAAAGGACGCGGTAGAATCCTTTAAGGTCGTGGTCGAATCTCTGTAAGGCGAGAATGATGTGCTCCGACCGAGCGGCGATGAAGATCCGAAGCTCGGTCTCCGTCCGCTTTCTTTCCCGCTGCTGTTGACCAATTTCTGGAACAGCGGACTAGGTGAAGGGGAGAAGGCAGGTCCCGAGGATACTCTGCGACCGGAGGCGCCAGCACTTGCCGACAGCGGGGATCCAGATCTACTCGCTGGGCTCGCGCCACGGGATGTAGAAAGACGATATTTAGGCGGAGTAACATAGCTTGTACCGGGAGTCAATGGCGGTGTAGCAGTGGGGTCCAGCCCGAGAAGCGAGCGTTGGGTGGGGGTCAGAGGGATGTCGGAAAGGTCGTCCTTCGGTCCAAATAGAGGATACAGCGCAACGAGGATGTTGAGAACAAAGATCACGCGCAACACGAGGAGGGAAAGATCAGGATAGGTAGAGAATTGGGTGATATGTTGAAGCCAAAGACAACTGTAGAGATCCTGTTAGAAGTGTCCCCGAGCCCTACATGTTATCACCACGTCACGACTGCACAACTTACTATGACTTGATAATATCCCCAAACACACAGGTAGCGAACAAAGCAGCGCCATTCCACACTAGCTTGTTGATGTTGCGATCTCCAAATGTTCCAGCATTCTGTCGACGAACCACCTCATCCAAGTGAGGGTGACGCCATTTCCCGGGCGTCTGGCTTTGGTCGGGGACTGGTACGACTGTAGATGCAGCTGTTGCAGCTTTGGGGGTAGAGGGAGGGGCCGAGGAAGCCATTGGAAGATACCACGATGAGATGAAGTGGTGGAGTATGAATGAAACTGTCAAGAATGAGCACAACCGCACAAACTAGGATGGGAGTGAGAGGAGATTGACTTACCAAAAGGAATAGGGAAATTGGTCGTTGGGACTTACCTGGATGTCAATTGCGCACGGGGGAGGGGGCTGGATCACATGGATGGTTGTTATAATCTCCGATTAAAAGCCTACGACGAAAGTCCAGACAGGACCATAGTCGCAAGGGAGTACGGAGTAGCAGAAGAGCCCCTGGGGGATGAAAGAGGAAGAGGGGAGGAGAGGGGAGGGGAGGGAGGTGGAGTTGGAGATGCAGGGCGATTGATTGTTTTGGGTGATCGGTGCACCGGCCTTCACCAGGTCAGGAATCACAATGGGCAACCACAAGCGCCATTGCCGCGGCGGCGAAGTTTTCTATCGGACTTACTTTACCGCCCGCCCGCCCACACGCGCCCGCTGCCGTTCCCCACATCTGGCATCATAGCCTACCAGTGGTCCAGTAATGAGGTAGCCTTAGTACGTAAGGAACGCAGTCAGCTGTCAGCTCTCAGCTCACCATCAACCACACTCTTCCCATCTTACCAGTTCGCATCTCACTTCAATCTTCAATTATCCCTTTACAACTTGTGCCTGGCATATGTGCACCCTGAATCTGAGAGAGATTCAACCTCAGAAATGGACTCCGAGTCGTCCATCGTCGCCAAACTAGACGCCGTCGTGGCGGAGCTACTGGCCGACTGGAACATAGCCTCGACTGTGATTGCTGGTGGTATTGTTGCCTTTCTCATCTATTCATTCGTCACATCGCAAGACTCAGATATACATCCCTTTCTCCTCGCCCGGCAATCGAGCGCATTCCCCGTCCGGCACCCAGGCCAATCTGCTCCGTATAGAAGTCTCGAGACTCCGCATGGCTTTCCTCTGCGCACGGGACTGAACGTCAAGGACCCCGGGGCTCCCAAATGGACCAGTGGCCGGAAAGGTGACCTACGGGATGTCTGGAAGACTGCTGTCCGCGGATCGGTGGAGGATAACGGAGCTGTGACCGGCAAGCAGGGCAAGATCTATACTGTGCTTGGAAAGAAGGCGATTGAACACTCCTTGGATCAGGTCACTCAGGAAATCAACGTCATCGGAACCCGCCTACGAGATTCCAAGGTAAAGACTGTGGCGGTCTGTTTGACGGATTCGGTTGAACTCCTGGCTGCTATCTTCGGTTTGGCCTCCACTTTCCCGATCCTGCCGTAGATTCATCGCTAACAACGCTGTAGCTGGAGCTTTCTATGACTTCAAAATTGTTATCATTCCCCACAATCTGAAAGCGGAAAGTTTGTCGGAGCTACTGCAGAAGTCGCAAGCGGATTCCTTGATTGCTGAAGCTGGATCTCTCGACTTGTCATTCGTTGCCAAGGATAACAAACAGCTGTCGCAAGTGATTTGGGTCGCCAAGCTCGGAAGCCGACACATGGACTGGAATGATGTGCCCCAGGACGTGAAGGGGACGTTGGAAGTCACCGTTTGGCACGAGCTGGTGGAAGAGAAGAAAGAGCTGGCCTGGCTTGAAGTACCCGACTATGATCCGAGCACCCCGACTCCTTCTGTGACCACTGTTTGGCCGTCCAAGTCCTCTCAAGGCGACTTCATTGAGTACCAGCCGGAGGTAAAATCGTATCGCATCTGTCATTTGACGCTGTCTGGTCGCTAACTACAAGGATAGAACTTGGCCTCAGGAATCGCCGGCTTGTTGTACTCTCTCCCCCGTCAACAGCGTTTCGGCCCTAACGACGTGGTTCTCTCAATCGACTCCTTTTCTCGATCGTACCCCCTGTGCCAGATTATGGCTGCGCTGTTCGCCAATGCTTCTGTCGCCGTCAACTCCGTAGCCGGCGAAAGCGTGGACTTTGCTCTTGCGACTGTAGGAGTTTCTCCGACGGTTATTGTTGCATCGTCTCGCACCATGTCTGATTACCACACCAAATTCATGAAGCCTCACTCCGGGCCCGTATCTTCCCTCGCGCGTTGGATCCAGGTGCGAAGCTTGGATGCTGGATACATGCCGTCCCACGGCTTACTGAGTCAGCTTGCCAACGTTGGGCCCATGGCTGAGCTCTCTCTTGACAGACTGCGTCTTCTGTGCATCTCGCACCGGTTTGACGCCGATCCCGAGGTTCGCCTGGACTTCGAGCAGTTGACGGACCTACGTCTCTTCACGGGTGCGCGTATTGTGTATGCTCTGACTGGACCTGGAATTGCCGGTGCCGTGTCGCAGACCAACGTCTTCGACTACAGACGCTTCGAGGGCGCCAGCCACTTCGGTGCGCCTCTTAGCAGCGTCGAGGTCGTTTTGACAGGGCTGTCGGAGGGTTCTGAGAAGGAAGAGGGCCAGGTAAGCGCAGACAAACTCCGTACCATTCTTATCGACGCGTGTAGCTTACGCACTCCGCAGATTTCTGTAGCCGGCCCTTCGGTCGTCTCCGGCAAGACAGTGCTACCCGTGCAAGCTCGCTTGCGCGACGACAACACCTTGGAGCTCTGCGCCTGAATTACCTGCCAAGCGGAGGATGAGCGTTCTTGCGTTTTGAATTGAGGACTTTTGACTCTATATGCATTGCATCGCCCCAGCTTTTCCTGTGCATTATGTTTTCCATCCGGCACAGGCGACACAGAATGACTTTTACACCAGCATCGTGATGAACGACTCTGGATTTTATGAGTATAGTCTAGGCTCTGTATGTCGATGAATTGAAGAAAGGGATATGCATCTATTTTTGAATACACAATATAGCTCCGAGCGATTCTGAGAAAAGATCATGGTAATGTACAAAAAAAAGGGAAAAGGCATAGACAAGCCTGGCGGCAAATTAGACAAAACCGATCCTGGCTTTAGATCAATTAACTAAGGCCGCGACCTGCCGAGAGCCCCGTCCGGGCTTTTGCCGGGCCAACGTTGGGGCGGCATTCTTCTGGATCTTGATCCACTGACGCAGGGCCTGCTCGTGCTTTTGGAAAGCCTTCAAGGTTGTGGCGCTGAGGGGCAACTTCTGGGCCAGCCGGAGGGCGTGGAAAATGGGGACATTCTGCTCCAGGCGCAGTTCGGTCTCCTGGTAGTTTCGGTACTCTTTCTTCTGGATCCTCTCGGCCGCCGCGAGGGGGTTCTCGGACGAAGACGCGTCCTCGGCGACGTTCGTGGTCACGGGCACCTTGATCTGGGGCGGGTTCATGTCCAGGTGGAAGCTGTGCTCCAAGCTGGCGAGCAGACGGTCGCTGTAGGCGCGGACGAGGCCGTCGGCGTCCTTGCCGGCGAAGCGGTCGAGGGCGCGGGCGGCGCTGAGCTCGAGCAGGACGGCGATGACGGCGGGGCGGCGGCGGGCGTCCTGGCTCAGGAGGCGGTTGGCGTGGCGGGGCAGCGACATGACGTCCACGAACTCCTCGGCGAGCGAGAGCAGGCGGTCGAGCTCGGGGCCCTTGAAGCCCTCGGCCTGGGCGCGCAGGTGCAGCTCGAAGAAGATCTTCTCCACCAGCCGCGGCTCCCGCAGCGAGAACCCGGTGGTCTTCGCCTTGGCCGCCTCCAGGATGGCGAGCATCGCGTTGTTGCGGCCCGCGCGCCGCACCACCATCTCCATGTTCAGCTTGCGGTTCACCTGGTGCAGCGCCGTCAGGAACGCCGGCAGCACCTTCCAGTCCTCCGCCGACCGCATTCGGCGGATCACCGCGTTGGCCTCCGCGTTGCGCGGCTGCGCCGTGAACTCCATCGGCCGCAGCTGGTACTCCTCCTTCTCGCTGATCGCCACCGTCACCGGGTGCTCGTCCAGGGTGCCCTGGTGCTTCTTCCGGTAGATCAGGAGCTTCTGCTGCTCCGTCAGGTTGAGCGGGATGAACACCTCATCGCGGAATTTGTTGAGGCCCGGTTTCAGCTTCTGGGGCGCGCGCTTGAAGGTGGGCACTGGTCCGGGGAGGGTGAAGTTAGCTTGGGGTTACTTTCGTAGGGTGCGGTTTCTCTTGTGTCATCCGGGGGAGATTGGGCAAAGGATCAGTTGCAATACCTTTAGTGAGGTACGTGCGCTTCTGTGAAAAAGATCCAACAGCTTGACCGAGAGTGCTTGCGTTCTGGCAGCGCAATAGCCTGCTGCCCATGGCGAGCTGCGCCATTTCGATATGTTGTGGTGGTGGTGGGATTGAGGTGAGGGAGACGTTTCCGTGAGGAGGAAGATAATGCGTAATGTCCAGCAAACTGGAATTGACTCGGAACAACGAGATAAAGAGGTGCACACGTTCCCCAAAGCCGCTAAGAACAAACTCCGACTTGAGGATTTTCAAGATAAAATGGAAATGCAAATGCACTCACTCCCTTCCCGATTAATCGTGAAAGTAGCAGCAGCGGCGGCGGCGGCGGCAGAAAATCTCCCGCATTGAACAAATGGGCGGACGACCCAAACAGGCAAAGGGCGGAAATTCTGCCGGTCCGAATTCCTCTCTCCGATTCAGCATCAAGTTGTGTTTCCGTCGACCCTACCAGTTCGATCTCTTCCCCCGAATTCCCAGCAAAGAACGGCTGCAAAGTTCGCACATCTCGCCATGGCGAACTCCTCCTCGATCCTGCAGCAGCTGGGCTGCTTCCGGTCGCTTCTCACCAAGCCCCGGGTAACGCCCGTCAACACCACCGGCCGCCGCATGCTCACGACCGCTTGGTCCGCCAAACCAGCCCCGATCCCCTTCCCCAAGGAATTGCCCGAACAATTCCACGATCAAATACCGAAGCGCTTCCGACCTGATCTCGGTACGGTCTTTGCCTACACCTACCTGTTGTCCACCAAACCGCTCCCCGCTGGTTAGCTGGCTAGCTAGCGGGGAATGACACACACCTCCCAAACAAAAATCCCCAATGCTAACAACAACCAAATAGCCCCCAAGAAGATAAAGATCTACCCGCCCCCGGCGCAGCCCAAGTGCAAGGACCCGATCGACTTCATCGCGCAGACGCAACTGCAGAAGCTGGACCCGTCGGGCAAGCGGCGCGAGCTGTTCGACTACCGGCGTCACGCGCGCAGCGTCAAGCCCGGCGACATCATCCGCGTGACGTTCAAGAACGGCGACCCGTTCGCCGGCGTGGTGCTGAGCATTAAGCTGCGCGGCGCCGACACCTCGGTGCTGATGCGCAACCAGCTGACGCGCGTCGGCGTCGAGATGTCCGTCAAGGTGTTTTCGCCGAACGTCGAGAGCGTGGAGATCGTGCAGCGCACGCAGAAGCGGAAGCGTAGAGCGCGGTTGTATTACCTCAGGTGCGTTATTCTTCCTTTCTCTTGGGGAAGGTTTGTGGTGTGGGAATGCTAATTTCGATCTTCTTTTTCGCGGCACAACAGACAGCCTAGACATGATATGGGCAGTGTGGAGAATCTGGTCGCCAACTACCTTAGACAGAAGAGAGCGCTTACTGGTGCGAAGATGGGTGGCAACCGGAAGCGGTGATTGTTGCGGTTCCAACTGCTGTTGGGGTGGGCTTGATGACTCGGACGCTCTCGAGGTTGCGACAACGGGCATGGTTTGGGGCGAATGTATTTTTATGTTAACTAGCATGTGTATATTGGATCTTAGGTCCGGGTGTTTTTATTGTTTGCATTTCTGTCTCGGATACAGTTCAAATCAAAAGATCTGGGATTTCCTCTTGGTTTTTTTTTTTTTTTTTTTCTTTTTCTCTTCAGGTTTACGCAGCATGAGAGGTGTCCTGGTCTAGGATGGGGGACTTTGCAGGTGCTGTTTTCACGATGCACCTGCATACGTTTCGGATACGGTCGTCTGCATTGAGCATATAGCAGTGAGCATATCTAAGGCACAACGCAGGGCTTGCGAAGCACACTACACTACCTTCCAACCCAAGCGCCGTCTCCCTGTCATCTAGTATATGTACCGAAAGCTGATTCCATATTAGCAGAGGACAATCATCAAAGGAAGAGCATTTAAGAAAAGAAAGGAAAAAGGGCAGGTCTTCCAGGAGAAATGCAGGAAAACACGAAGCGGCAGGACGTACTTCAAATTCTCCCGATCCGTCAAGTCCAAGAAAGCCGTCGAGTCGAGATCTCTACCTTCCAAGCCTCCCTCGGTCTGAGACTGGATCCGGTCGCGGCGCTGGTTCTCCCAGCGAAGCAGGAAACCCAGGGTGGTGATGAGGACAACCTCGAGCAGGTGACAGACGATCATGGACCAGATTCCGAGCTCGTAGGTTGGGCTATATCGACGTGTGTTCAAGGTGAGTTTGGATTGGTCTTGTGTGTGGTGTGCAGAGCGAACTTACGCTTGGTTCGTCTTGTAGAAGAACGGACCTGCGATGTTGCCGGTGCAGTAGCCCAGGAACAGCACGGCGTTGGTGACGACTTTCTTTGTGTGGCCTGTTCAGGTTCATCAGCCATGAGCCTATGTTTGGGGAGTCTTGAAGATTAGACGTTGCAAGCAGGGTACGCACCCGCTGTGTTCGCGATTTGCATGCTGAGGACCAAGACGAATGCTGCATTGTATGGCCCCGTCAAATAGTAACAGATCAAGCGACCAACTTTCTGATCTTGGGGCACAAAACGAAGACCAAAGGCTCCGGCTATGTTTGGTAACAGGAAGATAACAATGAAGAGGCAGCGTCTGTTCTGGAACCGGTCATTGAGATAGACACATGTCAAGATCGATAGGGCAATCAAGACTCCGTAGGGGATCTAAATAGTGAGCAACATGATCTCTCTTTCAAAAGAAGGGGAGTATGTATACCTGCATGAGGGTCGTAACGAGAGTAGAGAACCCAAAGCCTTTGATGATAAGGGTTCCAAAATTGGAAATTCCACCATTTGGTATATTGCCTGCACAGATGGCACTGGTCAGCCACGGTTGAGACGGTCGAGGGGGGGGGAACCTCACAGACTAAGCCCAAGGCGAAGAAGAAGTATAGTTTGTAGTCTAGGAAGGCTTCTCGAATTTGGTGCAGTTTGATGTGCTTGTTCTCAACACCAGTCTGGTTTTCTCGAAGTCGCTCGACTGCAATGCGACGCTCTCGTTTGCTAAGCAGAGGCGCTGTCACGGGCGAGTCAGGAAGCAAGAAGAACATCACTAAACCCCACGTTGAGCAGAGACAGCCACTGCGGTGCACATGTCCAGTCAGCATATGCAAAATGGTACTTAGCAACAATCAGTCCTCTCTTACATGACAATGAACTCGTACTTCCACGAAGGAAGCGCTCCTCTGATATGCCCTATCCCATAGCCCAGTAGACCACCCAGGGCGATTCCAAGACCGTTGGCCGTATACCAAAGTCCGATTCGTACCGGCTGCTCGCGTCTCGTGTACCACATGCTCGTTATAAGCATAAAAGCTGGGTCGGCACAAGCTTCAGCTGCGCCTCCCAAGGCTCGCAAGACAGCAAGAGTGGCGAAATTATGACAAGCGGCTTGGATGATGAGAAAGACTCCCCTTTGTCGAGAACGTTAGCTGTGAGCCGCATCGGCAGGATGGATGACGTGAAAGTTGGCTTACCACATGAAAATGTTTGCACCAAGATATTTTCCTACGCAACATGATCAGCTCTTGATTCCAGCTGAAGAAATGCCGTCTTACCTATAGGTAAGCGTTGCATAAGAAAATTGGTCGGCTTGTCGGACATTAGCATGAGCCATCAATGTTCCGAGGAGGTCCAGACTCACAAAGGCCCATGCAAGAAATCCGAAGTAGAATACACTCGACAGCCAGCTGTACTGTGTGCCATGGAGATTCAGGTCCTCCTGGATACCGAAGATAGCCGCATAACTGAGTGTGGTCTGAATGCCGCATCGATGAGCAATAGGCAACCTCCGATGAAGCATAAATGGGCCGTGCGCACCTTATCAATGTAGAAGAATGCATAGCAAACGGCCAGGTAAGGAAGAATCATCAAGTCGATCTTCCAAAGCAACTTCCTTGCCTCTACGGGGTCAATCTCTTCATGAAGGGCATCCGGGTCGTTGAAGAGAGCCATGGCAGTGTCCCCATCCGGCGGCGTCCCCGGCTTCCACCCCGGCTGGAAATGATTCTCATCATGTGTATCTGAAGGTAGATCGGCGATGTTCTCTGTATGGACGGAACTGGGTTCGGTCTGGGCTTTACTGCCCATATTTGAATTGGGTGTTTGTGGTTGTTCCGTAGGCTGAAGAGAGCTTCAAGAGTAATAGCCGAGGTGTGACGAAGGAAAAGGAAGAGATGTCTGGGTCCCTATAAAAGGCCTGGTGGATGAGTCTCATACCATGCCTAGAGCTATAGTGAGCTCTATCTCCCGTCTCACAAACTTTGCTCAGAACCTGATACCTTGGTGATTGGATGGTCGTTCATCGAACGTGGGGGTATTGGTCCTGTCAGTTGTGCGGAGATATGCGTTCTTCAGCTTATCATCCAATCCGCACAGAGATAGTGCATCATCCATGAGCATTAACTTTTGCACCTCGGTCATTCTCCGTCTGGAGACTCAGTAGGTAGCCATCCGCAGCATGGCTTTGATACGTGGGAAATAGATCTCGGAGTAAAGCCGAGCATGGCATGATGATGTGTAGGAGCTGACAGACTTGAGAATGGCAGCTGATTCCAGGAGAAGAAGAACAATGCTGGCTGTATGCTGGGATCCTCGAGACGGTGAATGAAGTAGCAATGCGGGGAAGTAGAGAAGAACGACCCCGCGTGGGGGTGGGCAAATCTGGGGTAATTCCAGCCCAGCTGGTGGTTTTTCATCTCGCCTCCTCCCTCGGTATAAGTAAGCTACCTTGGAAGCATGCTAGCAGTCGTCAAGACTGCTCCAAGCAGTTGGTTTTTCTATCTTTAGATTCTCCTGTGCTGCATTCTGACTTGCTGTGGACAACCAATATACAAAGTCCAGCTTCATTACTTCCCAGAAGATATTCTTTTACAAGTGTGGAAGCTGCCACACCCAAAGCTCAAGACTCAGGTTGAGGGATTATGAGAGGTACTCGAGAGAAGGGCTTTGGACTGAATTACCAGACGAGGTTATGGCCCACAACCTGGGATTCACTCTTTCTCTGGACAATCCGTGCACGTCTTCCCAAGCTGACAAGATAGAACATACCAGTACAGTGACAAGGCCACTGTATTGATGTATTGAATATGCTAGTATCTTCTACAACATGGGAGGATTGCACTGGTCAGAAAGAAGGCTGGAATCGTAAAAGAGTTCTTCCAGGGGATGGAGACGGAAGTAACCACACAAGCAACATCCAAAGTCTTGCTGCTCGTCGGTGATCGATTCACTGTCAAATGAACTTGATCTTGCGGCCTTTGAGTCTGATAACTGCGTCTTACAGTCCAGTATAGGAGCAAGCCTAGTAAGATGCAGACGACTCTCCCTCGCCACCACACATGGCAAGCTAAATCCAGTCCAAATGGGCGTGCAGATCTAGGGAGGGTCCCGGTGCCTTTATACAGCCACAATTCTCGGGACATGAGTTGAGGAGTCAAACTCTAAATAGACTATCCCAGCCTGAGTCTAGGAAGATCCCCCACAGGTAGAGCCCGAAGTTGGCTCCGTGACTTGAAAACCCATCTATGAATATACAAGCTAAGAAAATGGCACTGATCGCCAAGTGCGGGCTATCTTGAGCTCCCTCGAGGACTAGCACGGTATTGGCTACCTGCAGTGATTAGCTTTTTTGGATCACTAGGTGTTGATCGGGCCACGATGCACAGTATGGGGTGATCCATGTGTTTCCGTCTGCAGTTCGATATGCCACATTGATGCATGGCCCTCGTGGGAGGCGCTTGAGATGACTCATAAGTACTTGCGTATCTGACCCAGGGTGCTCGTTGACTAGATACCCTGTTCAAGGCTCAGTTCCTCGGGAAGCAGGGTCACGAGTGATACATTATTCCCAGTTTTCGCGCTCAGTCGACGCTGACCGGGGCATCGGTACGCAGAGTCTGCAGTACGGATGGAGCAGCCGCCAATGGGGATGACCTTGAGCGGTGCGAGGTTGATGCGAGCCCATTATACCACAATATAGATGACCATAGCAGCGTGTGGATCATGTTAGACTTGCCGACCATGATGTCCGAGAGTCAGATAATGAGGCACAACTCGATCTGCTCAACAAAGAGGGGTATGAATTGCCGTGCTCCGGAATGAATCAATTACAAGACTTCGTGGAGCTAGGCGACAACACTGGACAGAAGTATAAACTGTCATACTAGCTCTGGTTCAATTGAGGTGTCATGGCAGCTTCAGAGCGAATCCTGACGACTCGGGATCGTGGTACGCGCAATTCTTTCCTGAAACACGGCGTTGAAACACGGTTGTGACATCTCAGAATTGAGGCGCAGTACGGAGTACTTTTTGACGACACTGCGGATAATGATAGGAAGGTTCGCCCCGGTCAATAGAACGAATTGATTCCCTCCCAGTCCCTGCCATCTCTCAATCCTGTATCGATGGTGCAGATTGTAAGGGGCGGGCGATAAATACAATCGGAGTAGGTAACTAGGTAACCTTACTCCCCCACCGTTTGAGAGAGGACGACGGCCAAGTCCGCCCGCCCCCAGCGTAAGCGCCCCTAAGAGAATTGCCTACTGCACACCGTCAGCCTAAGCCCCCCCTTCTCCCCCTCCCGCCTAGCGGCATCATGCATTCCGGAGCTCTGCCGTCCGCTCGCTCGCTCCCTCCCCTCCAGTACCCGAGGGTCAAACAACGGTTGACTCGATCACTGGTCACACACCGACTTTCGTCCATCTGCAAGACTAGAACGACTACTACTGTACCCCGGCTGCAGGCTTGCATTTGGTGTGCGGGTGGAGTAACCTACAATTGGCCCAAGGCGCCGTCATGGGCCTGCAGATCGAAAGAATAGGTGATGGGTGGTGGTGGTGTTGGTGGTGGTGGGATTCTCACATGCTCCAGCAAACCACCTGCGACGGCTCCTCCCCGGAGTCACGATACACTGAGGGGGCAGAGAGTTCAGGGACTCCGGACTGTCTGAGAGTCTTCAGTAAAGAATTGATCCCGATCCTTCGCCGTGCTTGATCGCGGCTAGTCCAGTGCGATTTATTTTCGAGGTAGGGATCCGTCTCGCCTTGTTCCGGCCCATTGGCTGAGTATCGGAGTATTGCTGCATTAGTGCCACCACTAGCCAGGCATGGTCGTTTTGATATGGACATCCGAGCAACATGGTGCTTGTGTCTCTGAGCCTTCGCTTCGCACAACTTACCTTGGGAGATTCATTTATAGACCATCGAGGACAAGTAGTATCCATCCTACATTTTAATGAAGTGCTTGCGCCATTGACTCCGGCAAAAGTCTGCTTGGGAATTGAAGCACTAGCGCCATTAGATTGGGGCATGGATGGAGGCCACGGGCATGGGGAGACGGAAAGGCTGGTGTGCTTGACAGCCGAAGAACCATAAAGGGCTTTGCAACCCACCCCTGTTATGCCGACACAATTCATATCCATCTGAGCCATGTGAATAGACTATAGGGTGATTATCGTTGCTTTATGACAGATTGAAACCCTTGCACCGAAGACGAGAGTTTATGCGATGTCTCACTCGATGTTGATTCGAAAACAGAATACCCTCGAATGCAAATGGCCCATGAACTACTAGGTAGTTATAAGTGCCTATAGTACTCAGTGCATACCCGATCGAGGATCAGACGAGATTGAGATTGACAACCCATTATTGCGGAGCACAAATACACTGGCAGCCAACGACTGCATTATTCCCAACCGAGAATCACAGCTACAGCAGTCCTAATGGCATTTGGATTCGATTGACTAGGTTCTATCGCAGTCTTCCAGAAGACCGAGGTGTTCAACCATGGAACCATTGGTTGACCCAGAAATGTCCTCAAGGTAACAACAGGACGGGCACTGGGCATGTCGTCATGTTCAAAGGGTTGCAGAAGGCCATGAAAACAGAATCCGCCACGCAGATCCGAAGATCTCTGACGTGGGGGATTTCGGCCATTGGACGAGTTGCCATTTCCTGCGTTCTTTAAAGCTGGGGTCTTTTTTGGGGGGAGGGGGAGAGGGGGGGAAGAGGACGAAAGATTCTTCTCTCCCCGCATTATGCGCGGTTGAATAGGGAAATGAACTCATATGAGAGGAACGTGCTGGGAACTATTGAGTAGGCTAGGTAAATGGTCGAGAATGTGATGGTCTCAACGGGGAGGCTAGAAACGACTACGTGGTCTTTAGTGGGAGTGAGAGAGTGGAAGAGGTGTAACCGTTCGCGATGGATGGTTCCCATGGTGGTGGAATAATGATGAACGCACTGAATCATTACTGGAAAAGAGAGGGAAAAAAAAGGGAGGGAGGGAAGAGAAACTAGAAGTGAGACCAACCCAATACGTAGCCCAGCCGGAAAACCCCAGTTATCGTCACCAGTCAGCCAGCCCTGGGCAAAGTCCCCTGCCCGGGAAGCCGTAGCCAGTTATGGAGTAACTACGGAGTAGGTAAGGTGAAGTGACGTAATGACCAAAATAGGTGTAACTCCCCCCGAGCGAGCCACTGACTGTGAGCCGCAGCGGCGAGTTCACACGTTCTCTGCCCGTCTCTCTGTTTGTCTGCCCAGTGCGTGGTGCGACCTGCTCAGCCTAGAGGGCTTGCTTGCCTGCAGTGCCTTCTCTCTCTCTCTCTCTCTCTCTCGTTCTGACTAAGGCTACAAGCCCATTTGCCTAGTCAACTAACTGTTAATGAACTAGCTACTGCGGGAGAACACCACATTTAAATCGTGTTAATCACAGAAAAAAAAATGAAATAATAAAGAAAAGCATCTGATAAAACATGCAGCAACCACCCACCAAAAAAAAAAGGCTGCTGGTTAGGTACTGTACAGTAGAACATTTACTGTAGAAAGGCTGCTTCTCCAAAATAGCATCCGGTCCTTTCCCCTCCGTCCCCAGGTCATTACATGCACCTTTAAGGGAGGGGAGGGGGGCCGCATTTCGTAGTTAGGGAGTTAAACACCCACAATCGACCCACTGCTGACCACTTCTGGATAAGACGAAAAGTGGGTAGACTTACCAGTAGTGCCAGTGGCCATCCTCAGAAGTGGGACGCCCGCCTTTATAATGTCGACTGACCCTCCTCCATTCCGCTGGGAAAACGTCAACGCTTCGCTTGAAATACATAAGCAAGGAACCAAACTGGGAATCTCTTCCAGGTTCCTTTTCCCTTCCTCATAAACCTGCCTTCCCTCCATCTCCTAACTAGCCGTACAACCATCCCTATACTATCTCGGACACTACTACTACCATTATCACCAGTACCACATCTCCCCCGTCGACCTCCAAATTTCCCTAGATTAATCGCCACTCGCCTTATTCACCATGTCTCGAACTAAGGTCCTGCTCGTCGGAGCAGCTGGTGAAACTGGTGGTTCCATTGCGAATGGATTGCTCGAACAGCCTAACTTCGTATGCTGTCCACGTTCATCACCTGCCTTATGCTTCCGACCCTGGTTCTAATTGCGTGCCTCTCGCCCTTACAGGAAGTCCATGCTCTTGTTCGCCCTCGCTCGGCCCAGAAGCCTGCCATCGTCGCCCTGCAAGAACGGGGTGTTCAGATTCGCAAGGGTGATCTCAAGGGTCCCGAGGAGTCGCTCGCCGACGTCCTCACCGGAATCGATGTCGTCATCAGTTGTGTCGGCCCTTCAGAACAACAGGATCAGATCCCTCTCGCCAAAGCTGCGAAGAATGCCGGTGTACAGCGATTTGTTCCCTGCGGTTTCATCACAGTAGCCCCGCCTGGCGGTATCATGTGGCTGAGAGACGAGGTATGCTGGCTGGCTCATCCGAATCTTACCTTCTCGATTAACCCTTCCACACAGAAAGAGACGGTCTACAACCACATCAAGCAGCTCCGACTACCCTACACTATCATCGATGTCGGCTGGTGGTACCAGTTCTCTTACCCCCGCCTCGAGTCTGGTCGCATCGATTATGCCATGACTTCAGCTAACAACGAGATCGTTGCTGACGGAAACTCGCCCATTGCTTTGACGGATTTGCGGGATATCGGTCGCTATGTTGCCAAGATCATTACCGATGACCGGACACTGAACAAAATGGTATTGGCGTACAACGAGGTCAAGACTCAGAACGAGATCTACGATCTTTTGGAGGAGATTAGTGAGGAGAAGATTCAAAGGAACTATGTAAGTGTTCTTTAGCACTTCTCGTGCCACGACATCGACTGACGTCATAATCACTCAGATTCCCGAAGAGACCATCTACACCCGAGTGCTCGCAGCCCGCCAATCTAGCGAAACCTATCCGTTCGACCCCATCAAGTTCATTCCTAGATATCTCGCCGAGTATCAACTATCTTGGGGTCTACGGGGCGACAACACGCCGGAATATGCCAAATACTTGGGTTATGTGACTTCCAAGGAACTGTACCCCGACTTCACGCCTACCGACTTCAGGGAGTACCTGGAAACCGTCGTAAGGGGTGCCGCCAAGGGTGTGTATACCGACCGCACCATTTCCAAGGCTCAGCAACGCTTCTTCCCTCGATCGGAATCTAGCGACTCTCTCTACACTCGGATCTTCCCTCGTACTGAATCGAGCGATTCTCTGTACATGTCTCGATGAACGACGACCTCGGTCCCTTGTTAGGAAGAAACACGAGTCGGCGCTAGATGCGCCTCCACCTTCGTGCTGCTTCGATTATGATCGTGTGTACGGTGTCACTTGAAATAGTGGATACCACAGCATACAATGGCAGCCCTCCCTCCCTTGTTGTTTCTCTTTGCTTTTACCTTCTCATGGGTCTTCTTTTGTTCCCGGGGGTTTCTAGACAGGCGTTCGTGTACCTATTGATGGCTTATGACTGTCTCGAGTGGATGAGTATGATTACGTCACCACCACGTTTATATACCAATGTACTTCGGGGGTTTTCTCCAATCACCCAGTGTCGGTGACAGGTCTCACGGTCACTGGAAAGATATCAAAAATTCAATTTTATCCATCATTCTTGCGTCTGGTACTACGTAACCAAATCGCCAGTGGTGACAACATGGACGGCAAGTGCAAATCATCCCATCTGAGTCAGGCAACTACACAATTTTCTTTTCCTTGTCAAGTCCAGCTCAACTTTTTGAAATTCAAAGAATAAAGAATCCAGGCGCATCCCCAGGCACTCGAATTTTGATTTCTCCGGAGGCAACGCATCCGTTCTGTATGGGTAGCGATGGCTACGGGAAAATGCGACAACGATCGAGATCATGATAGTGTCCCAACAACGATTGAAGGCGACATCCCTTCAATTCGTTCAATACAGCCTTCCTTCCATCCGCGCATGCGGCCCGTGATTCCTGTCTATGGAGCTTTAAGCCCGCGTCAAGTCAATCTACTCGGTGCGCATTCGTCTGCCGAACTTAACCTCTATGCCTTACTTATCTTAGCAATAGCTATTGGAGGAGCGATCAATACTGGCCTCATGATTTGTGCAGGCCGTGCGCTTTCACAGTAAGAGCACCAACTTCTTCCATTCCTCACTTCGATGCTGACCAGAGACCACAGCGCTGGGGTGAGTACCCTGAAGTTTTCGTGATCGATACACACTAACCACCAAAGCCTGCTTCTATACTTATTTCGTACACATTTGTTGGGTTCATTGTCTATCTGGTTCTGTGTGCTCTGGGTGAGGTCGCTTCTTGGTCCACAGAACCATCAATGGCCGAGAATGCGTCTCGATTCTGTGATCCGGCGCTTGGGTTCACATTAGGATGGATGTGAGTCAGCGTACCCCATAGAACCTCGCTACCTTATATGGCATGGTCTAATCCAGACAGTTATTGGCTGAAATTCATGGTTGTGATCCCCAACCAATTCGCAGCGGGAGAATTGCTGATAGCCTACTGGCAAGGTGATGAGAAAGGATATTCGATCTTTTGGATCACGTTCTTTCTCGCGACAATCATCGTTGCGAACTCGAAATGTAGCCAGTATTTCGACAAATACGAGCTTTGCCTCTCCTGCATGAAGATCATTGTGATGTTCGGCCTAGTCTGTCTCTGTGTCGTCCTGGCTTTCGGTGGCGGCCCTGATCATGATAAGAAAGGCTTTCGTTACTGGAGCTATCCAGGTGCGTTTGCGCAGCACTCGAACAAAGAAGCAACGGGCATACTTCGCGCGGTCTTTCGAACAGTTCCTTCTGCTACATTTGCCTATCTCGGAAGTGAGCTCATGGGCATAACTATATTGCGCACGCATAATCCCAGGGAAGCTGCAGGACAGGCCATCGAGTCCAACTGCTACCGCATCTTGGCCTTCAATATCGTCAATGTGGCTCTATTGGGGATACTGGTTCCCTCTGGTACCCACGTCTTGGCCTTAGGCCAATCCCCGGACAAGCCCCGGCCGGCATCAGCTTTTGTGACGATCGCACAGTATACTGGCTGGTCAAAGTTGCCACATATTTTGAACGCCTTTCTACTGGTCTGTGTTATTTCTGCCGCCAGCCAAGCCCTCTATTTGGCGACAAGAACACTATATGAGCTTTCTGTAGATCGACATGCTCCTGCTTTCCTCTGTCGAACCAATGATCGGGGAGTTCCAATATATGCCTTGGGTGTGTGCGCCCTCATAGGATGCACGGCATATCTGAATGCCTTTAGCCGCTCTCAGAAACTCTTCAACAACCATGTCAACCTGGTTTCAATGTTTAGCATACTGACGTGGGCCTCCATCCTGGTGGTTCATATCTCATTCGTGCGAGTTCGAAAAGTACAGAAGATCGCCGACGAGGATCTGATCTTCCGGGCACCATTCGGGGTGCTCGGCTCCTGGGTCGCCTTAGTGGCATGTATCTTTTTCTCGGTGATTCGAGTATTTGACCTTACAAGCCGTGATGCTTACCCACGGGGGTTTGACTATGTGACTTTCATCACATCTTATGTGGGAATCCCACTATATGCTATACTTGCCGTGGGATACAAGCTTGCTACCAGGAGCCACTCGGTGCAACCTGAGAGTGTTGACATGAGATCCCTCAAGGCTGAGCAAAGTTCGTTAAAAGCAGGTCGTACTCTTTCGACGCAGGGACGACCTGATCAAGTCTATCCAGACTCAGAATCAGCCCGCATGCGCCGAAGCATAATCTGGTGGGTATTGTGACTGGGCGAAGGAATACTTGAGCTGGGGAGGGATTGCTCTGCGCTTGGTCGCGTGGTTTGTGGGTCGGGTACAGTACATGTACGTGCTATGAAAGCTTGCTTACACGCTAGACATTTTATTTCCCGTCCAGATATCTGATTCAAACATAAATAGTAAAAAAAGGGGGAAGGAAAAACAAAAAAAATTCATCAATGGATCTTCATTTCGTCCGAATCTTATGTGATAGTACTGACCTGGAGCGTGGCATCGGACTGCCGCATGCTGGTGTCTGATTACGGCACTCGAGGGATAACCAAGGAGGTCGCGCAGCAGCATGAAAAAGCAAACATATCGAGATATGTGAGTTTTATGTGGATGTAACTGCCCGCAGTGCATGGTAGGAATGACTTGTCGAGGTGACCGGCGTCAAGAGGTCGATTTGATTCGCTCGAGAGGGGCAGGTGGAGGGCAAGTGGAGGGCAAGTAAGTGGAGGGGTTGAAGCTGTCAGTCAATCTTTCTTTCTTTAGCTTCAATTCAACCACCCGACCCGATCTTCTTGTTTGGTTTGCTTCTTCACCCACAACCAATTTCCCTCTCTTCTTTCCCGCTTTTACGTTGCTTCCCTCAATTCTTCTCAAGACCCTAACTGCTCTAACGCCAGTTTTTTCTCAATGCTTGGATCTACCTCCGACTGATCAAAGGCGAGAGTCGAGGAAGGTGTCTGGCGCGGGTCGCCGACTCGATTGTTTACCATCCCCTGGATCAGTGGTTATCCGTCGTCTTGTGGAGAACCAAGTTTCCCAATTGGTGTACCCGCACAACTGACAGCTCCGAGGTCGATCGATACTGGATTGTGCAATCCCCGGGCTTTGACAAACATGGGCTTCCCTATCACTCCGAGCCGAAGCGGGCAAGAATTGATCCAACTCATAGACGAGATCAACGAGAAATTCTCGCTGGAAATCCCCAATCCCCGCATCTACTCCCCTGGCGGTGACAACAAAACACCGGCATGGAGGTGCTATGGCGGTCTCAAGCGGCTCTACTTCAAAGGCCCTTTGTATCGAGTCCTCGAAGATTTCCACGAATGGGTTTCGTCTCGACCACTTCATCCATCCCGCTCGCATTCAGGTCATGAAAGGGAAGAGGGAAGAGCGAATGGGATACCTGTTGCGATTGATCGACGATGAGCTCTACCTAATGACCAAAGGCTCCTTTCCGGCCAACCGTTTGATGGAGCAACTTTCGGCGGAGCCTGAAGATCTAACACCTAAGTCATTGAAGAGAAGACTTTCGGCCGACGAGGACGAGTTTCATACTGCGCCGAGCTCTCCGGTCAAAGAACCTGCAAGATCAGTTTCCCCATTGGAGACAAACGGTCGTTCCCATGTTGTCGGATACTCTAATCAAGGTAGCCATCGGCAGTCAACGATCGCGACTTTCCCTACAAACCTCTTCCAGAGCCCTCGCCGCCCTGACTCGGGAAAGCCTTCCAAGTTCGTAGAGAGACTGACCGCACCTGACAAGTACCGGCGATACGACGCTGTACCTGCTGCCCAGACCGGTCTGAATGTCAGCTTCGCAACAACTACTGCCTCATCCTCTGACTTTTTCGCTTCGCACAAGGTCTCATATAACACGTCCTTTCTCTCAACTACCACTGATGTCGCCGAGCCCATGCCGGAGGACGAGTCACTGTACGAAGACTCGGTGGTAGGGCATATGCTCAGTCAGGAGATGAGAACGACGTTTGAGCAGCAAAGCCGGGTTTCAGGTTCAATAACTCAGGAGTCTCAGTACATCGACGACGGACAAATCATGGCAGAACTCATTGAAAACGGACCTTTCACTTACGAGCAGACTTTCTCAAAGTCGACTCCACTTCGCTATCGATATGAGCTAGAAAGGATAGGCAGAGCGTGGAATGTACCTTTAAGCCGCATGCTCGTTGGTGACACCATCTCATTCAGAACTCTGGACGACTATTGGAAATGGATAGCGCGTCATAACCAGCGAGACGGCAAGCCACTTCCAGAGAAGCCAACTCGCAAGGCGTGGGAAGCCGCTACGGGTGATTTCAAAACAGATAAGCATTCCGAGGTGGTCGTCTTCACAGGGGACATGGAGTGGTGCACTGGGTCCGAACGCGGTATTTTGAAGTTGAAATTGAATCCTCTGAAGACAGAACGAACCTGCCGCTTTCATCGACGCTTTGGATCGGATCGCTTTCTCAGCCTGACGATGCCTGCCCCGGCGCGGCCGCCACCTCATCTCCGAATACCCAAAAATCCTACTCTCTTGCGAGAAAGCTTAGCTCTCTGGTTAACGCAACGGGTGCATCGGTGCCTCGGTAGGGAATGGAGGCCGTTCTTTGTGGAGGAAGTGAAGTCAAAGCGTAAGATTAAGTCGGAACCGAAATTTCGAGTAGATTTATTTGCTGTCGACGGCATTGATTTTGACCACAGGGTGAGAGTACCTTCGTCCCCACCTCTCCCAAACCAGGACAGTACGAACCGCACGCCGATGGATTTAGAAGAACTTATTGAATGGCACATGCCTTCAGAAGCCAATCTCGGCCAGTCGAACTGCAAGCTCTTCCAGAGGTTATCATTGGGTCTTTCCAAGACTTATGCAACGGTGGTGCTGCGACCATCGCAGATTCTGTCGCTGCCGGACCTCCCAGGCCGTCCGGTGATGAATGATGGGTGCGCCCTGATGTCAAGGAAGATGGCCAGCCACATCTGCGACATGCTGGGGATTGCAGGAATAACCCCTAGTGCCTTTCAGGGTCGATTTGCGGGAGCCAAAGGGTTGTGGATGGTTGATCGACATCAATCACAGTTATCAGCTGAGTGTAATGACGACATGTGGATTCAGATTTCCGACTCGCAGCTGAAAATCTATCCGCATCCCCAAACCTGGCAAGAGCCTGTTGACAACGAGCAGTTGACCTTCGAGGTTGTGAAATGGTCCAAGCCGTTGCATCCGGTCGATTTGAATATTCAACTCTTGGCAATCCTCGAGCATGGCGGACACGTGAGGGAACATATCGGCGACCTCACCCGGCAAGGCATTCAAGCGGTGTATAAGGAGTTTGTACAGGTACTTCAGTCCGATAGTGCTATCCTTTGTCGCAGTCTTATCCAGAAAATCCGGCCTTCCGCGGATGACGGCTCCGGGCTGATGTCACACAAAGTCAAACGCCTGGAGCAGTGGACAGCGAACGATGCAGAGTCGATAATACGGCTCACTGAAGCAGGGTTTGGACCTCGAAGCTTCTATCCGCTTCGCAAACGACTGGGGAGATGTCTCAGAGACCTGCTCACTCGATATGTGGATGAATTACATATAGAGGTCCCTCTTTCGACTTATGCCTTCTGCATTGCAGATCCTTATGGGATTCTCAAAGAAGACGAGGTACACTTTGGATTCTCCACCAATTGGCGCGATGGCGAAGGTCAATTTGAAGATACTCTAGTAGATGGCATGGAAGTTCTAGTTGGCCGACTTCCAGCCCACCTACCCTCTGACATTCAGCGCCGGAAGGCTGTGTGGAAGCCAGAACTTCGCCACTTCAAGGATGTCATTGTGTTTCCCAGTGTGGGTAATGTACCGCTAGCGCATATGCTATCAGGCGGCGACTACGATGGTGACACGCCCTGGATCTGCTGGGATCAGAACATCGTGCGCAATTTCTATAATTCGGACCTCCCAGATGTCGAATATTCTCCAGAGCACTTTGGTCTTACGAAACATTCCGTACCCATGAGGGATATTCAATCCATGGACGAGTTTCTTCAAAGCGCGTTTACGTTCAATTTGACTCTATCGAATTTAGGGCGCTGCACTGTGGAGCATGAAAAGATCGCCTATGACGAATCGATCGATTCGCGCAACGCCACGGAGCTTGCTTGTCTCCTGGGTCATCTGGTGGACGGCCGTAAGGGAGGTGTGCATCTGTCTGAGCAATCTTGGATGCAATATCGAAAGAGGATCAGTCCTCAAGTTCGTGCTCTGCCCGCCTACAAAAATCCTCAACGGAGATACAAGAGGACCAATCTTATTGACTTTCTTCGCTTCGAGGTGGCTCGCAAAGAGCGCGATAAGGTTCTGGCACAGTTGGAGAAGGCATTTCCCGAGGATGAATCCTTCAAGAACCGGGATGAAGACCTGTTGGGAGTATGGGCTCATGTCAATCAGCAAGCCGCACAGGACATGGGACTGAAAACAGCACTGCAAGGTGTGGGCCAGAAGCTCAAGACATTGTACGGGCAGTGGAACGAGCACGTGCAGAGGAGCCAAGAGTCCTTTTCCGTCCGTGCTCTAGAAGCTGCTGACGAAGCCCAAGCCATTGAGCCTCCGTCAGGAGATCATCCTTTGATTCAGGTATGGGAGCACTGTCCGGGCGAATGGCTTCGGTTTCTAGCTTCCAGCACGTATCAGCGGTGGCCCCATTCCGGTTTCGTCATGCACGCCTTTGGTGAGGTGCTCTGTCAGATGAAGGCGAGCAACCTACCGGCGCGGACCGTGACGAATGAGATCCTTGCCTGTTATCGTGTCAACCAGAAGGTCATCGCGCAGCTTACGTCCCGGGACCCGATGGATGAAGAGGACACCGAGCCGGGCGAGGACGAGTACGAAGGGCACGAAGCCATCGAGGCGATGCACTTCGGGCTGCCGTCGACAGCAGCGGGCGGATACTACGATCCGGACGATGGAATGTCGGTGGAATGAGCGAGGTTTCAGCTTCGGATAGCATGGTTCATTGGCTGGAATTCAGTTCATGCATCTGTGGGGTACATTCTTGGTTATCGTGCTGCATGCATGTGCCTCCCTTGGTAGAAGTTTTGGATTCTTGGATAGAGTTCTCTAACTATCCTATCCTAAAGAACTGAAAAGAGAATGGGATAGGGCATTGGGCCAGATAGTTTGGATAGTAACAACGATCTACGAGACTTATTGGTTTTGCCTTCGGCTGACCAGTTGGCCATGGGGTTTGGTTGGCTGAGTCGTAGTTAGACTAGTAACTCACTCACTGACTAAAGTCCAAGAATCATGAATCATGTGGAAGTGGACTTGAATCAGACCGGGCAGGCGGTGGGACGGTGCATTACTGGGTGGCAGGTGGAATCACATGTCAAGTCGTACAATTTGGTCCAATCTGACTGGAAACGGAAGCTTCCACGAGCTGCTTTCGCTCATCAACTCTCGCTCTCGCTCATTGACTCTCGACTAATCGTCGGCTGTTCCTCCCGGGCGAAACAACAACCAGGATTGACCAGAGACTACGGAGTACGGATACTAAGGTTCTCATAGTTGACTACTAAGTTAGTACCTAACTGACTTGTGACTCGGGTCAGCATGTGAAGGGGGGCGAGGAGAAACCCAGTAACAGTAACTTCATAACCAGTCCAGCAAGTCTTGTTTGCATGTGCATGTGCCTGAGGCAATAGGATGTATACAGTAACTTACGGGACTCGACCATCAACTTAGCATCCCACAAAATTATGGTAGTGTGGTAGGGTCATTTTGATGTTGTAGTGCAGTGTAAGATGGTGTAATAGTATAGGAGCCCGAGTAAGAATCAATATCTGAGTGGGTGACTGAGGAAGTGAGAGAGTGAGAGCTGAGTTCAACCTTGAAGGGTTTCATGAGTCGAGTTTCGTGACTGCCGAATCCACGCCCAGTCAGTCTCGGCTCTTCTTTGGCCCGCCGCGCCTACGTTTTTCTCTTGCTTTGCACGTGAAAGTCCCTCCGTCGAGTCTTGCACCTGCAATTCATCCACTGCATCCTTCCATCCTTCCAACCAAGCAGGCACATTAATCAATCAGTCAATCAATCAATCAATCAACTGCTCACTCTCACGCTCAATCAAGCTTCGCTCGGGATCTCCAACCTCTCTCAACTGCCTTTCCTATTATCCGCCCCTCTCCACTTCCTCACTTCTCCCCCCTCTCTCGCCCCTCCCCTCTCTCTCCGAATAATCAGATAGTCTCAAACAAACGCGCCTAAGCCTAACCGATTCTCCGGCTCATACTTTCCACGCCTCCAGCTTCTCGACTCATTTACCCGTTCTGGTTGTCGGAGGACAGCCATGGACCACCGTCCAACCGACGGCATCTCTGGTCCTGGTCCGAAGGCGTCCATTTCTGCTGTTCGAGACGCCACGACGCCGACCACCACCACCACCACGACGTCAGCCCATCCTTCGCCTTTATTAGTCTCCTCCACCTCGACGACTTCTTACACGGCGCCTACTCCCGCCCCTTATCCTTCTTTTCATCACCATGTTCCTCCCCCGTCGTCTCTGATGGATGTCGATCACACTACCGCGGCCGAGGATCGCTCGCGTCGAGCCACCAGTGTCCTGTCCATGGATGATATCGAAGCCGCCCAAGCCTTGGAGGGCTTGCGTACCGGTATACACCCCCACTCCCCTTCTCCTCAATTATAAGGACATCACATCCTCCCGCGTCTGCTGCTGTGCATTTTGCTCGCACCACCGTCCCTACTTCTATGCTATGTTATACTGTGGAATAAGTTTTGATAATGGGCTTGTATATTGGCAATCTAGAATACGGTCAATCGCCCCGAACCTTGCAGCCATCCGAACAAAAAGCCCAGCCGGAACCCCTCCTCTCCCTCCTGACGTCCACTCACCCCCTCATCTCCTCGGCCATCAACGGGTCTGTTTCGGCCTATGCGAACTCCAAGTCATACTCTCCCCGCTTCAAGTCGGGGGCTGAGTTCATCGAGCGGAATATCGGGTCGCCGGTTGCCAAGTCCGTCGGGACGGTTGGTCGAAAGACCGGTGTCGAGAGCGGACTGCGCTGGGCATTGCAGCGTCGGGCGTCGTCGTCGGCCAACTCCGGGCGGTCGAAACGCCGCAAAGTGAATGGCCGTGAAGATGTGCCACAGCAATCGGCGGGTGCTGATGTGGACGTCGAAAAAGGCTCCGCGGATGGTGATATGGAAGGTGGTGTGGATGGTCCCCCGCCGTACGATGATCAGAAATCCCCCAGCTATGATGAGATTGGTCGGGACAGCCCCTCGAGACAGAATCCGACTTGGCAGAGCCGGTTAATGATCTCGACGTCTGGATTGGGGGTGGCGATGAGTGAGGAGTCGCTGCGTAGCCTGCAGTACTGTTTAACGTGGCTACGGTGGGCGAACGGTCGGTTGGGCAAGGCTATCCTGGCGCTGCAGGGCGCGCTGAAGGAGTGGGATAACTCGGGCCAGTCCGGCCAGGGTGAGCAGGATGGGTCTTCACAGGCAAATCTCCTGTCACAGCGGATACAGGCTGTTAAGGAGGATGTTTTGTCCACCTTGAAGAGGGTCGTGGATATCGTCTCCAAGTACGCTGGCGGAGCGTTGCCGGAGAATGCCCGCAACCTCGTCCGGCGCCATCTCACCTCCCTTCCCCATCGGTTCCAGATCGCTTCGACTTCCAACCCACCACCCGATTCAGCGGCAGCTGCATCCGACACGACGGTCAGCGCTCATCGGATCTTGGTCCTCGCTCAGGAGGGGCTTGACATGATGGCCCAGGTTAGTGGCGTTGTTAATGACACCCTTGTCAGTGCAGAGCACTGGTGCCAACGACTGGGACGAAAGCGTCCCGAGAGTAAGAATGCCGCGGAGGTCAAGCAGCAGCCGGAGGAGCAGAAGGAGACTTATCCGGCTGATATCAAGCGACCTGTTCACGAGTCTTCCCCTCACGATGTGAGTATGTCAGGCATGGAAAAGGTCTGAAAGATCCACCTATTGATAAAGGTCGATAACGGGCTGTACCCAGTGAAAACCTGGGCGACCCTGCAATCGACAATGCTATATGAGGCAGTATGTCTGCAGATTCAGATTGACGACTTGAAACAGTCATTGTCCGCTGACGAGCGGACCATCACCTTCGTTGTTTGCGTGTTCCTTTTGTCATGGTCGATCTTCTTGCATGTGTTGGCTGTCATTGCCGCTGCGACTGACCTTCCTTACATGATAGCGATTTCCTTTCCGGGATGAAGTATGGCGTTTCCCCCTCGATGATTTGACTTGCTCATTGCACCTGCATTATTGCGCTGTTCGCAAACAGAGACCGACCTACTTGCATTCGTTTGGGTTGTCGGTCTGTCGGATTTCCGCCGTCACTCACTATTCGTGTTCTTGTTTTGACCCAGGAAGAGGTTTGTGTGCGTGGCTAGCGATGCTCTGATAATCCTCAATTCCGTTGTATGAAGCAGAAAAAGTTTTCCCTTTCTCTTCCCTTTGAGACCATGACACTCATTCATCGAGATCATGTGATGAGCTCTCCAAACGACCTCCCATCCATCTCGATCTCCCGTATGAGGTTCCGATCCCCGCCGGCCTGCGAACAATACAGCCTCACCTTGACACTGCTAGTTGCTTTGTGTTGTTGTGCCTGCGCCAGAGCGGCCAGTCGCTGCCGTCTCCGTTCCTCCATGATGAAAGCCCACCTGATGCGGACGTCCTCGACTCGTCGCTGCCGATTCAGCCCCCGTTTTCTCCATAGCGCCACCTGCGACGCCATGAGCTGGTTTGCATCGTCGGGCCAGCCGCCCAGTTTCTGGGTCCGAGGCAAAGCCGCCATCGGGCTTGGAGCTGGGTAGTAAGACTGGTAGGGATTGGAGGAGTAGTATCCTCCCTCTCCCTTTCCCACTGTCCCGCCGCCACCCTTTTCCCTGATGATCCCATAGCGCCAGTCCATCATGCCAGACTCGAGCTCCTCCAAGTCTATCAGACCCGAATCCACCGCATGCAACCGCCCTTTCCACCCCTTCAACTCATAGACATCCTTTCCATCCCGACAGATGCTCAATGTTCCCCGCCGCAGCGTGTAGTGCACATGGATATGGTAGTCCGCGCGGTATTTCGCGAACGCGACATCCTCGCTGTTACTTCCGTCGTCCGAGGTATCATCTTCTCCCTCGAGGAGATATCGCGCCACCAGCGCTTCGTACAGATGCCCCTGTACGGAACTCGAGGAGGGGGGCGTGGACGGCGGGGTGAGCTCCGCGTAGCTGATGTACCGATGCTGCTGCTCCACCTGTGATTTCGGGGATTCCTGGGTCCGGCAGCGGGCTTGAGGACCAGAGTGGACAGCATCATCGGCTTCAAGGTCCATCTCATCGTCGTCTGAAGAAGTGGCAGGAGGCAGCTCGTGCGGCGCCAGATCGGGATCCGCTTGTGCGGGATTGAACGGGACGGTGCGGGCTGGATCGTACCGGCCGGATGCTGTGTCGGCGCGGAAGGTGGATTTGGGGATGCGGAGGATGGTGGTGCAGCCGGTGCAGGTTAGGGCTTCGTGGAGGGCGGTTGTCTGGGTGGTGTTAGCGAGGGGGCATTGGTGGGAGAATTGGGGAAGGGCTAGGGGGGATTTACCAGTTCTTCCTCTATTGTTGGTGTGGATGTTGTTGCTGATGCTGATGTTGGTGAGATAGCCGTCGCGCCGGACATGATGGCCGCCGGTGGAGGCGATGGTGATGGGGTTGGCGGGAGCATCTTGGTGGTTGTGGTTGTGGTTGTGGTTGTAGAAACAATTCGAGCATATACTCACGTCATACCACAAGTATCAATTGAAGTATACTCGACAAACAACCCTACTCCCCGAATCCAAGTTTTTGGGACTGTCGAGTGCGGTGTTGTTGAATTATATGAATACTGTAGAGAATCCTTGCCCTAGGCCTAGGTAGTGAGTGTAGTGTAGGGTAGGGTAGTGTAGTGTAGTCTAAGCTAAAGCCGAGTTGGAGTCCGAGTCGGAGTTCTTTTCTGTCTGTTTGTTGCCTCCTTCAAGCCAACTTCTCATATCCTGAGTAAGGGTCAATCCGAGTTGACCGTCCTTTTCCGTGGTTTGTGGTTCGCGGTGTTTTTTTAGTGTATGTGTATCGAACAACAATAAAGGATTGATTGTCCACTGTCCACCGTCACTGTATTGGGGGGGAGGGGGTTCTTTGTTCGTGGCGCGTTTCAATTGTGGATGCCGTGGTCTATTGTTTCTGGGGAGTGTTTTGGGGGGGGTTGGTTTTAGTTTGTGGGTGGGTGGGTTTCTTTCTTTGTGTTTGTGGATGTGGATGGGATGTGAATAGAATCGAGGTTTATTCTTGATTCGGAGTTGGTATAGCCGGTATGGTATAGTATAGTTTATGTGTTAACTTCTTATTGTCAATAAAGAAAAGACAAGACAAGACAAGACCAGACAATCCCAGATGCTGAATGCAAAAATTTGAAATGTGGAAAGAAAGGAGGACAAGGACAAGCTTCAGCTATTATTATCTACATCCTCTCACTCCTTATCATCATCATCATCATTATAGCCAGGTTAGTGTCAGTCAGTCAGTCAGTGTCGGTGTCGGTGTCAGTCGAATTCAAATGTCGTGTCATCCTCCATTCTCAGCTGCGAAGGATATCGTCATTGGGGTTCCTTGCTTGTCTAGCTTGTTTAGCTTGTTTAGCTTGTTTAGCTTGTTGGAACGTTGATGCTGTCGGCTGGATTCGGGGGGGGGAAGTCACGCTGTGGTCGGTGTACTGGGGAACGGGGGGCACATGATTTCATAGATTGGGGGGATGGGGATGTGACGGGGTCACTGGGTTGAGGAATGTTGGGTTATCTTTTGGGGTTTTTGGGGGGGTCGGGTGGTGCACCACTTGCTTACACTTACTAGCTTAGCTTAGCTTAGGTAGTTAGGGGTAGGTTGGGGGTGAGGTAAGCAGTTAACTTAACTGAGCTGAGTAACTTGCTAGGGGCTGGGCTTGGGAATTGATAAGATCTTGATTGATGATTTGGACTGTGGTTTTGGTTTGTGGTTTGCATGTGCGAGGGAGGGGGTAGGTAGAGGGTTTTTTTTTTTTTTTTTTTGGCTGGGTATTGGGGTAGGGAACAGGGGTTATATACATACTAGTAGCTTATGGTATAGTTGATATATGGTCGGGGTGAGATGTACAGTATATGTCGTTCAGTCCGACTCACAGAGAGGAAGGAAACAGAGTGTTGTGGACTGCAGTATCAGTATAGCCAGCTGGGTAGCTACTTCCAAGGGGCCGGTGGATTTATATACAGTCCAGCTCTGCCGACTAATTCCTTCCTGTCGGTGGTATCCCCCCCACTGCGATCCGTACTTTCCTCGGGCTCTTAATTAGATGACTTTTGTCAATGCGCAGAGTCTGGTGCGTCAGTCTAGACAATTGAGAAGCTGGAGCTGGGTGCCTCTAGACCTAATACTTCACAACACCCTATGCCAATAACACCGAGGGGGTTCCACCACCCAAACCCATAGCGCAAAGCCATTGTCCCTCCCCCTTTCAGCCCTACTCCACCCCCTTTGTCACGGCAATTGCATTCAGCTTCAACCTGGTGTCGCGAGAGTAGAGTAGAACTGTATGTAGTACGTAGTGATGAGATATTTCCCCCACGACACCATCTACACCACACCATGAATCTCAAAACCACCCAACATACCTCCTAAACGACACCACCACCACCACCACTTGCAATACAATCCTGCAGCAAGATGCCCTCCACCTCCTTCCCCCTCCTCCCAACCATCAGCCTCCTCCTCTCCCTCATCTTCTGCCTCTACCGCCTCCAAGGCCCCATCCGCACCTACCGTCGTCGTCTCCGAGCCCGATACAGCGGACGAGATGGCTACGCTCGTCTCGCAGCAGTCGAGGATGGGTCTGTCATGTCATGTCCACTGCCACCCCCCTCCTCCCTCTCGAGTTTCCCGGGGATTCTCTTGTTACTGCATCCACCCCGTCGTATACAAGAACTAACAGACTACAGCAGCTCACCATCCCCAACCGCCGACCAACCCCCCAGCTCTGATCCGCACAATGCTCATACTGAAAATCCAAGCACCCCGCTAAGCAAATACTTCGATCCGCAGACCGCCCTCCTCTACGCTGATGTGTTCGAGCGGAGGACGAGACCGTCTACGTCGTGGGAGCGGGAGGAGGGGGAACTCGGACGGCAGCGGGTTGTTGGCGATGGTGAGGGTGAGGGCGATGGCGATAGTGACGCCGGGGTTGGGGATGGGGTTCTTGGGGAATGGTTTGGGCGGTTGGTGGAGGGCGTGGTGCGGTATTATGTGGGGTTGGTTTGGGAGAAGGGATTCGTTGAGTAGATCTCCGTACTCCGTGCTCCGTAAGTTACTGTACATAGACTTGAAGAGAAGGTGGAATCGAGGCAGAAGCCTGGCGTGAGAATAAGCGGTGTGAATCATATCGGATGAGTCGCAATCACTTGTCTACCGTAGGAGTAAAGGGGTGGCGCGGCAAACTTTCGTCAGCAGGCGGGGATGCAAGCCACTATGCATGGCTTCGTGGCGGTTGTGTGATGAGTACTCTGTACTTTGTGGTTCAGTGTCTTCGGTGGTTCTTTGGAGCGGTGAGATTCTTACGAAACCTTGGGGGATGAAATCCCACTTGATGGAAATCTAGTTGATTTGTCTGGACTCTCGCGGGGATGTAATCCATATCCCGAAAGAACTCCGTATAAACATGGCAATGGAAGAGGTATATATACACGTGAGTGTGTGTTGAAAAGCCTACGGAGCACAGTACCCGCCGTCCACCACAAGATCAGCCCCCGTCGTGTAGCTGGACGCATCCGAGGCCAGATACAGGTAGGCGCCCTTCAACTCCTCCGGAAGACCCTCCCGGCCCATGGGGATTTTGTCCCGCCAGATCTTCTTGGTGTCGTCCTGCACGAAGTTGGACAGCTCCGTCGCGATGTAACCCGGGGAAACGCTGTTGGCCCGAGCGAACCGGACCCATTCAACAGCTAAAGACTTGCCTGGAGGCTGGTCAGTATCCACCGGCCGGAAAATATGCTGAAGGGCACCTACAAAGATGAATGACCCCCGCTTTGGCTGCGTTGTACGCCGCCTGCATCTGGGGGATGTTGACAATATGCCCGCTCATCGACGCGGTAGCCACAAAGCTCCCGTACGAGAAGTTCTCCAGCGGGTTGCCGAACAGATCCGTGCCCTGTTCCTTCTGTCGGCGCCAGTGGCTGGCGGCCGCCCGGGCACAGTAGAAGGTGCCGTTCAGGTCGGCGCCCACCACGTGCTCGTAGTGCTCCAATGGAGCATCGACCATCGGGCCCTTCACCCAGGCGACCCCGGCATTGGCGATGAAGACGTCCAGTCGGCCGTTGAAGTCCTTCACCACCTGGTCGACCGCTTCTTGCACGGCTTGGGGGTCGTTGATTTCAACCTTGTACGCCTTGGCTGGTGGATGTTAGCCTATGCATTGACTGCCCAGGGTACTAAGGGGTCAACCTACTCTGAACACCGTATTTTTCGGCAATCTTCGCCGCGCTCTCCGCCGCCTTCTCGTTGGTATTCCACCAGATGGCGACGTTGGCTCCGGCCTCGGCTAAACCGTTGGCCACGGCGAATCCAATGCCGGCCGTAGCACCTGTGACGATGGCGGTTTTGCCCTTGAGAGAGAACATCTGCATTAGGCTGGGGTGTGCGGGAGGGGTGGTGTTCTCGTGGACGAAGAGTCCATTCTGGACGGGGTTGGCTGCCATTCTGGTAACTTTGAAAAGCAAAGAGAGAGGTCTAGAAAGAGATAGGAGAGAGAATAGAAAATAGAGGTATGGAGGATGAATGAGAGAAGAGCACGAGGGTATGGAGAATAAAAGCCGGGGTGCATCCCGGGAGGGAACGTGGATTTATATGCTCAGACCGGAGCTTAGATACATCTGACTATTAGCACGACCAGCCGCAAGTTGATTGAAGCTGGACAGCTCGAGCCCGCTCAGGAGCCGCCGATCCAGCTGAAGACAGGCTGAGTCGTTGCCCTCTGAGACTTCGAATGTTTCCGCCGCTCATAGCTCGTTGGACCGAGGTGCAGCATCCACTTTGACCACGCACTAATCATCACGGTGGGATGGAGCCGACGCTATGACATTGTCGGACGGACATTTAGAAAGCGAGTCGTATCTGTTGCTTCTTGCATGACAGCAAGCACCCCAAGTATCTGGCCGCAAATGTGAATATATCCGGAGTACTGTGCTTCGCTCCAGCAGATAGCTCAGGCATCTATGACAGCATCTGATGTGCATGGAACTCATGCAGCATACCCTGTCGAGCAGAAAGAAAGAGACATCCAGTCCCCATTGCGACGGCTCTGGCGGATTCTCGCCGTCAACTCGAAGTGGGGGCATGTATACAACAGATTTACAGCCAAGCTACTATGCAACTGTGCTCAGTAGACAAAATCCGCCGGAAGGTAGGTGAAAACCGGCTCCGGCGGACTCCACATTGAATGAGGCGAATGATACTGATAGAACCCGCCGGAGCTCACCCGTGGTCTTATGAAAGAATCATACATAGTACAAATGCGCGCGTATGAGTCCGAAGTGCATCGATCGATGCTCCATCCAGGATCCATAGTTGAAGCGATTCCCCAGCCGTTGGCGGGGAAGAAAGGTTTCTCCGCTTCCACCCTCTGCTTCCCGACAGTCATGGCACCTGCGGCGGTCCGATTTCCGAATCAGGAAAGTCAAGTCAACCGCCGCGAACAACAACATCCACAACTGTGGATGGATGCTCTGAATAAAGTGGACAAAACCCAGACATACCGCTCATTCCTGTACTTGTCACTCGCTCAGACAGACCAGAGTGTCATTTCCCTCTTTTCCCGATGTCTTACATCGCAATGGGAAGCTCACATAAACAGTCGAACCATGACTTCCCCGCAGTGGATACGCAACGAGGACTGTATTCCTACCGGGCTCATCCCAACAAGATCAATGAACCTTCGTACAAAGTCAATAAGAAGATGGACTGACATATAGCATGCTACACACTACTGAGCTAACTGAGTAAGCTTACTGACTAACGCACGCAACCATCGTGCAACTAGCAGCAAGGTACCCGGAACGGCGGCAGTTGCCATTTCCCCAATGCATCCTCACTCACGCAGCAGTTGAAATATCTCAATAAACAATAGATAGCTGAATCATGCTCTACGAATAACATGCTCTGTTAAGCCCGCATGTTTTGTCTGGGACGGACAAAGACCAACCGTTGCTACATTCCTCACGCTCCCGACTGTTATGCTCTACACATTCTTCTGCCTCATCGGGGTGATCATAACAAACGAATCCTTCCTGCCTCCCGATTCTGTCCGCTCCTTATCCAGCATGCTCCCTGTTTGTCCCTCCATTCTGTGTTGGCGTGTTCGTGGCTTGCAGTCCCTTGTCTTGCCGGGTGCTTAACGCTGCTCAACGTCCTCCCAGCCTCATCTTCGGCCCTGACTGGATCTAAAGTCGTCGAAACGAGAAGAATCAGACCAACAACACCAGCTTCGGCAATTTGAATGGGTGAACGCGCTCTTAACGCTCAGAAAACCAGGGTCGGTCGGGTCTAGTCAGGAAATCGCAGGAAGGAAACAGCCATGCCGCCACTGACTACCGTGATCGCGATAGCCGTCAGCTGTTCGGTTCTTTTCATAGTCGCTGCAGTCGTGGGGACGGTCATATGGGTCAGAGTACGCCATGACCGCTTGTCCCTGGCGGTGGCAAATGCCAAACACGGTCAATTTGGCTTGCAGCACTACCAGGCTGAGACGTTGACTGAACTCTCCCGCGAAGAAGGCACGGCGCTGAGACAATATGGCCAACTTCCGTATGGGAAGCCATCTGAATGGGGAGTGCTATCGTCTCGGGAAAGTCTGCCTACTTCTCCAGGAGACTCGGAGTCATCATCCCCTCTAAATGAAAAGGGCCGCGACTTGCGTCGGCCGATGTCCCGTTCTTTGTCTACGCGTTCTGCGCGAGTGTCGAAGGGCTTCCTAGGCCCGCCACGCCTCAGTTCTCTCTCGCCGCTGACAGAAAGATCCGAAAAGCGCTATTCATCATCCCCGGTGGTTTCCTGTATCAACGAGCGCTTGTCGAGCTCCGCTGTTGATGGAGCGGTTGAATTGCCCACAGAGACGACACCGAGGCACACACCTGAGAGAGAAGAGGAACACCCGCGAGCCGAGATCACTATGCGTCCAATCTCCGGAGCGTGGCCCTTGGTCCACTCGCGGGAACGCTCTGGAAATCTGTATCCGGTTTTAGAGGACAACCCAGAAGGGATCAATCCCCCCTTTGCCCGAGTCCGGGGCGGAAGCATCACCGCTCAAACGGCTGGGACAATGCCAGAGCAGCCTGTACCCCCCCCACCATGTGCCTACCCGCCAAATCGCTTCCGTTTGTCAAAGAATGACTCTATTTGTTTCTCCTCGTTGAGTTTGGAGACAGCCGACAGCTCCATACTCGACGAAAGCCGACGGACATCGACCAATATCGAGAGCGACTTCACTTCGCCAGCACTACCGCCTTGCCCTACTTTTACGCCGTTCGATGCCAATGACGTTGGACGGCTGGAATTTGACAGGCGTAGCTTTGTGACGCCCATCTCAGTTGTACCAGCGCCGTTTGTGTTTCCTCCTACATCTTCTGCTGTTTGGGAGGGCCAGAGAATTGAATCAGGTCGTACTTCACCCCGTCGCAGCTTGACGGCCCGCAGCCCTACCTCGATGGAACGGAGCAGCCCGCCGCCACGACGCAGTGAGTCTGTCTCCGTGGGACATTCTCGACGTGATTCGGCTATGAGCGTCAAGCCGTTGGAGTTGGGAAGCACGCCTATCCTCAACGCCGCTGGTCGCAATGCGGCCTTGCTGCCGCACTTCAGCCAGATGCAGAGAATCCCGCCGCAAACCGAACAACGACGAAGCCACGATCCTTTCTACGCTGGACCTCATAATGCCGCGAACACCAACGCACAAAGTGCCCCTAGAAATAGACTGACTGGTTCAGCCACACCGGAAAGTTCTGCGCAATCCCTAGCCGGCCATGTGAAGCAACCCATGGCATCTGCGATGAGAAGCGGGAACAGTCTACCAAAGGGCCACCGGCGACAAAACTGCGTCCGCATCTCGATCCATCCCCCCGTCACGTTCAATGGACCTGTATTCTCTCCGACTGCCGAGGAGCCAGAAGACGTTGGGGAAATCGACTTTCGCCGTTCTCAGGTATCCGACCTGTCAGCATCCAATGTGTCGCTCCCCTCAAATGTATCTAGTCTCTCAGCGGGCAACAGTACTCGACATTCTCAGCAAAATGATCGCCTGCGCGTGATCGATGTCTCGGAAGACCGTCGAACCTCACGCAGAGGCACACCCAAGAGGCGAAAGCATACTCGAGGCGACTCGACGGATAGCATGATGAGCATGATCAATGCGGAAAATTCTTTGCCGGAGATTGTCACTACGCTGCCCATTCCGAAAATTGAGACCAGTCTGCTCAACACCCCCTCTCCCGAGGCGAACAGTCCTGTTTGGATGATGTCCAGCCATACCAGTTCGCCATCTACATATGAGAACATGTCAAGTCCAGGGAGTCCGCGTCGGTCGGCCGTCAAGGGCCCGCGCAATCAGCCGGGCCGGCAAATGCGCAACAATTACCGCCCTTCACAGCCGTTGGAGGACAATGCAAAGTTGTCGCTACGAACCACCTCTCGTCCTCCTCACATGCGCAAAGATCCGGCACGGAAGCCCACTGAGTCAGCCCAGCGACCGAAGACTGATGTCCAGCAAACAGCATCGCCACGGAACCAAGATTCGGCCGGCCAAGCTCCGCCAGGCGCCCCGAAGATGAATCATCCAGCTATCGCAAAACAACAGCCACCCCAATCCCTGCGACAACACCGCCCTCACCATCGTCCTCCGCCAGCTGGAAGTAATCCCAAGTCTCCGATCATGCAAACCGGGGGCATTGTCTCTATCTGGGAAGATGGGCCGCTGGAGCTGAAAGCACCGCCGAAACCTACAGTATCTCTGGTCAAGGAAGCAACAGAACTCCCCGACGAGCCGGCTGCAAAGCGTGTCGAAAGGACGAAAAGCCAAGGGCCTGGTGATCGATCACCGACCAAGTCGAGCAACAACCGATCCAAACAAGAGCTGAAGACTCCGACGAGACGGGCCGTAGGTTTGGGCATTGGTGCTGCCACCCCGGCCAGCTTGTATGACGGCGACGGATTCTTGAAGGAGTAGACACTCCAATTGATGCATTGCTTGGTGACTCAAAATCATGTTCGGTTGTTGTTTCGAGGTTTGGTTCCGGTTTTGCTTAGCGTGCGGGCGTTTCTGTTGATATCCAATGTCCGAGTAGTAGTAGGTAGGATAACTATGTAATACGAGCTGAGCAGTACAGCCAACGCAAGATGGGGGAGTGGGCCTTGTAATCTTACCATCTAGATATTAATTCATAACTTAACTATCTGTATAGAACTCTGGAGCATCGTGCAACTAATCCGTTCTTCTCCACTTGGTCTCCTCACTCTCCGCCTCCCCATTGATATCACCATCCTGCTGCGCTTCCGCACCGTCCTCCTCCCTCTGCCTCACCGTCCCCGCCCCGGGGCCCAGAGACAACGTAGGCTCCTGCCCGCCGCCGATCCAATTCCCATCCTCATCGAAAAACTCGTGCATATTCTCCGCCGTGATCCACCCGGAACTCCCATCCATCGGCGGCGGCAACCCACCCGCTCCATTCCCCATCGCAATCAACCCCGACTGCAACAACGCACTATCTCCGTGACCTTGTCCTTCTTCCCCCTCATCCTCGTCGTCGTCCTCCTCATCCCCCGGCTCCACCGGATCGGGATGCAAATTCGAGCACGCCGAAACCGCAGCGTAGAGCGCCTGCGTCGGCGTTTCCGTTTCGGTCTCCGCCCCAAGCCCGTCTTCCCTCTTTTCCTCTGCTTGTTGCTGCTGTCCTGGGGCGTGTGAAGAAGGCGGCACCAGCGTCAAAATCGTGCATTCCTCCTCGTCGTCCTCGGCCGAGAATCCCGCCGTGGACGGGGTGGCGATCTGCATGTAGAGGCCTTGCTGTTCCTCTTCTGCGGCCTGGCTGGTTGCGGAGGTGGGGAGACGCAGGCGTTGGATGGCGTGCAGCGAGATGGAGGGGTAGGGGATTGAGAGCCCTGCGTTTGTGGTGGGGGAGTAGAGGAGGAATTTGCTGGGGGGTTTGGTTAGCTTTGACTTTGAGGGGATTCCTTTCTGGGAGAGGGTAAGGTTGAATAGCTGGGAAGGGTTGGGAAGGGTTGGGGGGCAGCGTACTCGGATGTAACCCAGACGGAGATGTTGGAGAGCGTTAGTTCCTTGGGGGATGATGTATCCGCATCCGCATTCGCATTCGCCATCTCTTCGCTGGTGGTGGTGGTGGTGGTGTCAGCGCCATTCGGGTTGCTGGCTTGCAAGGCGCGCAGGGTCGGGTTGGCGAGGAGGTCGCGCTCGAGGACAACCAGGTGGCAGCCTGTGCGGTGGTGGTAGAGGATGGCTGGGCCCGTGTGGAAGGAGCTTGGGGTGCGGGATTGGTGCTCGGCGAGGGGGATGAAGGTTGTTGTGTCGGGGGCGGTGGTTAGGGGTTCCATTTTTAAACTGAAGGCGCGTTTGTTCGGAGAGTTGGGGATGTGAGGTTGGGGAGGATTTGGGGGGGAGGGGAGGGGAAGAGATGAAAGAAGAGAAATTGTGATGGAGAGTTTGGGTCGGCGGGGAGCTTTACCACAGTAACTACCTATAGGTAAGCTGCGGACCGCGGGCGGGAGCTGAGGAGCTCCGATTCGGGACGCCGGTCGTCTCCTCAGCTGCAGCTGGACTTTTTGGATGCGGTTTTACGAGATTTAGTAGCTGGGTGGCTTTTATTTTTGATACTGGTTAGTGCTTAGGATGGTCTTGGGAGTAGGTGCGACAAGGTTGCAATTTTGATGGTCTGGATTGGATGCGTAGCTTGATAGTAGCTTGGATTGTTTGTCTGTATCTACTCCGCTCAATGCCTTCTATGACATGGCAATCCTGCACTGTCCCATATCTGAACAAATCTAGTCATTCTTTCAATCTATTTCAGCTCATGCAGACTGCGCGGCACGCTGTGTACCTGGAGCCTCAATTCCAGACACGACGGCGTGGTGATGCGAGGCTTCGCCGTCTGACGTGCCGCGGTCCAGCAAGGGGCCCTCTCTGCATGGCCCGTCTTGCGCGCGCAGCACCTATGACACACCGACAGCGCCAACTCGAAGCGCGTATCTTCTAGGAGATAGAGTCCTCGTCGCATGAGCATCATAAGCTCCTCATGGCCTAACAAGCCCCAGCAGATGTGCCCCCGCTCATTTCACATTCAACCCCCCAAACGCCCGATCCAGCTCCTCTCCCTCATCGCGCGGCACCATCGACGGCAAGGTCGCCGCCCCCGGATCCGCAGCGGACAGACTGTCCAGCAAGCTCGATTGGGCTGCTCCCCCCTCCGGTGACCCCGACCCGGCGGCCGCGTTCATCGGCCGCAGTAGTTTCTCCTCCCGGTCCAGCCATCCGGGCGCCACGCGTCGCTTCTCCGCCAGGTCGCGCTGCACGATGGACTCCTCCCAGTCGCGGATGGCTTTCTCGGCGTCGCGGCGGGTTTTGTTCAGGTGCTGCTCCAGGGCGTTGCACGCGGCGAGGATCTCCTCCGGGGAGGCGGCGTGCTCCCCGCTCGAGGAGACTACGTAGCGGGGTTTGAGGTCCGGGTTACTGGGGTCGACGGTGACGGAGGGCGGGATGGTGGATGGGACCGACTTGTAGGTGTAGGGGAGGGTGACGGTGGTGGGGAGGTTGATGAACGGGGAGACGGTCAAGGGGACTTGGGCTAGGAGGGGATGAGGGCCTGGGTTGAGGTCAGAATGCTGAGAGAAGGAGAGGAGGAGGGGACGGGATACTTACGGTAGGATTCGTACATTTTGGTAACTGCTGAGATTTGTGTGTATGTGTGTATGGTCAGTGTTGTCAGTGAGGAGTTCTTCTATAGTGAATGCCAGAGGAGTAGTTATATCGGATGCATGAAGGGAACTATAGTTACAGTCCAGGGTAATTGGAGTTGGAGACCGAGAGTTCCCCGCCTTGATGGAGCAGTGGGAAGATTACAGGGACCGTCACGAGGCGGTAATCCCCTCGGTAATCCCCGACTGCGGCTGATTATTACCCGTCAATACGGTTTGTTGGGTCTGACGTCGAATTGCAGCGGAATCAATCCAATTTATCCTACTGTAACTAATGCCAATGTTGCTAATGTGATTACTACCTAGTAGTATCTATCATCTCCATCAACTTAAAAAGAGAAGCACACGAGAGTGCAGAACCCGGTTTCAGCTCGTCTGACAGCCTTCCCTCCTTCCCTTCCCTTACAATAATAGCCACTCTTGCTTATCTACAAGGTGTTAACTAACTAGTTAGTTATTCAAAGAGTGTGGCACTGTGGTATTATTGTCTCAGTTTCTCTGTCTAGTCAAGCCCCGACTTGAAGTGACCCTCTTTCTCCTATTATTCTCTCAGTGTCTCTGTCTGTATTGGCCCGGCCTTCAATTCCCACTTCTTCCCCCCCCCCCCATCTGATATAAGATCGTTAAATCCTTAAAAATCTTCTACTTTAGTGCCCACTGCCCACTAACTCTCCCCCCTCTTCGACTCCTCCTTCCCGACCCTATTATCGGGTTCCTCTTCTCCACCTTACTGGTTTCTCTTCGCCCCGAGATCATCCCTGCAGCTCGATCTTGCCACAAGTTCTTCCTCTTGCTCTGCTCTTTCTCTAGTGTCTCGGCTGGGAAATCCCCCATCCCGCGCTTTACCCCCCACCAACACCACTACCACCACCACCACCAACAACTGGCCTCCGCGCCTGTCGCCCTTCCCCTTTTCCCCTCCTCTTCCTTCATACTCCGGGGCACAACGTGTTTGCGATTCATTCTGATCCAAGTCTCAGCCTCCTTTGTGCCTCGAATCCCTATTCACCATGGATCGCAACATCGCGCGTGCGGTGACGGAGAAGAAGCCGGTCCCGGAGATCGACTTCACATTACATGTCATGGAAGATGGCTCTCAGGTGTCCACCCTCGAGCGAGTCATCAAAGGTTTGCCACATTCCCCGCCTCAATATTTCGAGTCCTTTTCTGTACAAAGAATCTCGCTGATTGCATGGCAACCACCTAGAGGTGCAAGCGCCGGCGTTGAACACCCCGTCGGACGATCAGTTCTGGTCTCCTGAAGACCCCTCCAAGCCCAACCTCCAATTTCTCAAACAGCACTTCTACCGGGAAGGTCGTCTTACGGAAGACCAAGCGTTATGGATCATACAGGCTGGAACGCAGCTGCTCAGAGCCGAGCCCAACCTACTGGAGATGGATGCGCCCATCACCGTGTGCGGTGATGTCCACGGTCAATATTACGATCTCATGAAGCTCTTCGAAGTCGGTGGCGATCCATCCGAGACCCGCTATCTCTTCCTCGGTGACTATGTCGACCGAGGTTACTTCAGTATCGAGGTAAGTATTCGTTCTGCCACCGTTGCTAGCCGCTTCGGTCTGACCCTCCGCCATAGTGTGTGCTCTACCTGTGGGCCTTGAAGATCTGGTACCCCAACACTCTGTGGTTACTGCGGGGTAATCACGAATGTAGACATTTGACGGACTACTTCACCTTTAAGCTGGAGTGTAAGCACAAGTACAGCGAGCGCATCTACGAGGCCTGCATTGAATCTTTCTGCTCGCTGCCGCTGGCGGCGGTCATGAACAAGCAATTCTTGTGTATCCACGGTGGCTTGAGCCCTGAATTGCATTCTTTGGAGGACATCAAGGCGGTACGTATCTCTACTGGTTGTGTAGTGAGGCGCTAGCTGATGCACTCTGCTCAGATCGACCGTTTCAGAGAACCTCCGACTCACGGTCTGATGTGTGATATCCTCTGGGCCGATCCTCTGGAAGAATTCGGACAAGAGAAGACTGGAGACTACTTCATTCACAACAGCGTGCGAGGCTGCTCGTACTTCTTCTCATATCCTGCGGCCTGCGCTTTCCTCGAAAAGAACAACCTTCTTTCCATCATTCGCGCGCACGAAGCTCAAGATGCCGGCTATCGCATGTACCGCAAGACCCGGACAACGGGCTTCCCCAGTGTCATGACCATTTTCAGCGCTCCCAACTACCTGGATGTCTACAACAACAAAGCCGCTGTGTTGAAGTACGAGAACAACGTCATGAACATCCGTCAGTTCAACTGCACCCCCCACCCGTACTGGTTGCCGAACTTCATGGACGTCTTCACCTGGTCCCTTCCTTTCGTCGGTGAGAAGATCACGGATATGCTGATTGCAATCCTCAACACCTGCTCCAAGGAGGAGCTTGAAGAAGAGACCCCTACATCTGTATCACCTACAGCGCCCTCTTCACCGCCAGCGGCGCAGATGGATGTGGAGAGCAGCGAATTCAAGCGCCGTGCCATCAAGAACAAGATTCTGGCCATCGGCCGTCTGTCGCGTGTGTTCCAGGTGCTGCGTGAAGAATCTGAACGGGTCACAGAGCTCAAGACCGCGGCTGGTGGTCGTCTGCCGGCGGGTACTTTGATGTTGGGTGCGGAGGGCATCAAGCAGGCCATCACGAACTTTGAAGATGCGCGCAAGGTCGATTTGCAGAACGAACGCCTGCCTCCTTCTCAGGAGGAAGTCATGCGACGCAGTGAAGAGGACCGACGCATTGCTCTCGAGCGGGCGCAGCATGAAGCCGACAACGACGCCGGCCTGGCCACGGTGGCTCGCAGAATCAGCATGTAAGTTTTGCTCCCTTCCGAAGGTCAAACGGCAGGTTCTAATTTATCTAGGTCGGCTGGCTCGGGCAAGACTCGTCGGCAACGAGACCCTGCTGCCGTTTCCCGGGAGGCATGAGCGTCAGACAACATTTTAATCGAGAATTGCCGGGTTGGCGAACGTGGCACATGGACAGATATCCTTCCTTGAAATTTTAGGCGTGCAACTGCTTCACCCTTGTATTGAACGAAACTCACAGCTTCGAACCCCACGGGCGAGTGATCTTGTCCAGCGACGACCACCTTGGATTAGATGGCTGATCGCACTGGCGGCAAGCACTGTATCAAAGACTGGAGTTGGCGGACGAGGGATAAATCATGTAATTTCTGCACACAAGCGGTTCCAGGCGTCCGTGACGTCTGAACTATGAGTTGATGAACTGATACACTATGAATTCTGCCCTCATCTTCCAGCCCCGCCCTTCGGCTGTTGAATATTGTAGTATGGCCAGCGTAGGAATGGGACCGTAAATGCCTAGATAATGAAATACGAGAACAGACACCGCCGAAATCATGCCTGGTACCTTACATGTGGTGGAAGTTATCCGGCTGGTCTCCGGCCCGCCAAGACCAACCACCAACTTCAATCCGCCGATACCTTGCTTGCTCCGGCGTCCTCGCTTTCCTCCCTTTGTCTTCCATTTCATCCTTATTGCCAACCTTCAATTCTCTTCAATGCCTCCCAAACTACGCGGCTCGCTCACAGCGAGCCTTGCGCACGCGGGCCGAGACACCGTCACAGTCTTTTACTGTCCCTCCTGCTCTACCTGGCGCCGAAACACCAAAACCGCCCTCACTCTTGCGCGTCGTGCCAACAGCACCATCGGCGTTGCTTCCTTCAACTCATCACAGCAATCACAGCCCCTAGATTTCCGACCTCACACTCATCCGATACCCTCCACACCTGCTCCGCGACCCCTCAATAGCACCGTTCCTGTCGTTCATGCCGGTGGCCGCAACATCCCCCCGCGGCTGAAAAGTCTCCACACGACGCTCGACCAGCTCAAAGATGTTGCGCCCGAGCAAGTCAATCTTAGTCGGTTGCAGTTGGCAATGAGGGGCCTGGAGTCGGAGACCCCTGTGATTCGTGTTGCTGGTATGTTCATCCAGTGTCTTTCCCCTCTGTCCTGCTGGTAATTGATTGACAATGGCGATGGCTTGCTAACATCGCTTAGTGCTGGGCTTGAACGATGCCAGTGCGGCGCGCAGACTGGTGAAACTGCTGCTGGCAGACCCCCTGAACGGAAAGGAAAGCTGGGAGGACTTGTTGGAGGAAATGGGTGCGGGGGCGGGAGGTTTAGAGAGAGGACTCTTGATCCGGTGGGTTTGCTCTCTAAAGAATCTACCATGAACAGGAAAGGGAAAACACACGCTAACTATCGCATCTTGCGATGAAAACAGTTACGGTCCAGTTTCGCAGAGCATACCCAATGATCTCCTCCCGACCATCTCGATCCCCTCGCCGATCCTGAAGAAAGGCAACCTGGAGATCCTGATCACCGGCCTGGGCGCGGATACCCGTGCGGATGCCAAGTTCACAGCCGATACGTTCCTGGTGCCGACGGTGACGATCCAGACCTCGCATTCGGGCCGGCACAACATGGTGCGGTACCCGGTGCACCGGAGCATCGTGTGCGGCAGCGGCGTCGACGGATTCCTGGCTTACAGCGGGCTGATGGCCCGCTCGGATCTCAAGAACGAGGCGGGGTCGGTCTACGGCGCGATCGAGCTGCCGGTGACCAACCCGGAGAAGTACAACAATGGACGGGTCGCGTTTGTGGACATCGACAAGGCGGACGAGGCGTTGGCCAGGTTCCGTGAGTCGGTGCAGAACGCCTCGCTCTACGAACGCGGGTGGAACAGCAGTGGTGTGCAGCCCGTGGTTGATTGGCTGACCGCGCTGCGGGCGGAGGCGGGCAGTTCGCTGGATCCCTCGCTGCGCAGCCTGATCACGTCACTACTGGATGCGGCAGAGGCTGGTGTCGTCGCGGAGGAGACACAGAGGATCCAGGAGCAAGAACTGGGCTTGGTTCCGGTGGAGGTGAGGGATGGGTTGGATCGTTCCGTGTCGGAGTGGGCAGAAAAGGCGCACACGGAGCTCCGCGGCGCACTGGAAGAAGGGTTCGCTAGCAAGCCGTGGAAGGGTCTTGCGTGGTGGAAGCTCTTCTGGCGCGTGGATGACGTGGGCATGATAACCGGGGAGATCCTGGATCGCAAGTTTCTGCGTCAGGCTGAGAGGGAGGTCATCTGGACGGCTGGCCGGTTCCAGCAGGCTGGACTGGTGGAGACCACTCCGGGGTCCAGTCCAACAGAAGAACCATCGTGGCCGACTCAGATATCCACGCGACGGACCAAGCTGGTCGAAACGACGGCGCCGGCACTGCAGGCGTTGGCGCAGCGACTCGTGCTGTTCAGCATGTCCACAACCACTCTATCCTCGGCGCTGTCGATCCTGACCTATCTCTCTTGGCCTGCCGCGTCTGTGTACGAGACCTGCACGATGGCAGCGGTCGGTCTGATCTACTCGCTGCGCCGCCAGCAGCGCAAGTGGGAAAGCGCGCGGACCTGGTTCGAGAACGAGGCCCGCGAGGACGGTCGCACGGCTCTGCTCGAGACGGAGGACCAACTCCGTGGCATTGTGCAGCGAGGCGGACGCCCCGTGGAGGAGGAGGAGGTCCCGGTGTCTCCCCTTGAGACCCGACAGGCCATCGATCGAGCGCGCCAGGCTCTCGAGGAGGTCGACTAGATACACCCTAGACTTTCACTCTGTATGTACTGTACCACTATGAATCAACACAAAATGAATATCGTATAACATCCCACCCATTTGTTTCTTGTTTTCAGGATATTTCCACACTGCCCTCCGGCACGCCCTTCCAACTCCTCAACCTCCTGGCTAAGAACTGCATGACGGGCAACATCTCGTCCCGATTCCTGGGCATCCCATCCCCGCGGCGAGCATACCGATGAACCTCGACAAACTCAAACCAATCCTTCGTCCTGCGCACCGCACTATCCGTCACAGCCACCGAATCCCTCCCCGCGACCACCAACACCGGCGTCCGATTCCTTTGGGTTGTTGTATTCTTGACCGCGGACAACGGGAACGGGGCCCCGATCGAAACCACCCCTGCCAACCACCGATCATTTTCCGTCGAGGACGACAACCCCAGTGCAGCACCAGCACCAACACCCTCTCCTTCTCCTTGTCCCCCAGAGCCACCACCAGCAGCAGCAGCAGCAGCAACCTCCAACCCCACCATCCCGCCCTGCCCCAACCCAAACACCAACACATCCCGCCACCGATACCCGCACTTCCGGACCAGGACCCCCGCAATCACCTCGTGGACGATCAGGCGCACCGCCCGCGTGAACCCGGCGTCCATGTCCAGCTCCCCCGCCGGCGTGAAGGTCACGTCGTCGCCCCAGTGGTAGCCGCCCAGGTCGAAGGGGAGGGGCTGCGGGGCTTGGAGGGTGAGGATGGTGGTTTCGGGGAGGTGGAGGGCGCGCGCGAAGGCGGTGAAGTTGGCGGCGGTGTCGCCGAGGCCGTGCAGCAGGAGGAGGATGTTGGGGGATTTTTGGGAGGTGCTGGGGGGCGTGGGGGGCGTGATTGTTAGGGTGAGGTGGGAGGGGAAGTCGGTTTGTACCGGGGAGCGCGGGTGAGGGGTTTGTGTTGGGGTTGACATTGTGGGTTGTGGGTTGTGGGTTGTGGGTTGTGATTTGTGGCTTGTGGTGGTTTGTGGGATGGTGGTCTTGTTGATTGAGGTGTTTGATGGAGGGGAGGGGAGGAGAGCACGGAGAGCTTGCAGCGGAAAGCTCATGTCTGCGCCGCCGGGCAGTAGGCGGGGCGGGCAGGTAATTGCCGCTTTTGGGTTAGTCGGCTGGCTGTCCTGCATATGCTGCGCTGCTGCTGCTGCTGCGCTACTGTTTACTGTCGTCATGCAAGAGGTTGTTTGCATTATGACACGAGGTGTTTATTCAACATGCTCATGCTCATGCTCATGCTCACACTCGGAGTTGATCGCAGCGTGTCATCGCAGGTTTCCCATGACCGGTCTATCATGACCTGACCGACTAGCGAACAATGACATGATGGAACGGAGAATGATCGTTGATTCTCCATGCTCGATACGGCTCCTGTCTGGCATGGCATGACGTTTCCATCCTATGCACACTGAAACGAGGCCAAGAGCGACCATCTGGACAACTGTGCTCCGACTGTAACAATGATGGACATGATGCACATTCTCCAGCTGAAGCAGTACGTAATGTCTTTCCTCGCCTCATCCACTGGACCCAAGCCACATTCCGACACTGCCACACATCAGCCCCCCCCCCCCCCTCCCCCCCTAAGCCACTGATTCAGAGGTCATCACAGCCGACTGACACGAACTCCGAAAGGACGCTACAGGACTTCCGGTCTCAGGCTATCGAACATTGCGGAGCCTTCGGTAGAATCAATCGGGCAAGTAGCTGTGGGGATAACGATCACTTTCGCACCTCGCATAGCCAACCATTAACCCCGAGCATGCTCCACTTCGTGCAGCATTGCGCGTGCCCGAAAAACATGACATTTCCAGATTTACCCGCCAGGCCAGGCCAGACACTACGTACCAGCCTAATATGCATATGAGTAGATCTGGGGAAGATTAGATCTGATATCCAGGCCAGCTCTTGACTTGGGCCGTTCGAGTTGCACAAGATAGGGCAGAGGATAAGCCTTGACAAGAGCTTCTTGGCGCACAGTGTTCCTTCGGTTCAGCCGGCTTTCGTCCTCAGCCCTCGCCAAGCCCGGGCGAGTGTTGTGGCCGAGGCGCTAAATCCACAGCCAGATGGAACTCACCCAGAGTTTAAGGCTGAGGCAATCCCCATCTGCATCTTGGCCCCCCAGCGGTGTCGCCCGTCCTACCCATGGGAATCGTGGGAATTATGGGACACGTACGTATTTTCGAGGCGATGATCCTTAATCGCTATTCCCTAGAACGTAGGCACACAAGAAGGGCCTGGAAAAGTGAAATCCTGCGAATCAGTCAGCTAGTCCCGCATTGGCAATGGCCATCTCTCTCTCTATTTTCAGAGGCGCAGGCGGAACCAACGGACGAGGAGGGGTCATGATCCTGTCCGCCCCTCTTCTCTGGCGACTGTCTATTGTCTAGGCTACGCCATTGTTGTACCCCTCGGCCTCCTATCATTGGGACCCATGTTTCAGCTCACAAACAAGCCCACCGTGTCCTCAGCTGTACGGAAAGTACCCCTGGCGGATTTCCGAGCACAGTGTACCTCCGTACCTAGTACCTAGTAACCCGGGAGGCTCACTCCATGCGATCCGACCCCTCCGGACTGACTGTATGCTGTCCGATGCAGCCAATAGCATGATTCTTTCAGACAGCCTTCAGAGAAGCGCTTACACACACAGACGGCACTAAGCTGCTATGCTTACGCTGCCCCTCCGAGGCGCTGAGGTGAATTTGTGAAATGATGACCAACGTGGCGCGGGGACCAACGACTGGGAGTGATCTGCCTTTCCATCCACCCCACCTTGGAGGGGCCACACCAAAGCATCGCCATTCAGCCAATGACCCCTTCCCCCACAAGGCATTGAGAGTTTTGCAGACTTGCAGCTATTCTAGTCTTCACGACAGCAGTGGGTCAGGGGGCGCGGAGGGGTACCTAGCCGACGAGAGCTGAATTGGCTGAGGTGGGTTGGCTGAGGCACAGCTGGCTGTATATAAGGCGTCCATCGTCCTGCTTCTTGCCTTTCTTTTTCTCTCTCCATTCACTCACACCATCTTTCCTCCTTTTCAAACAACCTCTTCACACATTACACATCAATCACAATGGCTTGGGGCTGGGGTAAGTTGCTCCTATGCACAGCTGCTGACCCTCATCTGGATGCATCGCGGGATTATCCCTGTCCTGTTGCTTGCCCAGTTTGACTTCCGTAACCTGCATCGGACGGACATGTTTGCAACACAACTAACCACGTTTGCCTTGCAGACGATTCCAACGAGGCTCACCGTCAGGTCTACAACGGCGAGCAGCACCACGAGGCCAAGTTCTCCCACGAGCTTCTGGCCGGTGCCGCTTCCTTCGAGGGCATGAAGCTCTTCGAGGACCACCAGCGCAAGGAGGGTATGCATTGTCTCCCGTCTCACTACATCCCCCTTCCCTGTGTCAGACAGCCACGCTAACCGCCATGGTATCCACTAGGCAAGCCCGTTAGCCACGCTTTCGCCAAGGAGCTTCTTGCTGGCATCGTCGGTTCTCAGATCGACAGACTTGCCGAGACCAAGGGTATGGATGAGGTCGACAAGATCCGTGCCAAGAAGCACGCCCAGGAGAACGCCCACCAGATGTACGAGGAGCACTACGAGCGCGGTCACGGCGCTCCCGAATACGACCCTCGCCTTCCTCCTCACCCCCACTTCCGTGACGAGGGCCGCTTCCCTGACCAGGGCCGGTGGTAAAGGCCGTGGCTGGTACTAAGCTCTAGTGCGATAAGGGATAGACTGGATCTGAACTTGTCGACCGGGGGTGTGTTGATATGATACCGATGATTTGTGTTCCCAATGAAAAATATTCCTCATAATTGTTTTTTTTTCTTCTGATCCTGAATCGTGGTCCTCTGCATGCGACGTGGCCTGTGGATTCGAGCCCTCTCGCGCATATATGATCTGTCCGATATGGTGGAGAGTCAGGTGAGCTATCATCGAATCATGAGAGTAGGTCTGGAAGAGTAGAAACCAAAACAAAACAGTCGTAATGATGAATCACAACCCGATGCAAGAGTTATGAAGGTCAAACGCTGAGCGCTGGGCAGGCTGAAACGCCCACCGCAAACTGCATGGCCAGTATGCAGGATTCCACCCAATCGGGCAAGTAACGCGGATTATCACGGAGTGTTTGCGACTGATGGCAAGCAAGGATCGTCGGGAAGAGTGTGTGCGCCTATTTTCGGTTCCTGTGTGAAGATAGATAGTTTCCTGCGGAAGAGAGGGGCAGTTTTGGGATAGCTTTTCCGGGTCCTCAATTCCACTCTGGGAACCCTCTTTGTTTTTTGTTTTTGTTTTCGTATGTTGACCGATTCAATGAATCTCCCCAAAGGGCCCTGACAAGGGAATCCCAATCATGAGGAACAAAATGCGAAGCTCTCTGGGACATCCATGGGACTGTAAGTAGTGGAGAGGGAGTATACGAGCAGCAACCACCGTGTATGCGCGGCAAACCTCTTACTTGATGGGGATACTTTGTCCGGTATGACAGAGCAGCCAATGACTGATGCTGGCCACTCACCGCCCTGCCAAGGCTCCTGCAAATGAGCTCATCGGCTGCTGCACGTGCATAAACCCGGGCCTATCAGGCTACGATAGACGCTCAATTCAGGCAAGAAAGAAGGTTCACTCGTTCCTCACCAATTTTGATCCATGAAATCAGGTATCTTGCTCGCTTCGCTCTCTGTCGGTCTGTCTGTCTGTCTGTCAGTTGTCTCGCTATGACGGGCGTTAGTGAACCTGTGGTAGCTTGCCTCTGGTCTCGCTTTTGACCTATTTCTCGCATTTTTACTTCTGGTTTTTCCACATTTGAACTTACTCGTATTTTCCTTCTTCCATTCTTATCTGCTTCTACCTCCGCCCTCCGTTCCACTGTGACATTCTATTTCTATCTTCTATTTTTTTTCTACTCTGTCTCTTTACTCCCCTCTCCTCTTTCCCTTCGTCCTATATTGGAGAATCGTGTGCTTGTTCTACCTTCTTGGCCCAAGAATGAACTGATCGTTGTCTTGAGCTACTTTCCAATCGCCCTGAGCAATGAGATTACAAACCCTACGAACTATTGGAGCCCTTATCGATTGATCCTCGGAGACCAGATTCCCTGTCAACTTGCTCCACCATTCTTCTGCTTCATCGTGTTGCCACTGTGATGGCACTTTCTGCGTCATAAATCCTCCTGGGTATCTGCTGTAATTTTTTTGTCAACCGTATTATGCTCGCTCATGCCTTTGCCTTCCCAGCATGAAATTCGCCAAGTGTGTCCCACTCTCACCCAACCCACCATTACTCCGGAATGCTTGTCTTCTGTGAGGCGTTGCTGACCCAGTCATTGGCGACAGGGAGCTGGAACAGGAATTAGTTCCAGAATGGCGAGCTAAATATCTCGACTACAAGGTTGGTGCTTCCCCAGTGCTTGCTCCCATACGCGGAGGGACTTGTGGTTCCGATTCTCATCATTGTGTGACGCTGGGGGACGACAGACCGGCAAAAAGAAAGTCAAAGCCATCTCGCGCGCCCTGCAGAAAGCCAATCGCAGCCCTAGCCATCCGTCCATCCGCAATTTCTCCTACCCCCAACATGACCAGTCCGATCGCCTGCTGAGTTCGGATCCCCGCTCGTCGTTTCGAAGCGAAAGCCGACACGATTTGCCCCAGGACACCCTCCAGGTTCCCTCCACGCCGGTGCGAAGTAATGGTTTGACACCGCGCTCAACGTCGGCGCGCAGTGAACGTCAGCCCCTCCGGGCCCCTGGATCGCGCTTCTCGGGCGTGGTCGGCACGTATGGCAGTATTGTCGCCACACCGCCATCACAGCAGGCTGCTTCGTCGGATGTGGCCTCGCTGCGGTTGCCGGATCCAGCAATCGATCCTAAGGAGGTTGAGTTCTCGTCGCCAGAAAGAGAGGATGATACAGACGACCACCGCCCCGAAAGCCCGTCTCCGATTTTATCGCGATACGATAGCTTGCGACCAGCTACGCCTGCCAGATCGCGCCGGAGCCCCTCGACGCCACAACCCGCTGCCGGTGGTATAAAGGATTATAAGAGGAACACGGGTGCAGGCCCGTCGAACCGTAGAGGCTCCCTACTGCAGCGGGTGCTGTCTTACCAGGATTGGAATGCCCCCGAGAAGCGCGACACCACTGATACGTCGACATCGGAGATTGCCAAGCGGCAGGATGAGTTCTTCGCTTTCCTTGATGGCGAGCTAGCCAAGATAGATTCGTTCTATCAGATGAAAGAACAAGAAGCGGCGGAGCGTTTGAAGGTGCTCCGAAGCCAGCTGCATATCATGCGGGACCAGCGCACCCAAGAAGTGCTTGGGAAAACGAAAAACGGTGGAATCAAGAAGGACAACGCGCAGGCAAACGGCTTTGGCGGATTCGCCAAAATCAAGGATGCTTTCCCGGGACGTCATTTTGGGAAAAATTCGAAGGCCCTGGCAGAGTTGGCAACGCCGGTCGGACAAGCGCAAGACCTACCGAACACCATCACACGGAGAGATTTTGCACGACGGCCGGAAGAGTCCAACAACGCCGAGGTTTCGTATCGCTCCGCCAAAAGAAAGCTTAAACATGCGCTTCAAGAATTCTATCGTGGCGTGGAGTTGTTGAAGGCATACGCCTATTTGAACCGGACCGCTTTCCGGAAGATTAACAAGAAATATGACAAGGTTGTCAATGCGCACCCCCCGATGCGATACCTCTCTGAGAAGGTCAATAAGGCGTGGTTCGTTCAGAGTGAGGTTACGGAGCATTTGTTGTCGGCGGCAGAGGACCTCTACGCACGTTATTTTGAGCGCGGGAACCGCAAGATTGCCGCCTCGAAGTTGCGCCATACAGTCAACAAGGCTGGAGACTACTCGCCGAACACATTCCGTTCTGGTCTCCTGTTGATGGCTGGCATGCTGTTTGCAGCCCAGGCATTGGTTTATGCTAGCCGTAATTTGGATAATGACGATTCCGACGTGAAGCTGAATACAAGCTACTTGCTCCAGGTTAGTCTTGCATGCCCAGTACGCGAGTTCTTGGGTTATCTAACGGCGATAGATCTACGGTGGTTATTTCCTCATCGTTCTGCATTTTCTCCTATTCTGCTTGGACTGCATGGTCTGGACGAAGGCCAAGATAAACTACGTCTTCGTTTTCGAGTTCGACACCAGACACGCATTAGACTGGCGGCAGTTAACTGAGGTCAGAACTTCTATCTCGGCATGTGGATTGCCTGATATTGACGCGACTGCAGTTACCAAGTTTCTTCTTGTTCATACTAGGTCTCTTCATGTGGCTGAACTTCATGATGATCAACGACGCATATATCTATTGGCCTGTCGTTCTGATAGGTGTGACGGTGATAGTTCTGTTCTTGCCAGTGCGCACGTTATACCACCACAGTCGAAAGTGGTGGGCATATTCCAATGTGAGTAGTGCTCTAGTCGGCATACCGCAGCTGAAAACTAACTACGCATGGTAGTGGCGACTTTTGTTGGCTGGTTTATACCCCGTCGAGTTTCGTGACTTCTTTCTCGGTGATATGTACTGCTCGCAGACGTACGCCATGGGCGTGAGTATCACTCTATTGTTGCATGAACTCTGGCAGTGGTTGTTAATCGATCTTAGAATATTGAATTGTTCTTCTGTCTCTATGCGAAACACTGGAGTGACCCTCAGCAGTGTAACTCCTCTCACTCCCGCTTGCTGGGGTTCTTCACGTGTCTTCCAGGAATCTGGAGAGCTCTTCAGTGCTTACGTCGATATGCCGACACGCGGAACGCGTTTCCTCACTTGCTCAACTTCGGCAAATACATGTTCACTGTCCTCTACTATTGTACCCTGAGTCTCTACCGTATCGACAAGGTCTCGAGCTTTGAGGCGCCGTTCATCACGTTTGCGTTGCTGAATGCTGTCTACTGCTCCGTCTGGGATCTCGCCATGGATTGGAGTCTCGGAAACCCTCACGCGAAGAACCCAATGCTTCGCGAGGTGCTCGCCTTCCGGAAGCCGTGGGTGTATTATGTTGGGATGGTCATCGATGTCGTGGTCCGCTTCAACTGGATCTTCTATGCGATTTTCCGCAAAGACATTCAGCATTCGGCTGTCCTCAGTTTCGCTGTTGCACTTTCAGAGGTAGGCCGCAGAGGGGTGTGGACGATCTTCCGTGTGGAGAACGAACACTGCACCAACGTTCTTCTCTTCCGAGCATCCAGGGATGTCCCCCTCCCATACGAAGTTCCCAAACCACAGGCTCCGTCGGCTCAGCCAGAGGAGGCCATGCAGCTTCAAGACCATCAACCTCTGGCGCCCGTGCCTACCATTGGCGACGCCGAGCAAGGAACGCCACCCACTCCAGGCTTGTCTGTCCGGAGCCCACGTGGTCTTGCCCGGGTTGGTACCTTGCTGGCTGCGGCCCACGCCCAAGACTTCCAGCGTAAGAGGCGTCCTGGTGAGTTGCATAGCGCTTCGATAACTCGGGAGGGCCTGGATACGCCGGAGGATAGTACAGATGAGGAAGAAGGCTCGCGGCCGTCGTCCGAGGGTGGAAATGTGATAGTGGAGGAGTATCGAGATGATGACGACGACCGGGAGTAACAGCCTCTGAGCTGGTCGGGGCCGCGCATTCAAGTCCTAGCGATAGGATATCTGCATTCATGGCATATATTAGAGGATAGAATTTATACATAATATCGCATATAATAGATGATCATATTTTACGATGCTGCGAATCCGTGCCTTGTAGTTGAAGAGTAAATGTTCTGCCTAAGGCTCCGTAGAGCGATAAAGAGAATCAGGTGACGGAACGACGTCACGCGGCTCCCGAAAGGCGGTATCTCCGCCCGCGTTCTCGACCCTTCTCTCTCCACTTCACTTCGCCCCCCGTCTTCCTGTCAGCCGTGAGATTTAAAGCATTAACCATCTCGTTCTCTCTGGATTGGTCTTCCCACTACTCCATAGAAGCTACCCTGAAAGCAATATGGCTGCCAATACTAGATATGAGCCCGCACCGCAGCGCGACTCTTTTGAAGAGCGTGCTTACACCCAGCCCCCGCCCTCTTATCAGGCAACTGCCGATTACACGCAGGCGGCGCCTCGCAGCGAAGACGACAATGTTCCCGATGACTTCAAGGTAAAGCTTCCGCCCCACCCTTTTCTCAAACTAGACTGACAGTATGTGATGCAGTTCGGCGGCACTGTGGCGGAGGGCACCCTGCCCATTCGTATGCAGTTCATCCGCAAGGTTTATGCGATTCTGTGAGTGTCTCTCCCGATATACCTCGAACCGGAGTGTAGCCAGCTGTATATACGTGTTTACGAACCTAACACTTTTCTTAAAACTTCAGGACGGTGCAACTCCTCCTCACGACGGTGATGAGCTCGATCTCCTTCTTCAGCCCCAGCTACCGGAACTGGATCCAGTCCAACTTCTGGGTGATGATCCTGTCGGTGTTCGGGGCGCTGGGCTTCATGCTGGTAACCTACTGGAAGCGCAAGTCGTACCCGGCCAACTTGCTGTTCCTGTCGGGCTTCACGATCATGGAGGCCTACTCGATCAGCGTGGTGACCTCGCTGTACGAGAGCCGGATCGTGCTGCAGGCGCTGGTGATCACGCTGGGCCTGTTCGTCGCCCTGACGCTGTTCGCGTGCCAGACCAAGTACGACTTCACGCACTGGATGCCCTACCTGTTCGGCGCGCTGTGGTTCTTGATCCTCTTCGGCTTCATGGCCATGTTCTTCCCCGGCAACAGCACCGTCGAGCTCGTCTACGGCGGCGTCGCCGCCCTCGTCTTCGCCGGCTACATCCTCGTCGACACCCAGCTCGTCATGCGCCACTACCACGTCGAGGAGGAGATTGCCGCCTCCATCTCCCTCTACCTCGACATCTTGAACTTGTTCCTCGCCATCCTGCGCATCTTGAACAGCCAGAGCAATAACTAAGCTCCTGCGTTCGGCGATGCAGGGTTGCTTGGCTTAGGTTTTACTACAGCTAGATAGCTACTATCACTACCTTACTCCCTCCATTCCGCTTCCTCCATTCCACCCCCATGGACCACCCTCAAACCACACCAACGAAAAGAAACCATAAACCTACTCCACCAATTCCAAACAAGATTGCCCAAATAACATAACGAAATGGAGTTTCTCGCTCTTGTTGCTTTGCTTCGCTCTGCTTTGCTTCCCTCGCCCCCAATCAGGCCTTGCTCCGTTGTATTTCTCTAAACCTCTACCTCTTACCTAATCCATCGGCCCTAGGGCTTGTCCACTCGACATAGTCTCTGCCCGCGTGCTTGATCTCACGATCATCTCTGACTTAGCCCCGTCTTGCTTTTGTTTCATTTTCATACAACCAGCATATTTGCTCTTGAAGTCCCGCGTACCCATCCCCCCATTTTCCATCCACGTTTGTAAATCAGATATGGTCTAAAGAATGCCAGATTCATCGGTGCAGTGTGCTCTTGGAGTTAACCCTTCCCCGGACACGGACACGTAGAACCACAACAGGCCAAGAAACGTATCTGCAGCCACAGCGTGCTCGTGCCGGTTAGATCTTCATTTGTTGTGTGTGATACACAGACGCAAGACAATATATGTCTGTCACAATATTAGTTTGAGACCCCGCTTGAAAGGCGTGTAAGCAGTCTATCTATCTTCTTTACAGGAATATATATAGGTATAGACTAGATTCTACATATCCCGTCTAGCAATCTGGATCACACTACTAGACCAAGTGGGCCTGCCATTTTCGGCCGTCCTCTGGTAGCACGTAACACCCCCAACAACAACAACAACAACAACAACAACAACAACAACAAACCACGATCTCGTCCGCTCACATTCCCTCCCACCATGCACGTGGGGAAACCGGATGGGACGCGCTGGCAGCACACGCGATAGGAAACTAAGAGCCGCCGAAACAGCCCATCCACTTCTTGGGTCGAGTGATGAAGGGAGAAAAGGGGGGCGGAAACGAGGATCTACCTACCGATGAACGTTATACCCGAAAGTACTTCGGTTGTTTTCCAGGGTTGGTGGCCTACGGTTGCTGTTCGTGGGTATGTCATCAAGAGTATTAAATTGAATGAACGATATGGCACAAGCTAAGCATTAAGTTACGTGTAATAGTCGAGAGGTGGGGGGGGTAACTGCGCCGTGGATTGAATCAAATCATCGCCATTGAAAAAAGGGCCTATGCGCGACTCCACGGTCTGTCTTTGGAAATGGTTTAAATCCAACTCGGAGCCGACCTTTCTTTCCCGGGCCTCCTTCCCATATTCTTTTAAGACCGAAAGAGGTGTGAAGTAGCGCTCTGTGACAAACTCAGGGCCCGGGTCCATCAAATCCTCCCATCTTGATGCCTGTTCGGTCGGGAAAACTGACCCATTCGCGAATCTGGTTTGGGCGGAGCTTACGGTCGGCGTTCGCCGGATTGCCCGTGGTTTGATGCATGTGGGTCTTCTTGAACTGATAGCCCGAGAAACAGATGCACATGGCAGGCATCGAGGAACTCGGGGAGCGTCGTTTCTCGGGGTTGGATCCTCAGTCGTTCCTCGGCCTGTTCTCGCCGTCGTTGCTCTTCTGCCCGTGGTCGTTGCGCCTCTTCAAGCTGCCGGAGCAGAGCCTGTAGCTCTTGCTGAGACATTATGGATGTCGTTGTATGCTAGTTATCGTCGAAATGGGTTCGTTTTGGGGGAAGCCCAGATCATTCATCACTGCCGTGAAAGAAGTTGGGTGAGAAGAAATTCTGGGGAGGTGTTTATCTGACGCGTTATGCGGAGTTCTCGGTCCTCGGATTTCCTTATGTGCCGCCCCTGCCACAAGTGCGATGTACAGTCAGAAAAGACAGCGTTTATCCAGATGTAAGAGAGAGTATAGTTAAACATGTACGAACTACTCCGTAGTAAGTTTTTATAAAAGATTAGAACCAAGTTGCTTGGCTATTGGTTAGTTGCTTCCACAAGTGGGTCTCGGAGACTTGTATTCCACGTACATGTCTACTTCAATCACTGTCGAGCTCCACTTCTAATACAGTCTACGGGGATAGGGGGAGGGATCTTTTGATAATCTTAATGTTCATAAAAAAATAAAAAAAAAAATAAAAGAAAAGAAAGAATAGCCATATGCTCACTCTGAATTGTTTTATATGTGTATTTCTGATTCTCTGAATTAAAATCCCAATCCGACTCTTAGCATGCTGGCGCATCCCCCAAATGTGACGCACAACGCACAGCGAACACGAAACAACGCATTACCCAACAGCAGTGGTATGGTCGTGCTTGCAAGCAGCACGGATGAATAAGAAAAAAAATCTTGGCTCTGGTATATCCCAATGGAGATCAAAAAAAAAAAAGAAAAGGAAAAAAAAAGTAAATGTCTAACAAACGCATGGACAAGAGACAAGGATTCCCCTGATAACGCCGTGCCGTGGTATAGTGATGTAGTTCCAATCGACTGTAATCCTGAATCAAGACCCCAGCTCTAATAAACCTGCACGCAATGCGGGAGGAAAATGGGGAATAAGGGGGCGATAATGGAGCAAGGAAACCAAATGAAACTGAGATTGAGAATGAGATAGAATAGGAAAAGGAAAGCATTTAAGTAGGGGAAAGAGAGAAATGATTGACAAAGGTTGGTGGAGAATGGAAAGGGGATCCAAAGTCAAGCCTAGCTTGACTCTGCGTAGGCCTGCCTTTGGTGCTAATGAGAGGCGAGAAAGACTGAATTCGTGATAAGACACACGACCATAACCAAGACACCGTAGATCACAAGACCCAGACTCAGCTTGCGCAATAGTGCTCGGCGCCATTGACGAGTGCCGCGGCGAAGGATACCACTCTCCGTCAGCGGACGGGTTTGCGAGGTCTCGATGTCCTCATCGTCATTGTTGCCGTCAGACATGATCGCATCGCCCACTTCGTCGTCTTCCTTCATCAATCGTTGATGGTGCGGCGATTCAGGAGAAGAGATCTTGTAGTAGAAAAGACCGGGAAGGATGAAGCTGATGCTGGTGCTGCCGGTGCTGCCGACATAAGCGAGCACGGCTTCGAGCGACGACACGGTCATGGCGACGATATAGCTCAACACGAGAATGGTGGTGGTGATGATGGAGAATCGGAGGTCACTCATTGGCTCGGGGGCACGGTTGCCTCTCGACCCCAAAAGTGGATGCCGGTGGGGCGAGCTGTCACTGGAGCCCGCGGGCTTGGGTCTCCAGCGCAGTACTGCATCGACGGACGCCCGACACGGATGGCATTGAAGCGGATAGGAGAACATGACAAGCATGACAATGGCGGCACGGCCAATCGTAGCATACAGGCCTGGCGGGTACATGCCAACGATGTTTCCAGCAACGCTGTTTCCGAACGAAAGATATCCGGTGATAGCCACAAGAATATAAGTTGCAGCGGCGCTACCGATGCTAGAGAAGACGACTCCGGTGGTTCGGAAATGGCTGTTGTTGCTGATCTCGTTCAAGATCGAGAACATCTGTTGCACTAGTCAGCAATGCTCTAATGAAGCATCACGCTTGAAGGCATCATACATTTTGATGGCATGTAAAGGCAAAGACAATGACAGGAAGGCTGCTGAGCGTGGGAACAGGGCCTGCCCAGTGTATCACGCGAATAGGACCCCGATCAGTGGTTGTGTCTCCGATCACGAAATGGTAGACAACCAATACAACCAAATATGCCATGGAGACGAGTGCTGCAATACTCGTATATTTGAGCGAGTCCAAGCGTCGGAGGTAGGAGAGAGGAATGACAATCAACCTGAAAAAGTAGGACACATTAGGATAGTCCCAGTATTAATCCCCATGGGGAGACGTACATGAAGGCTGTTACCCAAAAATGACGGTCCACCAGAAAGTCGTAATCCGGAGAACCTCCCACGAAACCCTGAACCACCCCCGGCATCAGATCTCCGATAATGATAAGATAGCTGACCCCGACGCCAAAACATTTGATCGCGATCGCGGCATCGAAGATAACGGCCGCATTGGGGTATGTGAGCTGCGACAAGGCGAAGAACGACGCGGTTCCGCGTTCCAGGTATCGTGCACATTGGGACTGAAGATATAGACCGAATCCTGCTGCGATTCCCGACCATAAAATGACAAAGACACCGAGTACGATTCCCATGTGCGAGATCGCAAGTGGCATGGCTAGGACACCGGCGCCAATGACTACCGGAGTTTTATCCCGTCAGAAAAAAGCCAATATAGAGCATCGATTGGCTGCAAATTGTTCCAACTCACTAGTGTTGACCAGGTTGATCACGCAACTAATCCAACTGGCGTCGCCATGGTGTCCGGCGCTCCGTTTCCCTCTCCCGCCACGCCTGCAACAATAAACCGTCAGCGATAAGAAGCGCCGGAAGAAAAGCAGGTACGGAGGAAAAGAGGGTTTTTACCTTCGAGACGTACTTCTGGGTGAAACCACCCCAATGGAAGCCTCATCGTCCATCATGTTGGCGGCACAAGTCGAGGTTGAATGAGAAAGTGATTGATTGATAAGAGGTGGCCACACGACAGGAGAATTCCGGGGTGGGTCAACCCGGCATACTATGAGATCGAAGGCCACTGGAATTTGCGACAGCAGGCAGGAGAGAGGGAGGAAAAGGTGGAGATGGGGAGAGAAGGGGAGTGAAAGGTGGTATTCTTGGAATAAGACACGAGTTAGAGAGAAGGGGGGAGAGGAGGGGAGAGGGGGTGGGGAGAGAAGAGAGAAGCGAGGAGAGTAACGAGTCAAGAGGAGCGGAGATAAGTTGGAGGGAGAGAGATTGGATTGTGGTCAGTCAGTTCGTATCTTTCCCAATTTAGATTCCTTAGTCAGACACCTTCCCTTGCCGCTCTTCTCCGCCTTTTTCCCTTCCCCTTCCCCTCTTTTTATCTCAAATGGGTTAAGAAATGCGATGCTGGACATCTCCGTACACCTATAATAGATCCACTTGATTCATTCTTCGTTGGCAGCACAATCTCACTATGACTGCTTCCCTACAGCAATGAAAATAAAATCTACAGCTTCGGCTTTCCCCAACCCTGCTGCGACAGCAAATCATATACCTCATCCTCCAGCTTATTGGCGTCCGACACCGTATTTCCGGGCCGCTGACCGGGGCCAGGATCATTAAAGGCACTAACCGAACGCACGGTCTTGGAGACCTCCAGAATCGTTCCTCCACTAACCACAAACTGAGGACCCTGACCTGTCTGATCCCCAATGATTTCGCCAACATGATCTTGCTGGATCAGCGCCAGCATGACCTGAGCCACTTCCTCGGGGGTCACCCACTCATCGGCTTTGGCGTCGACTATCTTGATCTTTTCGGGGTGGTCCGTCCAGAGCGGCGTCTTGATCACCCCGGGAGCCACGGCCGTGACGCGGATCCCGCATTTCTGGTCGAGCTTGGCCAGGGACCGGACCAGGCCATTGATCGCATGCTTGGTGGCTACGTAGATTGGGGTTGCCAGAGCAGGATTCTGCCCGGCAATGCTGGAAATGTGAACGATGTGTTTGCGGCGTTGGTTGCTGCTGGTGCTGCCCTTGCGGAGGAAGTGCGCGATGGCTAGCTGCGTCGTGCGGATGGGATGGGTCAAGTTGATATCGAGCAAGGCGTACCGGCCCCCATCTCGTGGATCTCGACTCTCTGGCGTTCCCGGGGGTCGCCAGAAGTTGGTCCAATGCTGCATGCGAGACAGGCCATAAGCTAAACATCCCTTGCTTCTTCGGGGGTTTTTACGGGGTGCACATACAGGCTCGTAGATCCCTGCCCCGGGGCAGACGATGTCCACTTCCCCGAATTCCTTCTCTGCTACTTCAAACATATGCTCCACTTGCTTCCAGTCGGTCACGTCAGTCTTCTGGAAGACAGCACGGGGCCCATTGGAGGAGGCCGCGTACTGATTCACCAGCGACTGTGCTTCGGGGCGCAGCCCTAGGTCGGCAATGAGAACGCCGCACCCATTCTCAAGTAGAAGTTTCGCAAAGGAGAGGTTAATTCCTACATTAGATAAATTAGTGAAATGCCTTTATCCGCGTATCAGCCGCCTGGAATCAGTGAAGGAGTGTTGACGCACCGGAGCCTGCTCCCGTGACGATGGCAGAGCGTCCCTTCACAGAGAAGGACATAGTGTATGGAAGTTGGGGATAGAAGCGACAGAAATGGGCGCTATTATCGCCGTGCCACATGGACTTATGTCTTCTTTATACCTCGTTCGGGCAGTATCAATCCGAAGGTTCGGGGTGTTGTTACCCGCATTCAACATTGTGGACCGAGGGAAGGAGATTCGACGAAGCTGACCTGGACCCGGACAAAGACCGATGAGGGGAAATCGACTGGGTCTGGTCGTCCGCAAGAGTGAGTATCGTGTATCATGGTGCGTTGGGTTAAGTGGAAGAGCGTGGTCAGTATAGCCTTCGCGCGAATGGATGTTCAGCCATGGTTGCGCAAGACCGTCCCGGGAGCAACGATAACTTGAAAACAAAAAAAGAAAAGAGAGGGAGGGATCACATCTATGAAGCCTAGTTTTCATAGCATGTGGGATAAGATGACCATGATGATGATAGGTAGGTGCCAAAAAGGAAATGAGGAAGCCCCCGGCGAGGCTCGAACTCGCAACTTCCAGATTAGAAGTCTGGCACGCTACCATTGCGTCACGGGGGCTGCTATTGTGAAAGGGACAGCACTATTGGTTCTGTAAGCTTACACTAAGTCTGGCTCATCATTTGGGATATCTCATCGTAGGATAACCATTCTGATAGGATGGCAATTAGGTTTGCGAGATCCGAGATTTAGAGTTGGACAAAATTCTAAGCGAAGTCATGTACTAGTCAGTTTGTCTCTTCCCACGATGCAAAAAGAAAAAGGCTCATTACCATCACTATCATTCACATAACAAACAACCAAAAATAACAGCCCCCGGCGAGGCTCGAACTCGCAACTTCAAGCTTAGAAGGCTTGCACGCTACCGATTGCGTCACGGGGGCAGTTGGTGATCCCAGCCCTCGATTTCTGCATTTATAATGCATTGCCAATGGAATGAGGGCAGCCCTATACACACGCACCTTACGACGCACTCACTAGCCGGCTTTGTACAGCGTTGTACAACAGAGCATAGCAGCATATACACCCAATTTCTGCAGTTGCACTCACTTCTCCTTATCATGGCTCCCTTTGCCCATTCATAGATTGTAGGTGGGTTAGACAACTGCCATTCCTCGCCATGGTGACACAATGCCCTCGAGTTCAAAAGTTGGAAGAGTTCATCGTGGTCACACCGAAGATTATGCCACAATGCGTAGGAACTCGAGCCATCCCAAGTTTGTATGGTTTTTCGCCCGTACTCTGGGGAATACTATCGCGGACAGATGGAGCACAGCTGGAGGAAGTCCACTACTTTCGCTGCATCACATCGAGGTGCAGTGCCAGTTGGTCGAGTCCTGCAACTCGGCCACTATACCTGCTCATTTCTCCTAAGCATCGACCGTACAGACAGCTGCTACCACCAACCATCGTCATCTCCCACTCGAAAGCAATGACTAGCCGAACATCATGGATCCAGTCGGCAGTTTTACGAGTCGTCTCGCACCGAAATGCCTGGATCAGTGGACAGTGACGCAGTGATACCCCATTTCAACTCGCTTCGAACGCGGGGCGTCGGCAACTTACTCAAAGCAGTAACCGGCCCGCTCGCTGGTTTGGGCTTCCCGACAATTGCCCATGGGGTATAAGATACTCCGCAGAGGCCATTGGGGCTATCCCAATTCCCAGAGGTCTCATAGCTACGCAAGCTACTGATCAAAATGACATTATCGAGATTCACAGCCAGGGCAACCGCCCGCGCCGCATCGACATCAACCTCAGCGTCGCCGATGACCAAGGCCGCGGGCGACATCTCCAGTGTGTTCCCCAGCTTGCGGCCCGACTACAAACCAGAGCCCTTGCCATCGCGATTCCGCGATCTAAAACTTCAATACTTCGAGAAGAACGAAGAAGCATTGAAGCAAAGCTGGAAGCGACTCCTCTCCAGTCTCGAGGAAGAAGTCCACAAGATCAAGTTGAAGGGCAGCGAGGGACGTTCTATACATGCTCCAACATATCCCCCTTGTGGAGAACAACAAACAATACCTTACTAACGCGTGGATCCAGATTATCCCTTCCGTTAGATACACCGATGTCGTCAACGGCACCGTTCCCGAGTCCACTCTCGCCGAGATCCGGCACCGTGGCTCCGTAGTCATCCGGGAGGTCGTCCCGCGCTCGCAAGCCCTAACCTGGAAGACGCAGATCCAAGAGTACATCGCGGCCAACCAAGAGCGCGTTAAAGCCTTCCCCGCCGACTCACCCGCGGTGTACGAGCTGTACTGGACGCCGTCGCAAGCGGCGGCGCGCAGCGACGCCCACCTGCTCACGACGCAGCGCTTCCTCCAGCAACTGTGGCACTCGTCGGACGCGAGCACGCGCATCTCGACCCGCAACCCGCTCACCTACGCGGACCGGCTGCGCATCCGCCAGCCCGGCGACGCCAAGTTCACGCTGGGCCCGCACATCGACGGCGGCTCGCTTGAGCGCTGGGAGGACCCGGAGTACGCGCGCGTCTACGCGCCCATCCTGGCCGGCCGGTGGGAGGAGTACGACCCCTGGGACGCCAAGCACCGCGTCGCCGCCCAGATGGACCTCTACAACGGCGCGGGCGCCTGCTCGATGCTGCGCTTCTTCCAGGGCTGGCTCTCCATGTCGCACACCGCGCCGGGCGAGGGCTCCCTGCACGTCTGCCCCATGCTGCGCCACAGCTCCGCCTACACCATCCTCCGGCCCTTCTTCGATGGCAAGACCGGCCAGCCCATGCTCGACAACGCCTTCCCCGGCTCCGTGCCGGGCGCGTGTCAGGAGTACAACCCGCTCACCCACCCGCACCTCGCCCTCGAGGCCACCATGGTCTCGGTCCCGGAGGTCCAGCCGGGCGACTACGTCGCCTGGCACTGTGATTCGCTGCACTCGGTCGACAGGGAGCATCGCGGGTCCGGGGACTCCAGCGTCATGTATATCCCTGCCACGCCCATGTGTGAGATGAACGTCGCGTATCTGGTCAAGCAGCGGCAGGCGGCGCTGTCATACTCCCCGCCGTGGGATTTCCCGGGAGCTGGCGGCGCGGGTGAGGCGGGCTTCAAGGGGGCTCTAGATTGGCAAACTATCAGTCCCGAGGGTCGAAGGGCGATGGGTCTGGGTGAAAGTCCTTGGGAGGTGACGGCAGATATGAGTGAGGGCGAGAAGGCGGTGGTGAGGGTTGCGAATGAGATTTGTTTCGGGCGGACGTGATTTGGGGGTAGTATTCATTAGAGTTTAGCGCTTCTTGTATAGGTGGTATAGTGGACTGCTAATAGGAACATTGATTCATTCAGGACATGTGGACATGTGTTGGTTGGCTTGAGTTATGCGTGGTATGACTGCATGGAAATACTATCGGGCATCTTCTATTACATCTGAATAAAACCAACGACTTTCCTAAGTGACATTGTCCCGTGATGACCCTTGCCCTAGTTATGGCGGGTGCACGGCCTCATCGCGCATTGCGAGACGCAGCATGATGGCTGCTGCTCTGGTTGCGATATTTATAGTCCGATGAACAGTCCCAGAGGCGGAGAGACATAGAAGCTAGGGTTCACATTATACCGAACCTCGCTGCAACAGGTTGTTCCAGTAAACGAACTTGTTTTCACATTTTTTTGTCTACGCACGTACAAAGTAACCTTTACAGAACGAATGCCTTGCTATAATGAAATGAAGGGGCATTCTCTAATTATCAGTTCGTTATAGCAAGCTCCCCCATAATGGAGAATCCGGAGAAGAAAGCGATAGGAACTTTATTTCTGATGGCCGATAAGCATGATAAGGGAACCCCCGCAGGGCTAAGCTATGTAGGCGTGGAAACCACCTACTCCGAGCCGAGCACGTAGACTGCTATATGTACCGTACCTAAAGTAGTAAGGGCAACCCTGCACAGTTCATGCGGTGAGTTGGATGCTCCAAGCCCAGCAAATGGCGGTGTTGTGCATCTCGCCCATCAGCGTTCATTTGTCTCAGACAAGGGTTGCAGCAGCCAGGAAAATGATCACTGGTTGAGACTTTCTTTGATTCCTCGTATTTTAGGGATGATGCCCATGCTGGACTTTCTTACGGTTGGTTGGCAAGGGCAGTAGATATCCGGGGTGAGATTGTAGATTTAGGGCTCTTTCAACAGCACGCTTCTATCACATGAAAGTCAATCGAGTATCAACGTCTGAGTAAGCATCAGGCTGACCTCCAGATGCCCCTCAATTTTCAAACTAAATATCTTCTTAGGATAACGCTGAAACAAACCTGGTTCAGTTCATAAGATTGTACAAAATCCTCCTCCTATGTATGTACTGTATTTCGCTTAAGGCGGAGCAAACATACTTGTCCAGCAGTAGATTCGGTATGTGCCAACGAAGCAGTCACCGCGATGGCGTCGTGGAGCAAGCACACCACGAAAACGGATTTCCGCCTCTAACCACGGGTGCATCTCAACTCTAATGTTTCAGAGTTTTTTTTTTTTTTTTTTTTTTTT